ATCGTGAGAAACCACCCATTCAGAAAGCTTTGCATATATGTCTGTCCCCAAATTTTTACCACAGAAATTTTGCACAAACATCGAGTTTCAAATAAATCCAAGTTTTTAAAGATTTCAATATATGAAATTTTGCTATTTCTTCTGTCTTTAAAAAGTTTGTATTTTTAGAAATGTAATGTTCACTGTTTTGGAATGTTCTGAGGGAAAAATTGTAGAAGGTATCATTCTTTTCTTTTTATTGCAGCTTCTGATGACTAAATAAATGGAAGCTTACATGAAATATGCTATTAAATAGCTCAGTAATGCTCATCATCTTGGAGTGCGTTTCAACACACCCATCATTGTCACAGAATAAAAACAACCTTCAAGTTAAGTGTACTTCCACACAGTTGTTTCAGTATCAAATTAACTCGTTTTTCCTACTAAAACAACAAAGTTATCATTTCAGACTGGAGTCAGAAATAGTGCCACTGTCAGTTGCATAACACTTAAATCTCCTATTAAAACAATTTTCTTACCCACATCATTGCTAGGCCATATCCATATCTCTCAAAACAGGACTTTTAAAAGGGATGCTGCTACCACTTACTCCATTCCAATATAAAGCTTGCAGGAAATCTGCTGTTCCTACCCACACACTGCACTCATTACGCTTTCCCCAGTGAAAAACAAACTAGCTAGGCAGCTCTCTCAGCATGTATAACTCACTGCCAATTTTACCTCACTAATTTCTGGACCAGCTCTCTTCATGTCTTATAATCACCATCACACTGCACTTCTCAATAAGTTTCCCTACTACAATATGTTTTTCTATGGATGCTCCAACTGGCTGGCAGTCCCGTATAATCTCCACACAGGCTCCAGTTGGATTAAACTTTTTCATGTTCTGGAGCAAGAACCTCATTTTTGTCTGAAGCTCACAGCATGAGGGTTGCAGAAGACCAACAGTATATTCTCCAGTGTGTATCTAATCAATGCTGGCTAGTGAAAATCAAACTCGATGAAGAATGGTTAATGCCTTTTGATTAATTTCTGGGAACCAATTTTCTCAAGAGATAAGTCCTTGATCATGTGACCCACTCAAAAGCATATATAAAAGGATTGCTGGGATCAAGCAATAATAGCAAAAGAATTTTGCATTGGCTTAAAAGTAATTTATCTTCAGTAACAGACATTGCAAACAGTTATTTTTGCTTAAATGCTATCAATTTCAATCAAATATTTGATCTGGGTGAATTATTTAAAAACATAGTGCTGAAAATGAAAAATTCCAGAATAAAACATCGTTATCATCTCCCCATCCAATTTACCCATAAAAAAATGCCTATCCAGACAAGGATAATGTTTTTGCACACATTGAAATACATACTGTTTCCTAGTTTGTCCTGGCAACCAGAAACTATAAATAGAAGACAGAAATACAAGAGACGCTTTTTTGTGGACATAAGTTACACCTAATTCATATAATCAAGAGACCATGTGCTGATAGGTTTTCATCATAAGATTTTTTCCAGAGTAGTGAAGATAAACGTAATCAGTATGACCTCAAACTACATGAAAAAGTTCAACACACATCAGCAGACAGTACAGTGTATTTCAAGGAAAAAGAGATTAACATTTAGCATGTAAAGGATGAAATAATGCAGAACTATGTAAGTGCTGCAGTGAGAGATAAATGCGAACTTTAAAAATACGAAACCATTGCTCCATTTAATACTAATCATCACAGCCTGCCACGGCAAATTGCATTTAGTCAAAACAAGATATTTTAATTCTGGCGTCAGAAGAAATGATGTGTCATGTATATGGTTTACAATAAGAGTGATACAATTCATGCAGATAATACTATATCAGAAGTTGTGTCAATTACAAAAATATTAAATCTAATGATGATCCAACTGTATCACTAATTTAATATAATATGTATAGTACAATATCAATGGCACACAGTGATATCCAACACATTTGATGCATATATACCACAAATATTGGTACCAATATTATTGATGCATTGGTATCTCGTAAGTATATGGTACCAATATTATTGATGGATTGGTATCTCACAAATAACACACTAAGTATGGTACCAATATTATTGCATTTTAGACACATGGAGTCAATATCTCCATATGCTGATATGGTATGGTAATATGCCAAACAATTCAAACAAGGTTAATAATTGATTTCAAAAAACATCATATTGGTCAAAATGATTAAAATACAGCAATAAAAGCCTTTGTATTAAGATGGATTGTTTGAGCTATCTGCTAAAACATCCATTTTACTGGATGTACTGCAATTTACCCAAAGTGCGACACAAGATGTTTTCCTCCTTTTTAAATCTTATTTTGCTGTGTACTATTTTTGCTAACATAACATAAGATTCAAATGGATGACACGTCATAATTTCCATCTATTTATTTCCCCCACCTAGGATCATTTTCATGATGCGGTTCACTATACATTAGACAAGTGACGAGGGACGATTTTTTTTCCTGAGACAGGTGAGGTAAACAGTGCCTGTTCACTTATATTTGATACTGTAGCATAGGTGGACTCAAACTAGTTGTATGATCATATGATTTAGTTGAATGACTGGCATGGCACCTACATACGTACCTGAATCTTAATACATCAACTCAAATCAACCAGAGATTTTAAGTTTTTTTTTTTACCAATCTGATATCAGAAATGTTTTGAAGTTGCAGAGCCTGCTTGGCATAGATGCATTTGCGAACAAAATTCAATTGCCCCTATCAAATATTATGGTATTTAGCACCAAGAAGACTGGGCTGTGTTGATTCCACTGATCTTTCTGTGGAATGATTGTAGTAAACGTAGGATCTTGCAGTATCTGACCTCAATAATGTATCCCTAAAATAAATTTGAAAATAAATTACTTATTTTTTCAAAACTTTTAATTGCTAGTTATATGGCCCATGTGAAGGTGTTTTACGAGATATCCATTACACTGGCAATATTTGGTATTTAGAAAGAAACATGAAGGTCTGGTGGATAAAAATCATTTTACGTGAACGAGCCTGTAGCCAGCAACTTCAAAGGCTGTGGTGTGGTTTGAAAAAAATGGAGCTTTTACCAGGAAACCTTTGTGTACCTAGATCGAATTTTAATCCAGAGCGGACCTTTTCCCCTTCATAATGACCTCCTTTCCCTGGCTGTGGACATGACTGATTAGTCAACGGAGGCCAGTCAACTAAATCAGCACAAACTGCATGTCTACGAGCGAGATTATTGTCATTGGGCACAAAACACATGACAGGTATGTCTGGCTACCAGATAAGAACTTGGATTTAATTGTTTTTTCCTCAATTACAAGAGCCACTGTTAGTGTTACAAAGGGCTGCAGCATGCAGAACCTATTCACTGGCTTCAAAAATTACTGAGCCTTGCCAACAATATAATTGAACGATCGAAACGAAAAAATTCTGACATTTGTTCCGAATGTTTGAACCCAGAAAAAATAATTTTAAGAAAAAAATTTCTGGTCAGGTTGATGGCCCTGTTCGAAATGATTGAACAACTACCTTATCCCCCACAAGTTACCAACAACAGCATATGAGCATTGAACCAAATTCTGACTTAGAAGCAGCACGATAAACCTGTATATCACAGAGAAAACCAGAGGTCTCACAAAGAGGACAATTTAAGGGTACTTATTTACTGCCCAAGAGACATACAATGTCATTTCAAAAGTAATCAACGTCATCTGATTTAGAAATAGAGTTGTAGGCCTGTTGGGTTATTTCTCACAGGCAAATAGCTGGCATTTTGCAAACCTTGCTAATAACATACGAAGACAAGACTTCTCTTTTTGAAGATCGTATACATGTCTAGCAGAAAATCTAAGAGTTAATCTAACCAATTATATCACAACATATCATTTACTTATTGCAATTCTGATTCAATGGTGCCAAATGGTCACATTTGTCTGATACTTTCCAATTTAGAATTGTATGAAATACGACATAATTCAACTCTTTTATTGGAAAAACCTCTTTAAAAGGCATACGTTTCTCCCTAATTTTATCACCAATAGTTGTTAGTTTATGCACACTGTGTTTCCATGACTTAAAGACATTTTAGTGTGTTATTGCCCAGAATCGCACTTTGATGAATAATTTCAGCTGCATTTCTGTCTGCTTTAAATGAAGGGAGTTATCTTTTTTGGGGCTGGATGCATTGTTATCAGGTCTGCATAGGGGCAAAGAAAAGTCTTGCACAAGAAATATGCCACATCACTGATGTAATAAGTATTTTTATCCAGAATCAATTCCAAGAAATTGAAAACTGAAAAACAAGCCTGAAAGTTAATTAAACAGAAGATACTTTGAAAAAATTACCAGCACGTTCAAGAGAATGCTTCTTTTGCTTAATCCTAAATATATTTAATCACATGGGTCTATTTGGACCGGCCCTACTCTGAGGGGATTCTTGCTGAGTACAATCAGCTTAACAGGTTAGCACATTTCCTCCTGGCATTAAGTAGACTATAGATAAGCTGGTGATTATACAAGCATATCCAAAACTAGAGGAGGCAATTAAGCTGATTGCACTTAGCAAGAGTCCCCATAGAGTTGGGTCAATCTATATAGACCGATGGTGTGGCTATGGGAATGGGGTCTAAATACCAGTGCACAAAAGGTGGTGGTGACTGTATTCACACCTAAAATAAAATTGGATGAAAAGGATCCATATCATTTTCTAAATTAAAACTTTTTGGGCTACAGTTAACAGTGTGTATTATTCAGGCCATATGTACAGCTTTCTCATTTTAAATTAGGTCACGTTAAACTAGGCAATGCAACAATTCAATTATATTTGCAAAGAAAATTCTACTATCTATCTTATCTATAATCAATTATATATAGTCACCTGCAAAAGTGGATTATGCTGGCATGACAAAAAGGTATCTTTGACAAAGCTTGCAAATAGTAGAAGAGCTCTGATGTCTGTATATTTCATAATATATGATAGCTTACCCATGGCATCGTATTGTTCATAGAGTGAAACATCATGAACACCAGGGATGATCGGAGGGTCATGGACACCATTATTAGTACTCAACTCTATGGCAGAGTATCTGTTACGATTGTCCAGGCGGCCATTGCCATTTTTCCTGCCCTGAAAAAAAAGGGGGGAAAATGAAACAATTGATTTCTTTCACTATGCTTCAACTATTAGCAAGACAAAATGAATATTTACTGTATCAGAAAGCCTCATTTTTATTGCTTGAAGGTATCATTATCTTTACAGCATATAAGTACTATATGGCCATGTATAATGAACAAAAAAAAAGTTGTTGCACATTCTTAGTCAATACAGAACCCATATTACATTTGTCTTTCAGTAAGGCAAATGTTTTGTATATGGTTTCTATGTGGCTACAATTATATATCATCTGCTTATATTCAAATGTATGACTACATTTATACTTAAATAGTTGAAGCATGAACATTAATCATCTTAATGTGGAAAGCTATGGCTAGACATACCTTGTATGTAAACAATGTCTGTATTTTCTATCTTAAAACAGCGATTAGGTCATTTATATAAGCTATGCCATTTTTTAATCTCCAAATTACATTCAGACATAAGTAAACAATGTCTGAATTTTTGTTACCTGACTTCAAACAGACCCTAAGTAATATTATATATATAAACAAATGTTATTTTCGCTGGCAACAAAACCATCACTGTTCATTCTATTAGTAACAGACTAAGTGATATTGTGGAAGAATATAGTTGTATAATATGATGATGGCGCACAAGTCCAATGCATTCTATATTTTACCTTAAAATACCATACACTTGAGGTGAACCGCTTCAAAACCAGGTAAATGCCAATATGAAGCCCCATGTCTGCATGGTCAGACATTATTTCATGTATAAACATAAGCTTTTTTATCTTGTAACAGTTGCAGATGACAACATCATAAAAAATTACTAAAAGGAGGAAGAAACTGCTGATTTGGAAAAGTATGGCTAGGTAATATGGCATCACAATATACTTGTACTCCTTTGGACATTTTACCTTAAAAACAGTAAATGCAAAATCTTTCTTTCAGGTTAACTCATACAATTGCATATATGTGCATCTTTATTTGCTGCAGTTACCTCTGCATTTTGTACACATAATAAACTGTTGTTATTTTAACTGTTATGGCAGTGCGGATTGAGGCATTGTCAATGTGAAACACTATCTCTCTACGATCTGACACCATTAAAAAGAATATTTGGGTTCTACTTTTTTCCACCCTCAAGCAATGTGAAGTAAATGGTACCAGGTTATATAGCTATCGAAGTACTATTAGTTGGGTAAATACTAATATCAACGTAAACTACTGTTCATATAGGTGATCATAACATCTAGTGATTAAACCTTGGAAATATTCAATATTCTAAACATGATTCTCTTTCAACCTAAAAAACAGTGTATTTTCTGAGTCAGCAATGATTATACATCAATGTGGAGCACTTCCACTCTATATTTTAACATAATTCAACACTGGTTCTATATTTTACCTTAAAACAGTTGAAGTGCATGGTTCCAGGCTATAAATCCATCCAAACTTTCTTAGCAAGGTAAATACTGTCAATGGCGAGCACCTCTGCTTCATAATATGACATCATCATTCAGGTAGTGCAAACACTCGAACATGACTCACCAAAGACTCAAAATTGCCACTTGTAAAATGACCTTATAAACCCACACGATAAACATAACCTAACACACGGATGCATTCACATAAAAATAATTGCCTGTTTTTACCCAATTTTACTATTAGGTTTCATCTCTTACGCTTCCGATGTAATATCTAATAGGTTACTCCACCTAAAGGTCATACAGCTATATAAGGTAAGGAAATGAAAGTGCATAGTTTTATTAGAAAATTAAACATTAATTGGCAAAGGTATCAACAAAATGGCACTGTTATAGGATGGTGAAAAGACCTGATCATGCCATCAAGTACTGCACCACTATCAATTTAATATCATCAGTAACACAGTGCTTCAAAGTTTAATTTCCTGAGCATGTTGTATCTGGCTGTCCTTATCTAACCTTCAAGTAAAATCACTTAAAATGTTTATAAATACAATAAGCCCATCATCAGACTAACATATGGCACCAGGAAAGAGTGTTCTGTATTATCCTCTTTGCAATTCTCATAAAAATGTGCCAATGATCAAAGAGTTATGGATGATCAATTTTTTTCCAGGCACCAGGTGCCATAAGAATTACTGCATAATGCCAGTGGACCATTTCAAAAGCTTAGAAAATGGTTTTGAGGTTTTTGTAAGTTTTATAAAGAGTGTTTGTTTATGAAAAATCAGTAAAATTCACTTTTCAGTTATTACATACACCAAAAAAAAACACAACTGCTACATAAATCTGTTAAAAGACAGAAAAAGGGATAAACCAGGCCAACTTTACATAAAAAGAAAAAAGTGATGTATTTCCAGTTCAATCAATAATGTTCTTCTTTTCATGTAAATGAATATTTCCCAAATGCCCATTTAAGTACCATTTAAAATTTACACTTCCTGGATGGTCTAGCAGCAATGTGCTGTTGTTGTGAGGTTTCCCATCCCCCTCCAACCCCCTAACCCCCCCCCCCCTAAAAGCCCCCCCCCCCCCCCCCCCCAAAAAAGGAAAAAAAATCATATCCACTGCATTTGAGTTTTACCCCAAGCAAAGGCCTTTAGCTGATAAAACTGAGTAAGATTTGGGTTGCTTAGGAAAAGCATGGGTAAGATCATTTGATACTATGCTAAACAGAGGCATTCTTCCAAAATTTTTGATCACTTGTCATGGATATCTTCTTATTTCCTATAGTGTCAATTAGCTTTGCTTCAGGGGTCACTTTAAACAGTTTAATAATTGACCTCCACATTTTGACAAAATTTCAAATATACTGTACATACAATGAAAAAGCGCTCGCCTATAAAGCACTATACAAGCATCATTTCTATTCATATCAAGGGTGGCAGATCTCTTTAATTATGTGTATTAGTAACTAGGAATCGGTCAATCACACCTGCCAATCAAGATGCACTCAACCAGACAATAAACACCAGACAAAACCTTGACTTTTACCTGGTCTATCTGTTAATCACAAACTCAGGTCAGATATTTTGGGATAAAAAATCTTGTGGTATAAAACATACCACCTAAAGACAGTTCACAGTGTTCTACAACCAGGTGATCTACAGTGTTTCAATTGAATCTGGAGTAGAAATAAGAATAGACGTATATGTCGTAATTTCGTAAAGAATTAGTCATAAATGGTACCCAGACTGTTTTCGGTCCAGTAAGTACTAGTAGTTATATTAGGTGACTAGTTTATAAGCATGTGTGACTGGGAGTAAGAATAAGAATGTTAAAAATGTGTGTGTGTGTGTGTGTGTGTGTGTGTGTGTGTGTGTTGATAAGTATGTAAGCTGGTTAGTCGGTAGCAATTTAGTGAGACTCACCAGGGAGTTAGACCGATCCAGATGGATCGATCTAGGCATGGGAACCCAGTCTTAAACATTCAGATGAGTGCAATTGTTCATAATCAGATTTCTCAAACATGAACATAAAATTCTCCTGGTGACGGTGGTATCTAATGGTTTTATCAGTGCAATAAAAAAAAAAGATTTTGCGAGCAATTTTCATCAAATCTATTTTTCAGACAGAAGTAAACATTCTTTAAAAATTGTCAAAAACCAATATCTGTGTTACTGTGAGAACAAATATATTGTTATTTGATGAAGATATTATATTATATTAAAGAAGATATTATAGGTTACCTGTTCTGAATCATTCTCTAGAATATCTTCTTTGGAAATTGCTGAAATGAAAGGGGCAAAAATATAATTAAATTATTATTAACACAAGCACAATAGATTAAAACGTTCAGAACGCATGTTTTTGATTCCTTTTTTTTACCTATATGAGTTTATTTCACTGTAACATATGCATCCACTTATGTGGATGAAAATGACAATAGTGTATGTGCTTAAAAGAAATGCAGAATGCAGACAGAAAGTGATCATGCATTTGATCAACTCATGTGTTATATTAAGTCATCTTATATCATCATAGTCCAAACAGAAAATGAAAGAGAGAAAGGAATTTCCAAATAAAAAATGCCCATTGCTTATTCTGCACTTCCACAGCAATTTATAGTAACAAATGTGCATTTTCTTTAAACTAACCTAAGTAATGAAGTCAAACTGATCTGACAACTGAATTGATTTATAATGAGACAAAAACCAAAGATACAAGTGCACTTGGGATGTTGTTATCTCTATTTATGCTATGGTCTACAACCAGCAAATTTCCTCCAGTTTTACGAATTTGTCCATGGATAAAAACTGTCTCTAAGTTTATGTTTCCACTAAGCTATGATCCATTATAAATTTATCAGGTCCAACTGTTAAGCAAGCAGTCTCTGTCATATAGCACTTTTTTGTTTGTTTTAAACAATTCTAACAGAACTCAAATGAGTATGAAACTAATCAGTAAAATGCTACAAGCCTGCAGTCTGCTGGCCAACACATCCTTGTCACAGCAAGCTGTGGTACAACTAACACAATCACAAGTTGGACTATCATGTTCAATTTTCTCAATTTCTGTGTGACTTGCATCCATATTATGTTTTCCTCCAAAACACTCTCTTCTTTAAAACTAGTAAAAAAAATCAACACCTGCTCATTTTTCAAGCTTTCTACTAGTACAGTGATGTACAAAATTCCCAATAAAGAACTTCGACAGGGCTCATACTCAACATAGTTTTACTCATTAAATTCACACAAAATATGGTGTTCTCAAAAACAATTTTTGTTAATATTATATAGAAAAGTGCACATTATGAGGCAGAGGCATATCTATGAATATCTAGTAATAATCTGTGGCCATGGTAGAGGGTACTACTTCTGTATGCCAGGGCCTCTTCAACACACTCAACAATCCAAAACATTTCAGTTATTCACACAGTCCCAAATATTTTCTTCACAGCACCTAATAATTGCAATAACTGGATAACAAAACATTGCTAATGTATGTGATATTATTCAAGCCAGAATTTTCCCCTAGAAAGGGTTGGCTTTATCTGCCATTAAATAGACTCACAGCCATTCAAAAGTTCTGTCTACATAATGGAACTTGAAGAATTCCCTAAATAACTGATTGATAGTGCTTGAATGACAAGGTGAGCAAGTCTTGGATTATTTGCAAAATAATCTGACATTATTGGGTCAATAAGAAATACAGAAAGATTATGTCATCAAATACCACTATATTGAAGATATATCTGACAGAATTAACTACCTTTTCATTCACCAAAATAACCCAGGCTTGTAATATGAACAATGATATTTAACCCGTTTGAATAAAAATATCCAGATTTCCTTTGAATGCAAGTAATCAAAACCAAATTTGAGGAGGCAAAAAAAGTACTATCAATTGTCTAAGGGCATCAACTGTCAGAGAATTTCAATTTCATATACAATTCAGGCTATCCATAAATGCTAGTAAACAGACTTGAGGCTTTTAAATAATGCAAGGCTGGTTGACATCAAATCAGATAATGGTGTGACTCGTGCCTTTTTCCAATATATCATCAAGCTTATCACAAAAACAGTAAGATGATATAAGAAATTCAGCTAAATAAATCTGAATATTAAGATCAACCTAGACTGAATTTTAAAAAAACGACTGATTACGGGATGGTCCTGTATGTCTTACGCATAATTGGGATCCCATTGTAATCTGGACACATGGTGACGTCAGTTAATCTTTGGTTCAAGTTAGTCCCGAATTAAACTTGACCAAGACAAACAACAAGGCAGAATAGAATATACATTTCTGTGTGAAGAAAGCACTGATATAGTAACAGCATGTCAATTTTTGATTAGCACTGCAAACAACTTTAATCAGACATTGACATGGCAAACTGCTTTAATATCGATCAAGTCTACTTCCAATTTGGCTTAGGGAAAAAGCGCATGTTTTTTTTTTTTTTTACCACAGATGTTTTATTCTAGCACAGAAGGGTGGTTATAATACTAGGCACAGAAAGCTATTAGAAGATTTGTTTTCAAAAACTATACCTCTTGATAAATGCACACAATGTGAGTGACTTAGTTACAAGTGCAATTTTGATGAAAAGGAGAAGCCATGATTATTGGATTTTGTTAGATTGTTAAGACTCTTTTATACAATAAGATTAAGACCATGCCCAGCACCATTTTACTAAAACAAGAAAACAGAGAGAGATTGTCTGATTGCAATCATCAGCTTGTTCTTGTTGTAATATATATGTAGTATGCTCAATTGCAACACAGTTCTCTACTTCTTTGATGAGTCATATAGGTTACAAGTTGAAACAGTATAAGAACAAGGACATGTATGTTATATACATCGTAAATGGTCTGTTCATATCCAATATGCGAACATGATTCATGTGCAACCTACTGGTCATAAGGTAATTTTGAGATCACCTGAGGTTCAAAGAGATATGGCCTTGCCTGGTAAATAATTTCAAAATACGTTATGCCAAAGATACCTGTAAAAAGCTAAAGAATCCATTTTATTCGTGTATCTATGAGGCATCTTTTAACTTTCAAATCTTGGCAAAGAAAGGACTGCGGTACAGACATCTGTTCAGTGAAGCTTTTAATCTGGACTATTTCCCTTGCCTGCATGAAATCCCCCTTGTGCCCATCTAACCTGAGACCAATTCCTTTCCTATAAGACAGTGAGTCAGAACTATACATGCCATAGTGCATGTACATGTAATGGCATAGTTCATCTCATAATAGACTGACCCATCCTAGTTCCTTGTGTACAAAATAACTATCCATTGCCAACACTGGGCCCTCTTTGTGACAAGCTACAGTGTGTATAAGAATAGATAAAACATTAATCTAGCGTCTCCTACTGACTTTCATTGCCAGAGTTCCATAGCTTACAAACAAATCATACCTATTCTTGCATGCCAGAGCAACGGCAATTAATACATTAAAAAAAAAATCAGGATCTAATTATCAACCTGTAAAGACACTAGCATGTGTGTTTACTTGTGCATACACGAACAATTATCCTGAACAGTATTAAGTAAATGAAAAATTAACACGAACAAGATTATCTGAATAGTTAAACACATGCCTGTATTCAGAAGAACAATGAAAATCAATGGAAAGGTTATAAGAGATCAGTGTAATTGCACTGGTACATAACGGACTATATACGCAGACAGACAAAGTGATGTTCACTGTGGCATGATGGAAGCCATTATAAATAAGAGACTGAGAGTGGCCATGTTATTATCCAGAATAAAACAGAACTGACCCCTCTGTCTGGTCATCTCAGGGCCAGACAGCCTGACCACCAGATTTCAAAGGAGATTTCAGTGCAGAGACTGAATACTTTTAAAATATTTACATTTAAATTAACAGTACACAAGATTTTAAATGTCCCCATGTGTTCTTCTTAATTTCAGATACACTATGCTAATGTCCAAAGGTGTGTTATATCCTTTCCAAGTAAGGAAAAATTGCATTTTACACACAGTGAAATTCCAAAAAATTCAAGTAACTACTAGTATTTAATTACCTTCAGCCAAGAAAAGAAAAACTGTGACCTGACAAACATATTATCTATCAGGAAGGTATTTTTGAATTTGGAAACACAAAAAGTGATGGTTGTAAAAACTTTAAAATATTGTTGAGGGCAACCATGCAAATTTGGCCATTGCATTCGCTCAAACTTAATCCATCATCCATGTACAGATTTAGGAAACATGCAAACCGCAGGGAAATAATCTGTATCATGTCTACATTACTTTGGCTACTAGAATAGCAATTTCCATGAGTTAAAATAAGTAAAATATGTTCTACCATTATTTGCCAGTTTAATAGCAATTTGATAAACAAATGATTTGAACATAAATTTTGATTCAAACTCAAATATTGTTTGTGTCCACAGTCAATAACCCAAAGGGGACACTAATTTACCTCAATGACGCCATCTTTGAAACCTTGGCAACAAATGGAGTTAAACACAGTAATTCACTTGCTCCCATCCCTGCGGAGACATTTTATGACCAAAAGTTTGATTTTCTACATGCAGATGATATCTCTGATAGCCTATGAATTGATTTCAAGTTAGCATTAAGACAAGGCCACAAATTCATAAGGGCTATATCAATGGCTGAGAATATACAACATACAGGATTCCTTTTCTGTACACAAATATTTCTCTATATAAAAAAGGCTGAAAGTTCTCTGAGGTCACGTAAGATTTTTTTTTAATTTTAAACAATTGACTTATTTTCAATCAAGATCCCTCTATAATTAACAAAAATTAGCTTTTTTATTTTCAATTTTTTTTTTCAGCTTGAGACTAGGTTCTCAATGTTTTGACTCTGTCTAAAAATTGCTGTTGAGTTGCTTACAAGCTGACTCTTAAACAGTGTGTGTGTGTGTGTATGTGTGTGTGTGTGTGTGTGTGTGTGTGTGTGTGTGTGTGTGTGTGTAGAGAGAGGGTGGTATGGGCAACAGAGTGATTTGTATGCAGTTGTTTGTTTAAAAGAGAATAAGTAAATGATGAACAACAGGCCTGTAGCCAGGGGGGGTTCGGGGGGTTCGAAAGAACCATCCTTTAGGTCAAGAAAAGGTCCATTCTGGGTAAAATCTGAGCTAGGTACACAAAGGTTTCATTGTAAAAGGTCCACTTTTTTTTGGAAAAAGAACCCCCCTTTTGAAATTGCTGGCTACGGGCCTGAACAACCCGTGGATTTTATCATCATCCATTGTTGAAACCAGTAGACAACACAAATGTTGTGCCATCTACTGTGAGAGAAACTGCTAAGAATAAGCTAGTATTTGGATGTGAACAGAGACTTCAGTTACTGTTAAGTGAAAGAAAATGTATTAACTACTTCAAGCAAAAGTGAATTTTTTTTATTAACTACTCGGCGAAAATCACTATAACCCTTACCAAGTCTTCCAAAACTTGCAGAGATTCTCCTCTTCAGTTTCTTCAGTCTACTTGCTGGCTTATCACGCACTGAAAATAACAAAAAGATACATACATTTAGCTCATAAAATGATATGGCAAGGTTTATAACCCCAGACGCCAGACCTCTTTTTTCTTTTGTTATTACTATCAATTAGTGCTTATCAGTGCCATCTGCCATATACTGATTAACCTCAGGTGGGGAATTAGTATTACTAAGTTGCATAATGATGTGTTATCAACCACAAGACTTAAATGTAGAATGTAAACCATGCTTAAAAGGCACTAATAATGCCACTCCCTATACACATACACTCTATCAGGNGTTTGACTTGACTCATTTTAGTCAAATTAACACCATTTGGATAACAAATTGACAAAAAGTGATGATTTGGCTAAGCAAAAAAAATTGCTAGCACTACCCCTGCTTTGCTTTAGGGGTCACTTTAAACAGTTTTATAACTGACCTCCACATTTTGACAAAATTTCAAATATACATACAATGAAAAAACCCTCACCCATAAATCACTATACAAGCATAATTTCTATTCATATCAAGGTAGTCAGATCTCTTTAATTATGTTTATTAGTAACTATGAAATCTGTCAATCACACCTGCCAATCAAGATGCACTTAACCAGACAATAAACACCAGACAAAACCTTGACTTTTACCTGGTCTATCTGTTAATCACAAACTCAGGTCAGATATTTTGGGATAAAAAACCTTGTGGTAAAAAACATACCACCCAAAGACAGTTCACAGTGTTTATCAAACCAGGTGTTCTACAGTGTTTCAATAGAATCTGGAGTAGAAATTAGAATAGACGTAAATGTCGTAATTTCGTAAAGAATTAGTCATAAATAGTACCCAGACTGTTTTCAGTCCAGTACTAGTAGTTATATTAGGTGACTAGTTTATAAGCATGTGTGACTGGGAGTAAGAATAAGAATGTTAAAAATGTGTGTGTGTGTGTGTGTGTGTGTGTGTGTGTGAGTTGATAAGTGTGTAAGCCGGTTAGTTGGTAGCAATTTAGTGAGACTCCCCAGGGAGTTAGACCGATCCAGATGGATCGATCTAGGCATGGGAACCCAGTCTTAAACATTCAGATGAGTGCAATTGTTCATAATCAGATTTCTCAAACATGAACATAAAATGCTCCTGGTGATGGTGGTATCTAATGGTTTTATCAGTGCAATAAAAAAAAAAGATTTTGCGAGCAATTTCCATCAAATTAATTTTTCAGACAGAAGTAAACATTCTTTAAAAATTGTCAAAATCCAATATCTGTGTTACTGTGAGAACAAATATATTGTTATTTGATGACTGGATATATATTATAGCTTACCTGTTCTGAATCATTCTCTAGAATATCTTCTTTGGAAATTGCTGAAATGAAAGGAGCAAAAATATAATTAAATTATTATTAACACAAGCACACAAGTTCAGAACACATGTTTTTGATTCCTTTTTTTTTTACCTATATGAGTTTATTTCACTGTAACATATGCATCCTCTTGTGTGGATGAAAATGACAATAGTGTATGTGCTGAAAAGAAATGCAGAATGCAGACAGAAAGTGATCATGCATTTGATCAACTCATGTGTTATATTAAGTCATCTTATATCATCATAGTCCAAACAGAAAATGAAAGAGAGAAAGGAATTTCCAAATAAAAAATGCCCATTGCTTATTCTGCACTCCCACAGCAATTTATAGTAACAAATGTGCATTTTCTTTAAACTAACCTAAGTAATGAAGTCAAACTGATCTGACAACTGAATTGATTTATAGTGAGACAAAAACCAAAGATACAAGTGCACTGGGGATGTTGTTATCTCTATTTGTGCTATGGTCTGCAACCAGCAAATTTCCTCCAGTTTTACGAATTTGTCCATGGATAAAAACTGCCTCTAAGTTTATGTTTCCACTAAGCTATGATCCATTATAAATTTATCAGGTCCAATTGTTAAGCAAGTAGTCTCTGTCATATAGCACTTTTTTGTTTGTTGTAAACAATTCTAACAGAACTCAAATGAGTATGAAACTAATCAGTAAAATGCTACAAGCCTGCAGTCTGCTGGCCAACACATCCTTGTCACAGCAAGCTGTGGTACAACTAACACAATCACAAGTTGGACTATCATGTTCAATTTTCTCAATTTCTGTGTGACTTGCATCCATATTATGTTTTCCTCCAAAACACACTCTTCTTTAAAACTAGTAAAAAAAAATCAACACCTGCTCATTTTTCAAGCTTTCTACTAGTACAGTGATGTACAAAATTCCCAATAAAGAACTTCGACAGGGCTCATACTCAACATAGTTTTTACTCATTAAATTCACACAAAATATGGTGTTCTCAAAAACAATTTTTGTTAATATTATATAGAAAAGTGCACATTATGAGGCAGAGGCATATCTGTGAATATCAAGTAATAATCTGTGGCCATGGTAGAGGGTACTACTTCTGTATGTCAGAGCCTCTTCACCACACTCAACAATCCAAAACATTTCAGTTATTCACACAGTCCCAAATATTTTCTTTACAGCACCTAATAATTGCAATAACTGAATAACAAAACATTGCTAATGTGTGTGATATTATTCAAGCCAGAATTTTCTCCCAGTAAGGATTGGCTTTGTCTGCCATTAAATAGACTCACAGCCATTCAAAAGTTCTGTCTAAATAATGGAACTAGAAGAATTCCCTTAATAACTGATTGATAGTGCTTGAATGACAAGGTGAGCAAATCTTGGATTATTTGCAAAATAATCTGACATTATTGGGTCAATAAGAAATACAGAAAAATTGTCATCAAATACCACTTTATTGAAGATATATCTGACAGAATTTCATTCACCAAAATAACCCAGGCTCTTAATATGAACAATGATATTTAAACCCATTTGAATAAAAAATATCCAGATTTCCTTTAAATGAAAACTGAGTAATCAAAACCAATTTTGAGGAGGCAAAAAAAGTACTATTTATCGTCTAAGGGCATCAATTGTCAGAGGATTTCAATTTCATATACAATTCAGGCTACTCATAAATGCTAGTAAACAGACTTGAGGCTTTTAAATAATGCAAGGCTGGTTGACATCAAATCAGATAATGGTGTGACTCGTGCCTCTTTCCAATATATCATCTAGCTTATCACGAAAACAGTAAGATGATATAAGAAATTCAGCTAAATATATCTAAACATTTAGATCAATCCAGACTGAAAAAAAAAACGACTGATGACTGGATGGTCCTTTATGTCTTATGCATAATTGGGATCCCATTGTAATCTGGAGACATGGTGACGTCGGTTTACCTTTGGTTCAAGTTAGTCCTGAATTAAACTTGACCAGGACAAACAACAAGGCAGAATAGAATATACATTTCTGTGTGAAGAAAGCACTGATATAGTAACAGCATGTCAATTTTTGATTAGCACTGCAAACAACTTTAATCAGACATTGACATGGCAAACTGCTTTAATATCGATCAAGTCTACTTCCAATTTGGCTTAGGGAAAAAGCGCATGATTTTGTTTTTTTTTTTTACCACAGATGTTTTATTCTAGCACAGGAGGTTGGTTATAAAACTAGGCACAGAAAGCTATTAGAAGACTTGTTTTCAAAAACTATACCTCTTGATAAATGCACACAATGTGAGTGACTTAGTTACAAGTGCAATTTTGATGAAAAGGAGAAGCCATGATTATTGGATTTTGTTAGATTGTTAAGACTCTTTTATACAATAAGATTAAGACCATGCCAAGCACCATTTTACTAAAACATGAAAACAGAGAGAGATTGTATGATTGCAATCATCAGCTTGTTCTTGTTGTAATATATATGTAGTATGCTCAATTGCAACACAGTTCTCTACTTCTTTGATGAGTCATAAAGGTTACTAGTTGAAACAGTACAAGAACAAGGACATATATGTAATATACATCTTAAATGGTCTGTTCATATCCAATATGCGAACATGATTCATATGCAACCTACTGGTCATAAGGTAATTTCAGAGATCACCTGAGGTTCACAGAGATGTGACCTTGCCTGGTGAATAATTTAAAAATACATTACGCCGAAGATACCTGTAAAAAGCTAAAGAATCCATTTTATTCGTGCATCTATGAGGCATCTTTTAACTTTCAAATCTTGGCAAAGAAACGGCTGCAGTACAGACATCTGTTCAGTGAAGCTTTTAATCTGGACTATTTCCCTTGCCTGCATGAAATCCCCCTTGTGCCTATCTAACCTGAGACCAATTCATTTCCTACAAGACAGTGAGTCAGAACTATACATGCCATAGTGCATGTACATGTAATGGCATAGTTCATCTCATAATAGACTGACCCATCCTAGTTCCTTGTGTACAAAATAACTATCCACTGCCAACACTGTGCCCTCTTTGTGACAAGCTACAGTGTGTATAAGAATAGATAATACATTAATCTAGCGTCTCCTACTGACTTTCATCGCCAGAGTTCCATAGCTTACAAACAAATCATACCTATTCTTGCATGCCAGAGCAATAGCAATTAATACATTAAAAAAAAATCAGGACCTAATTATCAACCTGTGAAGACACTAGCATGTGTGTTTACTTGTGCATACACGAACAATTATCCTGGACAGTATTAAGTAAATGAAAAATTAACACGGAAAAGATTATCTGAATAGTTAAACACATGCCTGTATTCAGAAGAACAATGAAAATCAATGGAAAGGTTATAAGAGATCAGTGTAATTGCACTGGTACATAACGGACTATATACGCAGACAGACAAAGTGATGTTCACTGTGGCATGTTGGAAGCCATTATAAATAAGAGACTGAGAGTGGCCATGTTATTATCAAGAATAAAACAGAACTGACCCCTCTGTCTGGTCATCTCAGGGCCAGACAGCCTGACCACCAGATTTCAAAGGAGATTTCAGTGCAGAGACTGAATACTTTAAAAATATTCACATTTAAATTAACAGTACACAAGATTTTAAATGTCCTCATGTGTTCTTCTTTATTTCAGATACACTATGCTAATGTCCAAAGGTGTGTTATATCCTTTCCAAGTAAGGAAAAATTGCATTTTACACACAGTGAAATTCCTAAAAATTCAAGTAACTACTAGTATTTAATTACCTTCAGCCAAGAAAAGAAAAACTGTGACCTGACAAACATATTATCTATAAGGATGGTACTTTTGAATTTGGAAACACAAAAAGTGATGGTTGTAAAAACTTTAAAAAAATTGTTGAGGGCAACCATGCAAATTTGGCCATTACATTCTCTCAAACTTAAACCATCATCCATGTACAAATTTAGGACACATGCAAACTGCAGAGAAACAATCAGTGTCACATCTACATTACTTTGGCTACTAGATTAGCAATTTCCATGAGTTAAAATAAGTAAAATATGTCCTAATTTGCCAGTTTTATAATAATTTGATAAACAAATGATTTGAACAAAAATTTTGATTCAAACTCAAATATTGTTTGTGTCCCCAGCCAATAACCCAAAGGGGACACTAATTTACCTCAATGACGCCATCTTTGAAACCTTGGCAACAAATGGAGTTAAACACAGTAATTCACTTGCTCCCATCCCTGCGGAGACATTTTATGACCAAAAGTTTGATTTTCTACATGCAGATGATATCTCTGATAGCCTATGAATTGATTTCAAGTTAGCATTAAGACAAGGCCACAAATTCATAAGGGCTATATCAATGGCTGAGAATATACAACATACAGGATTCCTCTTCTGTACACAAATATTCCTCTATATAAAAAAGGCTGAAAGTTCTCTGAGGTCACGTAAGATTTTTTTTTAAATTTTAAACAATTGACTTATTTTCAATCAAGATCCCTCTATAATTAACAAAAATTAGCTTTTTTATTTTTAATTTTTTTTTTCAGCTTGAGCCTAGGTTCTCAATGTTTTGACTCTGTCTAAAAATTGTTGTTGAGTTGCTTACAAGCCGACTCTAAAACTGTGTGTGTGTGTGTGTGTGTGTGTGTGTGTGTGTGTGTGTGTGTGTGTGTAGAGAGAGAGGGTGGTATGGGCAACAGAGTGATTTGTTTGCAGTTGTTTGTTTTAAAGAGAATAAGTAAATGATGAACAACAGGCCTGTAGCCAGGGGGGTTTGGGGGGTTCGAAAGAATCATCCTTTTGGTCAAGAAAAGGTCCATTCTGGGTAAAATCTGAGCTAGGTACACAAAGGTTTCATTGTAAAAGGTACACTTTTTTTTTTTTTGGAAAAAGACCCCCCCTTTTGAAATTGCTGGCTACAGGCCTGAACAACCCGGTGTTTCTATCATCATCCATTGTTGAAACCATTAGACAACACAAATGCTGTGCCATCTACTGGGAGAGAAACTGCAAAGAATAAGCTAGTATTGGGATGTGAACAGAGACTTCAGTTACTGTTAAGTTAAAGAAAATGTATTAACTACTTCAAGCAAAAGTGAATTTTTTTTATTAACTACTGGTCGAAAAGCACTATAACCCTTACCAAGTCTTCCAAAACTTGCAGAGATTCTCCTCTTCAGTTTCTTCAGTCTACTTGCTGGCTTATCACGCACTGAAAATAACAAAAAGATTAGCTCATAAAATGATGTGGCAAGGTTTATAACCCCAGACGCCAGACCTCTTTTTTTCTTTTGTTATTACTATCAATTAGTGCTTATCAGTGCCATCTGCCATATACTGATTAACCTCAGGTGGGGAATTAGTATTACTAAGTTGCATAATGATGTGTTATCAAGCACAAGACTTAAATGTAGAATGTAAACCATGCTTAAAAGGCACTAATAATGCCACTCCCTATACACATAAACTCTATGTGTAATCAAAATATGTGTTGAGTTTATTGGTGGAGAAGATCAAAAAAAAAAAAAAAAAAAAAAAAAAAAAACAGCAGCCATGAAGGAGTACTCATGTTTAAATATCATTTCATTTTTGAGCCAGAGTACCAGATGTGTTTTCCTTTTCTTCTTTCCTTTATCCTGAAAACATAACAGAGCTCTGAAGAGAAACTTATATTAAAAGGTTATTAGCAGGAACTTGATTTGTCAAATGACACATTCAAAAGTCATAAGTTTCACTGATAGAATAGCACAGATGAGTAAATAACCAGTTACTGTAACTATGACATATTTATACAGCTACAACATTTATAAAATCATGAAATAGAGGGCTACATTCCATCAAATAGCAAAAAATATCTTCAAGGCAGGTTTACATAGTGAAAACTGGATCAATCCAGATTAGCTCCATCATGTTCACATTTTCCACACATAAATATATGTATTTGTTAAGGATGATGTTTTAATTCAACAATGTGTCTTGCTATAAAAAATTAGGAATATTATTACATACCAAATACTTTTGAAAAACAAGCAGACTGTGTATTCTGACTGTGAGTAAACTGTATTGCAACAATATACCATAGGGCACAAAAACATTGAGACTGACTTTGATTTGGTAATTAATTCAAGATAATTCTTGTTTGGCATCAAAATAACAAGTATGCCAATGGTGAGAGGCTGTATGGACAAAACATGAAGATTTAGGTGTCTCTGTAGGTGTTATCAATTCCAGTCAGAACTCGGTGATGTAAATAATAATGCATCTCATAAAGACACACACGCAATTTATGTACACATGTATAAAGCAAAAATAAATAAATTAATTAAATATTCATGTTTTTATAAAATGAGAATTAAATTGGCATTCAGCGGAATTGCATCACTGACTCACTGGAATGGCAATCTTAGTTAAATAAAAAAAAGACAAAGGGATATCCCCCTTTATTTTCTTACCCATAACATAATTCCTCCAACATAGCAAACTATATCTCAATATTTCCCTTTTTCCTTCATGGGAAATGAGGACGTGTGAAAAAAGGAAATGATCATACTCTCAAATAACCCTTTTTCTTAAGGTTTTTACATGATACTAAGAGCTTGTTCTATTTCAGTACATTTTTATCACAAGTAAAAATTTCACAGTGCTTTGATTTGTTGACATTCTACAAACATAAAAATCTACATGCATGTCAAATTCCAATGCAAGCAACAACGTTCCAATAACAATAATAGTCACTTGCATGTTATATCAACTTATTCAAATTGATGATTAAATGAAATATATTCAGAGAAGTTGAACAAACATCCAATGTCTACATAATACCATTGATTTAAAAATAAAAAAAAACTACATATAGTAAGTCCATGATGGCCCTTCATTGGTATTGAAATTCCACAAACAAGCTCAATATGGTCCTAAAGGGAGAAAAATTCCTCTACAAGAAAATTTCCATTCTATAAGCCAACTGATATGTGTTAGAACTTTTCAATTTCTGCTCTTTTATGAGGCAGTGTGTGTGTGTGTGTGTGTGTGTGTGTGTGTGTGTGTGTGTGTGTGTGTGGTGGGGGGGGGGGGTAAATGAAACAGTGTGCACGTGTAAATGGTCTGAATTTTATTTAACAACACCAATACCAGAAACCTGCTTATGACAAAAATAAATTACTATAGTGCTAGTTAAAAAAGTTATCTAATAAAATAAGAATATAGTCCAGACCACTAACAAAATGAAAATACAGTCTTTCATTGCCAATATCATTTACAGATTTCTAACCCTTCATGACCCAATGTGAAAAGAATTGGGCATAAGGTTGCAAAGGGGTCACCTTTGTGAACTTTTGAAATGAACACCAAATATCGAGGCTTTATTATTCTTTCATAGAGGATTGTATAAATTCACCAGTAATAATATGTAGGTGAGTTGGGGATAGGGGTACCCACGCACACCTGTTCATGCGCCTGCATATGTTGATAGGTCGACAAACTTGGCCTCTCTCTGCAAGTACGTACTTGTATTGAGTTTTCACTATGAAACTATGTAGCTATAAAAAATTAGCCACATCACTATTTTGAAATAAAATGACGATTAACTGACATTTTTTTTTTTAATTTTCAGTTAAATCATCTGCAGCATTTTACTGACTTCTTTATGCTGACAGTACTCAAAACTACCCAGTCTGTGAAATGTTTCAAACATATTACGACTTGATAATTTCCTCTAGATTCCTCAAAATCAATGCCTCTCCTTATTCAGAAGAGCAAAATCTATTCCAGTATTGCATGTGGTTTTCACATCTGAACCAACCATTCATGATGATGATGATTATACACCACATATGGCCTTCCCCAACTTTGGTTCTTTTCTTCTCTGGCAAATAACTGTGAGGTGTGAGCATCTGGCATATCAGAAATGCTTGAGCCCTTTCATTGCCAAATGAGTTACCTTAGGCCTTCAAGCAATGAACTTAATGTAACTTGACGTTTGTGTTATTTTCAGCAGGCTAGTAAAAGAAGTACTACATCATCACACTTGTCAATACTAAGGAGCTTTCTACCCCATGTACATGGCACCGCTGCTATACAACGTAGTTTTCTTCTCTTTTTCATTCCTAAACACAAGCACTGCTGGGGAACACTCCTCAGGTCAAATATAAAATTGACTGTGTATAATTCTGGGTTGTACAACAATATCACAATTAAAATTCCACTTATATTGTACAACATAATATATATTATATCATTTACAATCTATATGAAAGTTGGTTATTTCATATATCTAATATGATATAATATAGATCTGTTTCAACACAGTCCAGTGAATACTTTTAGAACAGATGTAAATTTTAAAGATAATTATCATGATGATAAATGAGTAAGGTACACATTAAATATATTGATAATGGGTCAGGCTAACAGATAATGAAGGTGAAAAGGTAGACATGATATCTCTTTATTTATAATTAATATATTTCACTTTCCTAAATTCTGATATTAAAAAGTTTAACATAACTGAAAATATGTATCACATTTTCCACAGATTTTAATTACAACCGTGTATTTTGCAAAGAAAATACTTCCTTAAAAAATAACTGTGCAAGACTTCCTTAATAATTAATGCAGCCAGGGTCATTAAACTAATAACTGATAAAGAAAATGCCCGATGTCTGGTTACAGTAGGTTGATAACACACTTTAAATGTTACTCTTGTAGGACTTACATATCGTTAACCCATTCAGTGTATCTATGTGGCTTAGCATATCAAAATTAATATATCAACATTAATATTTCAGATACATTAAGGGAGACTTTTGTTGGTATCGTACACAGTTTTTATTTCCCCACTGCATGCAGTTTAACGCTTAGAGAATCAGACAAACATGTTTCTCGGTGAAAACATTGAGTAATCACAAATGTTTACAAAAGGCATAATCAAACTCACTGCGTGTTACTGTTAGGATTCGGGCGTCTGGGTGAAAATTCATTCAAATTTAAGTTAATGTGTACGCCTTAAAACAAAAGATACAATCTCAGATTGCAAAAAACAGCCCTAGCCCTCTCAAATATTAAAAAATGAGGTGTTTTGAAGGAGGAAAGATCACAACAAGGGTAGCCAGTGACAGAGAGTAGGTCACAACAACCTGTAATCCCTCTGGGCTCTGGTCAGTCAGATCGCCACTGGCTAACGTTAACTACCAACCACCACTTACCCTCTCTCATCATGACTGAACCTGGTATAGCAGGATCAGACTCCATCTTCAACGTTTTCTCACACCGAAAGAAAATCTCCTTAGGTTCCTGTCGAACCTACGCTCTTTTTTGTGCTACAAAAAACCAAATTTAAATTCGGCTTTGTGCACCTACAGCACTTCCTGCGTAGCGCGCCATCTTGGTATAATATCGTGAATCATCCGGGGCTTTTCTGTTGTTGTTTACAATATGTCTGCGCCCGGTTAAGCGCACGTGGCTTTGTTTAGAAGCAATGACCTGCACCAATATATGCGCAGCCAGCAGTAAGCAGAAGAGGGGAAATAATAAATCCTCATAATATTTATACATAAATGTATGGACCCTCCAGCATTACTCTCCCGTGAACAGATGATTTGAAACAGTTGTGAATCTTGGATTAAATCTTTTAAAAATTATGTAATCTTAAACATTTTTCTTTCAGGATAATTTAAATATGCATGCAAATAAATAAACGGCTGCTATATAATAACGTTTGTTTTATTTTATGTACCTCGGAGTATACACCGGTTTTTCATCCGGAATTAACTGCAACATCAGTGTAACATATGGTTTAATTCATCTATAATTTTCTGGCGTAATTTTTACTCTCTTAAATAGCAGGGTTGATTGGTACATGTAATCTAATAATGTTACAAAACGGATTTGCCGGGTACTTTACGTCTATAGAACGTATTTCGTAAGAGTTATGAAGTAAATTTGGAGATCAGAGAGTGCACAAATCAGGTTTACGACCACTGTATGTTGTAGGTCGACGACAATGTCATGGCGAAGGCAAGTGTGTGAGACTTACAATACTGGTACAATCGTCCTCAGTTTATTTGTTGATATCAAGAATCCTTTATTTTACTCCAGGGGCAGATCCAGGATTATTTGAAGGGGGTGGGGTCCGCGGATGCGAAGCCGACACTCCTGACCACTCAGGACCCCCCTGACCCCCCCCCCCCCTCCCCCTCTGAATCCGCCACTGTACTTTAATAATGGAATATCGACACAAATGGCCAGTCTTCCTTCCCCGCACAGAAAAAGGGCCTAAAGATGTAGTTATTGCATTAAAGTCACATATGTCATCAGAAGAGGCATGTATACACTCAGTCAATATGAAATATTTAAAATTTGATTGCTTACGGGTTTTTTTTATCTTTTTTTTTATCTACATCAGAAATTGTTTACAAATACAATTTGGATCTATTCTTTTTTCACATTTGAAGCCTGCTGTCACCAAATATAAAATAATATCATGTGAATATTACTTTTCTGACAGGCGAATGTGACCACTATCGGCCCTTCTAGTATACAACTTAGTACAACCCCATCTATCTGGTGACAGAACTGATGTATTTGCACATGTACATTCACACGAGTCCATGAAGCAGAGTAATAAGCAGAGTAAAATATCTAGGCCTAATGAAAAAATCCAATTTTAAGTGTTAGGATCTACGTGAACTCACGAAAGCCAAACCCCTCTCCCCTCCCCTTCCCTAATACTCGCATACACTGCCAGTGCAAAATAATAATAATAATTAATTGAATAAAGTTAATTGGGCTAACTGCATGACTACCAGGAATGACAACATTACTGTAGGCCTACTACAAATGCAGATATTTACTGTTTTTACACATAAATAAAAAAACAACACTGGTGGCACAATAAAGAAATAATCCAGAGAATGAAAAGAATTCGCGTTCACGAATGCGTATAGCTGGCAACCCTGAGCTTATGAATTATTTCTTTACGTTATATGAAAATGTTATTTATGTCTCAACTTCTATGTGACTGTTTAGTACAGATTGTCACAACCAGGTTGAGACCTACATCACACGATAATGCGTCTATACATTCTTCTCTAGCACATTCTGGCCATATTCATAGTAATTGTTGCAATCAGACCGAGTATCGGATGAAGAACCTGTGACGTTGCGTTCATTATGTCTTCTCCCCACATGGGAGACCTATACTTTGCCGAAATAAAATATGCAGAAATGAGGTCCGATCTATCAGCAGTAGCATGACTAGGACTTCAACTCAAATTTCAATCATCCACGTCTTTTGGTACGCCTTTTGCAGGCATTGAATATTTGATAATTAAATGCCACATAATTATTTTCAAATAATAATGATAATCCGTTAGATTGAGGACTGAATTTTTGTACGATGTTTACCAATGGTGCCTCAAAATTGGTATCTACATGAGACTAGTTTTTAAATAGATATTAATTCAAAAATTTACCTTTTGACAACTATTGGCCCTAAATTACAGGCAGGTTTACGAATATCAATAACCAAACTGCATATTTCTATCATATTTAACCTGTAATATCAGAAACTATATGAATTCAATCAACCACTGCCCTCAAAGCAAATAAAACCCGGTATTCTGTCCAAGACTAGTTTACGAATTACACACAGATTTCTACAATTGACGTTCAAAACTGAACCAAATTCCAGACGGATAATCAAAAAATTAACTTCAACGGAGCGCTCGTGTCGACCAGCCAGCTGTTGTACTCAATGCTTCAATCTGGACATGCCTCCACGTAACGCCCCAAGAATCTGGTGAAGTATCCTTTTATGTTAGGCCAAGAAAATGTAATACATGCATATACATGTACATTTTTTGATGAGAATTAAGTCTCACTAATTTTGATTAAAAAACAAACTATTAAAACAACGTTTACAGTTTTTACTTTTTAATTTTAATTGATGGAACAGATGGCTATATTCTTGCATGTCTGAACAGCATGTATTGCACAGGGAAAAATAACACTGATTGCTAGCAGTTTGTTTTGGAGTTACAAAGTTGACGTAATTCTGAGATTTTTCGTTTTCTTTTTTATGTTCTTGATCATAATCCCTTTCCTTCTTGAGTATATTTACCCCTTTATTACCAATATCTCGCATATCTTTCAAAAACTTTTCAACTATTTCTTATCAATTGGAATCATAATCTGCGGTCTTTTTGTTCGTCCACTTTCCTAAACTTAGGACGAATTACATAACATGCCGATAATCTGTATTGATTATTTATCATGTTACACATTTTCCAAATTGTGAATTGTAATTTAAGATTAATGGATTGAAACCCTTCATTTTTGTATTGAGATACTAACTGGTTTATTGTTAATACACAAATCCAAGGCGGAAGTTGAAATCAACGTCATTAAAAGAAACAGAAACAAACATTTGAGGTCCAGGTTTGTTCACGTTGTGTGTAGACGCCTGAGTATTTTTACAATTTTGTATTACATATTACAGCTAAGTTTGTTTTAGACGGCCAGTGGTTAATCAATCCACTACATATAGAAACAGCTGTTGTTATGGTAGTCCACGTGCCACTCATTCTTTAACACAGATATTTTCATTTGTTAGTGTTTTTATTGTCTGTTCTCTATATCCGGCCACTTTGAGGTGTGCGCGGAAGCTAACCATACTGTGCACGGAGCGACCGAATATCTATATTTGCTACACAGTTTTGCTACATTCCTCGGCTCGCAGAAACTTGGCCGGTTAACAAATTTTGATCTTGCCTCCGCGTGGTGCTTCGGGTAGTTTTAACTCTCGGGTTTTATCTGGTTTGTACAGAATTAGAAATAAAACGAAGGGCGAATGCTTAAAATACTTTCGCGTGCACAAAAAATCAGTTTCATTTGGTTCGCCACGAGGGTCATGTAGACGAAAGAAATAAGCATTGACTACAGTTCATGACAATATCATGCTATTTATTAGTATGTAGATATATGCATGTTTAAACTTGGAGGTTAAAACAATGTTCACATTTTTCCTAGAACAAGGCATTGAGGATTATTTAGAAATAAATAATTAAATAGTAAGACAACACACATACAGACACAACAACAGCAATAACAACAACAAAAATAACAAAAACAACATGAAAAAGACAAGAAAAGAAAATGTGGCCTTATAAACTTCTTTTGTAATCTTCGAGAGATATGTAGATCAAAAAAATCCATACCCGGAGAAATTTTATCGAAACTCGCGACACTTATCGACTGCGTTCTTCATCTCCGTTCAAAGAGGACTCGAGCTGAGAATTACTGTCTCATGTTTTCTAAATGAATCGATACTCGGTTTTCAATGTCAAAAGGAGAGGGTCTATAGTGCTGATGTGAACTGTTAATGATAAAACAATTTTAACAGTTAAAATCATTAAAGCGTCCAGAAAGTTCTAGAGTTTTGTTTTATTAAAAACCGAGTGAAGGCGCCCGTACAAGAATGTGATGCGCGTAAGATGAAAAATATTGGACAATACAGTGATTTTTAGTGCTCGGAAAGGTTAGATACTTTGATTGAGTCTGTAAGGGAATTCTACATGAAACACTGTACATTAGGGCACCCTAGTGGTTGTCCCATCGTACGCATTCCAGTTCGATCAGGTAAATATATATTTAATATAAAAAATCGACACACCTGATTTTGACAGGTTAGCGCTGAACATTCTTAGCATATCAGGTTACTCCTTGGAGGAAATAGTAAAAAGTACAGTTTCTTTTCCAAATTCCTAAAGTTTGTCAAATAACTTATGTGACACGTTGCGTAGACCGAATCCCCGTTCTGAGTGGTTTTAGCAAAAATCGTTCCAGTCCTAAGATCAAGAAATAGATTTCATATTGCAAGTTCTCCTTTATAATCACTGCTCATTATGCTTCTACAATAGAGAGTTTGCAAAGCGAGGGTTATTAGGTCGATTTTTTCCCTAAAACCCATTTGAAAGCGATTTTGGAGAGCAACCTCATTTGCATTAAATAAACCAATTTTAAAGAATTTGTCAGTGTTGCATTATGACAGGCAACTTGAGCCTAGTGCGCTTTGACTGATACTTGTTATGGCAAATTTCAACAGTTTTGTATTACTGCTGCTTTTGCTGCTATTCTGAAAGTTGGCAAGGAAAACTCAGTGGTATGCATGTCGTTAGCAGAGGCAATAAAATGCCAGCGATTGTTTCAACCTGTCAGTATTTGACTGACAGTCAACCATTGATATCATTAATCCACTTCTTATAACATAATAAAAAAACCTGCAGAGGTTAATCCATCACTCGCTTCTGCACAACCCAAATATTTAGAAACACCTAAGATTTCCATTGTTTAAGACAAAGTGGGGGTCAGTTCGCACTAGACTGCTTACTATGTGGTAATATACGGCGGGACACAGTTAAGTTAAAACATAACATTTGCACCATCTTTTGTTTTTATACCTGGCTCTTATTTGATTTCTTGGCCAATTTGCCACAGTCAGACCAGTTTACAGGCAGAAGATGGGTAGAGGAAAATGCGTACTGCTCTTCTGTCGGTTTGAGGCGTAACGGTTTGGATGTATTAGGGCAATTACAAAGGCAGGAGTGGCTAGCACAGGGGTTATCCTGAGCATCGTGAGTTTCACCTCTGGTCAGTTTACCTACACATGCATGAACGTAGAGCTCATTCTGGTGCGTCACCGTCAGTGCTCTCAGGGTGATAGAACGACTTTGACTTGTGAGTATTTTTATATTTTACTCCTTTCGACCTATTTTAATAATTTTTTCACGCTCAAGGTTTTCACAAACACCTTTTTCAATAGGTGAAGGAAAAATTGCTTCATGCTTTAAAAGATTAATAGCAGTTTTCTTTAAAAAGACTTCCAAAATTCTTACCTCTGCAAATCATTTACGCACAATACACCCTTGCTTCCCAAACACTTGCTGTTTTACTTTTTATTTGCCTTTGATTCATTCCTGAATCATTTTTTATTTGAAATTTCAGCAATTTTTTCTCTAAGCTCTGGTAACTGATTCGTTGGGATTGTTTTGATGTCGTCTCTGCACTAATGAACTTTTCAAAGGAATCGGCAATGTTTTCTTATATGTAATGACATTATGCCCGTATGAATACAGACAACAACAATTTAGTCATAGTTCAGGTGCATGTCAGATGTCTTCAAACATTTGTCATTGCCGATTCAGAGTTAATTAGCAGAGTCTTTAGATGGCGCCTTTTGAACACTATGAGTAAGAATTACATATCGTAATCTATTATTGATTTCAAACCTCTAGTGATGATGAGCAATAATCAGCTTATTGAAAGAGAGTACGCTTCATTGGGTATTACATCAAAACACACACGATGTTTCCCGATTTCTGATAAAGTGACATACGGTCAGCTCAGTTTTTTATACTCACGGATTAATAAACTTTTGGCGCCCTGGGACTGTATTACGTAAAACCCCAGGGGCTTCGTTGATTTAATTGGTCGAATTAATTACAAATTAAAATCAGTTACACATATATTGATGTTTTGAGTTCTAATGAACTGTTCTAATTAACTCGGAAAATGAAAAGTGTTGAATGTCCAATTTAAAATGTAAAAGAAACATGTGTATGTACCCAGATGCCCCACGGCGAGTAAATTCCGACATAGGCCTGGAGACATTCGATAAAATGCAATTAGTAAACGTGAAGTGCGTGTCAAACTGACTGGTCACGTGTGTAAAAGTGACCAATCAAACTCGTGTGGAGGGGTGACAAAATGACGGAGGAGGATAGTGATACGAAAATAATTCCTCCTGAAAATATTCAGAAATCAAACAACCAATGACATTTTCTACAAAATAAACATGTTACTAAACTACCATGAATATTGCACAGACACTCTTTTGAGTGATTTCCCAAATGTCAGTCATCAGCGAAATTTTTTTCTCTTTTTTATTTTAGAGATGGGAGGGAGTTTAACAGGTTTCACCACCTGCCAATCATCAAACAAATGATGAATCGGTTGTAAATTTGCACTTAAACAAAAAATATTGATTCCAGTTTGTTTGGATATATAAGTGATTCCACGCGAGGACGCTGGCAAGCGACTAGCGGGCGGCGTTCCAGTGTTCTTGCTCGTCTATGCGTTTATGTACACTCATATTCCCAACGTCTGCGTTTCACGGAGTCTACACACTGAGAGGAAAATCATCTTAAATGTCTTAGTGGAGAAGTATCGGCCAATCATCTTATTAAGAGAGCAGATCGCACCCTCCATGTTGCCTACTGCCAAAAACCAACAGCATTCTTGTGGTTGACTTTCCAAAGCGTTTTCTTTAAATTTTCGTGCACGCATCGCTTGCCTCTACTTCCATGAAAGTACTGAGACTAACTACCATCACAAGTACAACCGTCTGCATCTTCAGACATAAGGACATTGAATTTTATTATCTTGAGGATTTCTAGAACGACTTGTGTCTGAATGAAATCGATTTTTGCCGATTCTCGGACTATCTGTTAAGCTGCATTTTGCATTGGGGACATTAGGAGTTTCGCTTTGCGGACAAGAACATGCTTACCGTACTCACAAACAGCGGTTAGTCATCAGAAGTAAGAAAAACAACAAGTTGCAAGAGAGATAAAAGGTGGCTTCCGAGAAACCTTCGGCATTGCAATGTCCTCCCAACTCCGGCTGATGAAAGAAACACCACCATAACCAAGAGAGAACCGAATCCTTATTGATTACGTTAGACGGTGAGTACATGTATATTATTTATGATTTTAGAATAAGCACTTTATGAGGGAAAAAATCTATTTTAAGATATGCAACCGAGTTAATTCCTGCTCATACCATTCTCTTGTCTTAAGGGTTCAGACTGATGCATAAGTTTATAGCCAATGGCATATTCGAAATACTTGATTTCTGCTGTCTCATGTTTTCAAAACTGGGGTGTGGAAATTGCTTTTGGTTTAAAGAATATGTTTGTATCTGAAAAAGCTGTCATTCATTCACATGAGCATTAACTTAAAAGTCTGTTAAATCTTCAGTTAATGAACCTCAATCATGCATGAGACAGTATACGTTATTTCAGTATCTTATCAATTCTGTTTGTGATGTTTTTCAACCACACTCATCAAGCCAATGGATTTGCCATAGGTTTGCAGCGCCACAAGTTGAATACATCCATAAAACGTTTTATGCATTATTGTTCACCAAGGCGTTTTAACAATTTTCACTGGAGACTCACATAACCTCTGAAAGTAAAACATACCAATGCAATCCGGGTTTCACCTAGCTAGTTTTTCTTTGCAAAGCCAACATGCAAAAATGTTGCTCAGTGCACGATTCCAGACGGGGCACACACTCGCCCATTTAAATCATCCCCGATTGTAGTAATCGTTCGAACAATTGTTTGAAAAAAAGAAATGAAACTGTATTGAAGAAGCTGTATTTTACAACTACAAGTCAAGATGCGCTCACTGGTCTACGGTTTCAGTTACGCGTTTGTTGTGTTTCAAAACAAGAACGATTGTAACCCTCTTATCACGGTTGTATCTCGGTGCAAAATTATGAGCGAGGGCGCATAGTTACCCAGCAGGCTCTTACACCACCGTTTACTACAGGCTTTGGTGCAGTCAACGGTAGAATACGTTAACTATAAAGCAGTTGTTTAGGCGAAAAATGTTTTTCTGATATTGAAACCTTATTCCAGTGCAAATACTGGCGCTACAATCGCATGGTTTTGTTTAGTTAGGGTTATTTTGTACAGTGCCATCGCTGTCTTGCACTACCGTGTTCAGGTTGACGGAGGATGGCTTCCTCTTGCAATTTTCATCAACTCTGTCAAATATTATTGAAATACAATATAATATATCATCAGTGCGTTCACATAATTAACCAGCTAACGATGTTTCTTTCTTTTTTTTCGAATTCTTTTGAAAAATTTCTTTTACGATATTAATCCATCCTGACATAGGCACTTTTCGTTTTACAAATTTTTCTGTAGACTTTGTTTTTCTTGGACTGTTCCTGCATATTATCAAATGTCTGGATTTCTATTTTAACGAATTCATCAAAAATACACTGCAAAGGCATGATATAAGGGAAGTGTAGCGCAGTATTCTGAATCCGACCAGGTTTGCTCGACTCCATATATCAATCACCTGATGCTTGTAGTTATCTTTTTGCTCGAGTTCATTCTTATTTTACAAAGTTTAAAGGAGATTTAGCCCCAAGACAAGAGTGTAATTTCACATGTATCCTAAAATAATCAGACACGTCACATTCAATTTTACCAAATATACTACAAGCCATTTATATGGCGTTATCTTAAAGTGCCTCCTCCGAACATCTCTCAGTGGGATATCATAGTCTATGTGTTTTTCGATTTTGTTCTTCCAGAATTCAGTATTGGTGCTAATTCATGCTCTAGGGAATTTCCCCAATTTGCTGTTCTTTAGAAAGAAAAGAAATGCAGATACGATACAAATTAATCTGGGTAACGGAGAAAATGCTGTGAAACTGACTGGGGATTCTCTTGGTTTTGACTAGGGAAGAGCACAGAGGAGAAATGGTTATATCCCATTTTAGATTGAAAACTTCCGCGCGTCCTTGATAGGAAGTAGGGTCCACAACGTTTTGTGCGATAACTTGTTGTTGCCTAGCCCATTGTGTTTAGAGAGAGAGAGAGAGAGAGAGAGAGAGAGATAGACGGTCAGGAGCAGAGATCGACTTAATTCTTAACGCACAGAAATAAACAAAAATCAATGGGTAACGTAAAAGCCGTCACGCATACATCTTTTTAAAGATAGTTCAATGGGGATTAACCTTTAATAATTGAGTATTAAACATTTACAGTGCATATCTTTGATACTTAACTATTAAACTGCTTGAAAATAGAAGCACGTGCGTACTCCATTAGTTATAATTAGCGTGGAAATCCATACGTGTCACGCACTCAGTCGGTCTGAAATCTAACGTGTCGATGTGCACTCCACAACCTGCGCTCAGTACCAAGCATCTCGCGATACGGGGTGACTGAAGGGTAGGGGACTTTTCGGTCTCTAAATTTAATGAAAGACTTTAAATCGGTCGCATCAAACGCGTACGTGACGTTTTAATGCTAAAAACCAAGATACCATACCAGTCACAGCCGATCAATGTTACGCGAATTTAATTCCCTCTTGTGCCCGATCGCGCAGCTTTAATGCGATCACTTCTTACGTCACAATCACGTAATAAGACGATCGAAGTTGTGCGCGGTTGCTCGTACAAAAAGTCGACGTGGTACTTCACGGTCTCAGAGTTTCGTGTGTAGTCCATGCTGAAAATACCAATGACCATTTCATAGTCTTGTCCTATTGTATGTATCCGGCAAGATAATTCAGTGGTAGGCTATAAAGGATAAAATAGCAAGCTGTTGGTAAGTTGTTAGTAACAGAAGCGCTTAACCTTATGTTAAACATACCTTAAATAGTACACTTATTATATATAATGTAAATATTGAGGCACTGTAGCTGTAAGTAGTTATCACTAACAACATGAATAATAACTTTATTACATGTTAAATCGTTGTAATTATATGCAAGGAATACATTAAGGGTTTGAAGTAATGGTAACTGTGACGACAATGACAATACTTTCAATACAGGATAATTATCAAATATATCAAGCGTAGATTGCAATTCTTATCGTGGAAATGTTGACCTTTTCCATCAAATTTGATGATACCTAGTTAATGGCTTAGGACATGTGTAGTGCATGGACGTACTTTATCCAATCATGCGACTTGATTTATATTCAGCCCTTAACGATGTGACACCGAGGGCAATAGAGTAGCTAGAGAAAAAAATATGTAAAAAGACACATATTGGCATGTATATGTAATGAGGATCAAACTTTGGTGTAATGTTTTACTAAATGCTGAAGATAATCTATTCGGAAATAGAACGTGGAAATAGATATTGATTACTAAAATCTGTTTAGACTTCGCCTAATGATTTTGAGTGTTCGGGAAAAAATGAGACATTCGTTAGCGCGTGCTTCATGTCGTCACTTGGTTTCAAAATTACATCCTTAATTTTTGAAGTTTTTGACAAAAAGTGACATTGTTTACAAAGACCCCGTTCCAAAAATAACTGAATGTTTTCTATTTCGGCTATGTATAAGGGGAATAATAATTTAAATATTACGGTTTGAGTGCACCAGACACAAGACTTGTACAGTCTACGATGACAGAAAAACAAAAGATAATTGTTTTGCACTTACTTGAGGCAGCTGTTTCTAGATGCACTCGGTACCACGACAAAAAATTCGAACAGCTAATTATTTCATTCAATTATTCCCCGCCACGCTAAAAATACCTCCCTTACTAATTATATGACGACAGACTGATTAATACTTTATAAGGTCTAGGAATTTTTGATGAGACAACGCAAAAGGAGAGTGGCTTTAAGCCGAATGGACTGGACGCGGTCATCTATTTAACGACTTCTCAAGGTAATATTTCATATAACAGATGAGTTCCTGCTGTGTTTGGGAATATCCTTAGAATAATTACATTGACAAATCCTTACTAATGACCTTTGTGTTCTTGCTAACAGATAGTTTAACGGAATCAGAGTAATAATAGGCCAGCGTCAGAAATATTCTAGAAATATTCACAGGCATCGTCACACAGCCAAGCAATATATCATGTTATATTATATATATAGCAATTTTTACCCAAGTAAAAGTGTCAAAATACTGGGTTGTGTGATATGACAATTTTCCGGCGCGACAAACAGTAGACAGATGAAGGATGAACACGTCTCATGATATCAATATTAGCTGACAGAGAAACAATGGATGCGTAAAAAAGCGATTTTACTACTCGGAAACAGACGAGCGATCACATAACATTGTTTGCGGTAAAAAAGAGCTCATAGACAGGGAGAAAAAATACCGAATGGATAAATTAGTGGTTGGATACTTGGTCCGATTACTTGATTTATTGTCTTTCAATCAACTTTGCGGATATGCTGGTGCAAAAGTTTGCGCTGTACTTTGAAAGATGGGGAATGGCAAACTCCCGGATCACATGCATTGGCAAAACGTTAACAGTGTCAACGAGAAAAGAATGCAAGTCATCATTTTATTCTCCTGCAAGTTTCGTAAATGGCAATTAAAAGAATGTTCTGAAATTACATTTAGATTACACCATCATCTTCATCGATTTTGCAGTATTACAATGACCCCCCCCCCCTTTTTTTTTCATCAGAATCTCAGTCCCAATGAATGTCACCTGCGGCTAAGCTACCCCCACTCTCTCAACCCAACACCCGTCAATTAGTTACCTCCCTCCTTCCCATCCCCCCTCCCTGGGGTTTAGATTGCCCATGCTTTCTGTTGGGAAGGAGGCCTCAATAAAAAATGATAATAACTTGACTGATTTCCAAACTAAATAGTATTTCTAGTGTGCGTTCATTTGATCAGTCTCAACTACTCGAACTTGTTCTTATACGTTCAAATAACCACATAGAATATATTGCAGCATGCGGAAGACTAGAACAAAACATAAGCAAATAAGACTGAAAGCACTTCCCGTCCTTGCTGTGTAAACGCTAGACGATGAGACGTCTGAAAGATAGAAAATATTTGAACGATGATAAAATTAAACAGCCATTTTTACAAGCAATTCATCTTGGTTTTGTCCCGCTTGAAAAATCAATGCAGTCGCGCAGAGGTGCCTTGATCTCGCGGTGCCTGGTTAAAAAAAGAGCAGATTAACCCGATATTCTAAAAGCTCAAGGACATTTAAATAACATGCTCGCTAAAATAAGGCAAGATCTACTTATGCGTATTTTCATGAATGAAAATTAACCAAGGAGATCATCAAATATGCTAGGGCTCAACACAATGTCGACTTGATTTTACAATTTTGTACAGATTCTACTGGAGGGATGCGTACGAAGATGTTTTAACTTCTTATCGCAGATAATTATGTGTACTTTTCTCTCACAGTGCAGAAAGGTACCATCATTTATCTAGAGACATAAATGTGAATATCTTGATTCTAGTGAAAAATCTATCTGTGGCCCTGATAGAGACTACGAAGATGTATTTTAAGGTTAACCCCCCCCCCTTTCACCTCTCAGCCCACGTTCTTGGCATTTTCATCAGTATTTGTGGGTTTATGAGGAATACAACAATTAACTTATATTGAGGCTGCCATTTGTTAGCCAATACCGGGTGCTTGTGTCTATTAAATAATTCCCAACAATAATTCCCATCTTTACACTTTATGAAGTATATACACTTTTTTCTCCATTTCTTTTTGGTCTGTTTTCTTCCTGCTGGATATAATTTAGATAAAAATACTCAAATATCAATGGCTAACTCTATCTTTGTACATGAATGGTATATGTATAGTACATTTATTAGGCTGCTTAACACTGCCTAGTGGTTCATTGGGATTACACGGATTTCGTGAAGATTTTTTAAACCAAACAGCAGTGTGTATACTGCTCATGCTATCTGGGATGGTCACTTTTTGTAAAATGTCATCGCATATATATCGGTCGAGTACATGTGGAGGCGTTTTTTCTTTATTTGCAATTCTCTCTCTCCCTCTCTCTCTCTCTCTCTCTCTCTCTCTCTCTCTCTCTCTCTCTCTCTCTGCCAGGTAGGGCCTATAAGCATCCATGCCTTGTGTAAGGAAGGATCGGGCCCAGTAGTGGTTTGCACTTGGTTGGTCTTTTCAAATTTAACCAAAATTAATACCCAATGGCGCACTTTTTGACATTTACATTGCACCCCGGTTCGCTGTGTGTGTTTGTTAACATTGTCTGGTTTTGCCAGTTTGTTTTCGGTAACATCGCCAGTAGTATTCAAACAGTTCAACGTAAACAACATAAATGTAAGGTTCTGAAGGTTATTTTCACACAAAAGAGAGAAAAGTACGCCAACATGACCATCCTGGTTATTGACAAAAACTTACTTAACCTTGTGTTGAAATTATGATGTTTTATTTGGCGTTGAAATATTGTCGGTCGCTTCGTTGAAACACATGTCAGATGACTGTTTAAAATGCCCATCTCCGATCTAGTTGTGGCATAAAAACATTTATATCATCAGAACAAAAATAGGTTAATAGGCCTAAATAAATCCAAAAGTTCTCGGACACCATTCTTATGTCTATGGCAAACACCAGTGGTCACAGTTTTTGAAAAGTGTTTTTACCATATCTGTTATAATACAGTGTTATTTCCACCTTTAATGAACGGTGAAGGATACCCATGTTGGGTAGCGTAAAAACACTGAACCTCAGAGTTTTAACACTCTTCCGAAAAATCTATTATAATACAATTAACTGTGGTAGAGTAAGTTCACGTGAAACTCAGGGCGATTACACTCTCCTGAGCAATCTTGCGAAATGCTTGACTACGGTTCTTAATATTAAGCATTCTCAACCAGACAGTTCGGTCAGAAATTTCATCATAATTACCCAAGCTTACCAGATTTTAAAATCAGGCTGTGCCTTGGAGATTCTCATCAACAGACGATCTGATATTTTACTACCTGGTGATATTAGATTGCTCACTTCAAAGCGTTTAAAACAAAATCAGGACATACGGTTCCATTAACTTAATTTTTTGTTTATGTTAAGGGTGGGTATGCTCTTCGCGATAAGTTCTCCTCGCGTCTATACGGTGTAAGTATCGGAAATTAATTGCACATCAAAAGCCTGGGACTGCAAGTTTGAAACTCTTTGCTGGTTGCATGGTGGGCTTAATTAATACATGTATATGATCAGCACTGTAATCCGTATTAGCTGCGCTAATTGTTACACTGAATTTTTTGAGGGTGTGATAAGGCGCGGGGGTATCAACCTACATGTATATAATCGACAAAAGAAAGGAGTACATGCTCTTAAAGTCGTCCGAAGAATACCGATTCGTACATGGAAGCAAATGCGTAATCTTTTTATTTATTAAACCTATGGTTAATCGTTCTTTGCTCAAGTATACATAAGATTCTGAATTTCAGTTTTATTATGCAAGTCCCTAAGATAAGCTGAGGCATGCGCATCGTTCATTTATTCTAATCATTTAAGTGCACCTAAAATAATACTAACATTTTAAATATTGTTTTATTCAGACATGTTTTTAAATACAATGTTGTTAAAACTTTATTTGGATGAGAAGCATGGACCTACGGTTTTTTTGTTACTCTTTTTTTCTCTGTTTTATTTAATGCAAGATTTGGTGCGACGCCAACAGTTTACAGTTTGTGTCTGTGTTTTTTTTTCCACGAAAGAACTCTGAGGCCGACAATCATTTAGTACCAAGTACTTGCAATCTTAGCACGATTTTCACAATTTGGGTACCTTGCACAATATTGTCATCTAAGAATAAACCTCATGCCTGTTGTTTTTTTTTCTTTCAGAAAAAAGACTTAAGGATGACACTGACTTTGGAAACCTTGTTCTCGGTTGTCATACTAACGCTGACCACGTTGGCTCAAGGCATCATTGGTCAGAAGATACCCAGTAGTAACAGTGCCTACACACAATTCCAGCTCACCCATACAGAGATCTTATACGACACAAAGGCTCTGCCTGATGGGACCGAGGTGATGAGTTTCCTTTACAAAGGAGACAAACAGAGGTTGGTTCTCTACCAGGTTTTCAATTTTTTTTTCAGAAAGTGCAACAACGGCGAAGGAAATTGCGAATTGACAAGTAATGCTAGATAACTTGGACATGAAACATTTCATAAACATTAATAAGGGCTAATGTTGGGTCAGCAACATTAAATTTTGTGATTAGGTATAACATAATTATAAAGATAAGTTAGGGCTAGTTCATCTGATTGTATCAAATATTACACTTAGCTTATGTATTTCAGGATATTTTGAAACATTGAGTTGGCATCCAAAAATGCCTTAATCAAATATAACACTATAGATGTTAAACCAAGCTGCATGATAATTGACAAACATGTATTTCACTCTGCAGATTTTATTTCATCGTGGACGAAGATGAGAGTCCTCTGATTATCAAGGTGACGCCCTGCGCTTCTCCTCTGGAGTTCAAGCTTTACCACGGAGAGTTACCCGTAGAGGAGCGGAGTGGCTCTGGACAAGGTGAATATAAATTTCCAGGCTGTTTTTCTAAATTATTCCATTATCTGTGTTTAGCATTCAAATAAATTACCGACAATTTATTCAATCCACAGCCTTATCTTAATAATATTTTCAACCGTTGTGTCCGTGGTACGGTAGTAGCCAACGAAACATTGATTGAACAACAATTTTACTTAGGTGTAGGTTGACGAAACAGTACACACTTCACGGTATTCAGGTTTCTTCTTTTGTTTAACAAAAATAGCCCACCTTGTATGACATCCAGGATCTAGCTTCCACAGAAACATTAAGACCCAAGAGGAGACACAACATAATAGATTCACTTGGATATAATTTTTGTAAAGCGTAATAAACGCAAGATATATATGATATTTGGTAATATTGGTCAGGCATGCAGCACTTTTCTCCGTTAGAATAAACGTGAGATAGAATTGATTTGCATCTTCACAACGTAAGATTTTGTGACAAAATCTGATAATAATTTCTAATCGTTATTCTATTACAGTTGAAACAGATGAATTCCTGCAACAGAAGCGGGCAATCTTGCCAACGACAACGCCTACATCTAGTCGACCTTTGACCTTGCAGGAAGGGGACAGCATCATGTCATACACGGCTTTTACCTCATCATCCGGACTGTATGTGATAGAGGTGACAGCTCTTACTAGTGATACCAGCATTAGGCTTTATGCGTCCACAACGCAAGCTGACCACTCCTACCCAGAGATACCAATAGGGGAGGACGCAGTCACCGTGACCAGCGTCAGTGAAACCTCTGTCCACGTCTCTTGGGAGCCAAGTCCTAGCGACGCTCTTCATAATGATCCCATCGAGTATTGTGTCATGATAAATCAAGAGAAAAACATGAAGACCATGTGCGCCGCTGAGGCGTACATGCACGGAAATTCCGCGCCAAAACTTCCACCAAATCTTGGATTTGGATTCACCTGGGAAGGGAGGGAAAAGAAACGGAGACAGGAGTCGCGTATATCTGCTGCAGATCCAAGTGAATATTTCTTTATTTGCATTGGAACAAAAACAAGTTATGCTTTTAGCGATCTTCAATTTGGTGAAACGTATTACGTTGACGTTTTTGCGGTGAACCAGCAAACGAATCAGAGCACAGCGTATAACGGCACTTCATTCGAGACACCTTCACATCCTTCTATGTTCAAGGAAGTGCAGGATGGTAGAATTACGTTTGATTACATCAAAAAATCAAGGTCGCGATATTATATGTACAATCTGACCCAAGAAGTAAGTGAACTTCTGTTTTCGGTTCAGCCGTGTTCTGGACACGCACATGTTCAAATATCACGTGATGATGATGTGATCACAAGCGGTTCAGCAAGTAAACTCCGTCGTTTTATCCTGGAAAACCCGATCCTTGGGGAATACAAAATATGTGTCACTGGAAGCAGAAGACAAGGAACTTCTTATAAAGTATTTGTGTCAAATAATCATAGAAAATATCCATATCCAAAACTCCCTGAAGACACAAGTATAAAAAGTTTTGAAAATCTACGGAAGTGCAATTCCGTGACGGTTGCTTGGCTTTCCACACGAGAGACATCAAGATATTGTTTATACAGGAGAGAAATACACAGTAATCAAATCAGTGACTTTTATTTGAAGCCTGACCAATGTATTGCACCGGAGTCTCGGAGAAGGTCTGAGAAAGTGATGTGCAGACGATTTAGATATAAAGAAAGGCGGCGATCTGCTGTCGTGCACAAAATTGAAGGTTTGAAACCCAATAAACAATACGTAATTGATGTTTACGTCACAAAACGTCATGGGGGTCAAACGTTAAGTTTACAAACCACCGCTATTAGAACACGCCAACACTGTGACGAATAATGTTGAACATGTAAAACAGATATATATATATATATATATATATATATATATATATATATATATATATATATATATATATATATATATGTGTGTGTGTGTGTGTATGTTTGAAAGGTAAAATGCTAAGCTTTGTTTATGAAGAGTTAAAGAGAAAGTAATACCAACGCCATGCCAGCTGTGATTTTTAAAATGAAAGAAAATGACATCTGAATAAGGTGCCATCACCGAATGCATGTTGTTATTTACATTACCTGTACGTTAAGTAGTGGCGATTGGCGACTCAGAAAACCACTGCAAAAAGAAAACGATGGAAATGCTTTTTAATGTTTAAACAATAATAATTGAAAAAAGACTTTCTGAATCTTTAATCGTGTCCAAACTAGGAAACACAAGTACAACGTCTTTATATGGGAGAACGCTGTGAAGTATGAGAACATACCTTGTCTTATAGGGATATGTTCAATTAATGGTTTCAATAACTAAAGTCTTTTTTAACTTGCTTTGGGAGAGGTCACCCGAGGTTAAGGAATATTGACGTATCCATTAAGGACTTTCTGATCGACTTAGAATCCAGGATGTGGGAGATTTAGGGAGCAAGAGAAAATAGAATTGTATAGCCAATGATTTGGGGAAAATTAGAATTTGAGTAAACATTTTACGAGAAATTGGATATCTGTGACAGAAGAGTGGGTGGTATATATTCCCATTGCATTGGATCAATTACCTTCAGCTGATTTTTACTAATTGGTTACTTAGTTTTCATTGTACATTGCATTATTTATTAAGTTTTGTCCACAAGGTCAATTTATTGTTGGTTTCAAAAGGCAACCGACGTAAAAATAAGTATCATGTGTAAATGTCATCAACTGTATTTAAGTCATCTAGATCAGAAACTTAAAAAGTACTATCTATATATCAAGTGCTTTGAGCACAATAACTATTGCCTTCGAAACAAGGAAATATTTATTTGTTACATGAAATATGTTACTATAGGCCCTATTCTAGTTCTTAACAAAACGTCAGAAATGGTGCGTGTACTTGTTAACGCACTTTAACAAGTTCAAAAATTATAAATAAAATGCTATTTTACATTCAATTGAGATACCATATAACCTTGCTTATTGGTAATCAAAATGAAACTACAAGTCTATTCTTTATTTTTGAGTGACAATAAATAAACGAACTTGCCAATTAAAATTAATATTTTACAAGGTTGTACATGGTTTAATTGGTCGAGTGATCTCATGGTGTGGCTATGTATCTTCTGTACAAAGAAACTTGAAATAAATTATATGTGATAGTATTAACTGTATACCTGTCGTTTTTCAGACAAAAAAGAAAATGATTTGCTATGAGTGACGTAATCCAGCATCTTTCTTGACAAACCAAACACTGCATTCAACGCACGAATAATTTAGTTTTGGAAAAAATATTATATTAAATTGAAACTTAAATCATGTTTTTTCATACCTGTTCAAAATTGTGGTCGCAGCACAATATTAAATTACTGTCAAATGAAGAAGGTCTATCAACTTTGACGCTTCGCTTCTCGGTCAGCAATCACGAACCGACTCTCAGTTAATAAGGTCGACTGATCTGTGTAGTGTTCATCTTTCTAAATTAACTTTTCCGTGCATTTTTATAACCACTGCAACGTAAGGCGATATCAAACGGGGAAAAAACAACAACAAATAATCGATTCGTAAAGTTAACAAATAAATAAGGTTGTACGCGCGGCGCGAATAAAGGAAAAAAAGTTAATTTAAGTACATTTCATAACTTTATTGATGTCCTATATTTTGACTTAATATAAGAACTACAGAGGCAAATTTCTGAATCAAGAATGATGACATACGAATTTGAAGGCCCACAACATTGCAATGTAAAGCATTTTGACTAAGTAAACACTTTAAGAATAGCCAATTCTCTCTAAAGATCGAAGTTCTATGTCAGATAATATTCTGACTGGACAAATATACATACACCACATAAATTGCCACTGACAGTTTCTTTGGACGAAACAGAAAAATTGTTGTTTTGAGAGACAAAGTAGTTGTCTAACCATGATGTCCTGCTTCTTTGGTGTCCAGTTTCTAATTTGCTCAGTAAATCCAAGTAATAATTGTGAATGACTTTCAGCACATTGATCATAATTGCAAAATGACATAATAAACTTTACGCTTTGTCCGTATCTGATCAACAATACTGACTGAAAAAAATAATGAAATAAAAATACATAAATCCTGGTTATAACCGAGAATCTCAAATCAAACAAATTATGATATCCTAATGCAGCCAACTCGTACGTAATCACCATTGCTGCCATGTGTTAAGTATGATTAAATGACTTATCAACCAACCACAGATAAAATTCTCATTTTTTCACTTTTCAACAATTGAAAAATTTGGCAAGAATGCAAAAATTATTTTATTTCGACTCTAGGTTGTGTACAAAGCTTGCATTGCTCAGAACGCCCATTCATTTTCTTTGTTAACCAACATAGTACAAAACAGCAAAATTTACTTTGTCTTTCCATAATATGAAGCTACACTTATCAATATACATTTGTTTCCTAAGAAAATTATGCCAAATTTGAGAACAAATCAGTTTGTAAGAGATTACAAACTTCTTAAGTTTTTATGAGAACCAGTCTATTAAAAGAGGACAACTGCCTCCTTTGTGTAAAAAGAAACAAACTGTAAAATGCAGTTCAGTCTCTGAAATTTTCTAAAATTTGAATATTTATTCTAAAATGGGGCTAGAACAAAAAGGTCTAACTCACCAATTAATAATTAACTATGTATGCATATCATAATAAGCTCTGTATGCTACTTAACTAAGCAGAATATGCTCTCAACTCTGAAACCAAACGAACATCATTTATAGCACAAAAAATATACAACCTTATCACATGGTCTAGACTTTGCTGCTATTTGTCTCCAGAGTAGAAAAAAAACACGGATGTCTGCTGTAATTCCCTCAAGCACATGATGTAAATATCTCAGAAACATGAATTTTTTGTCACAATCACTGCTGGATCATGATCAAATGTTTTACATCCGCTGGTTGAAAAAACAACATTGTATAATTTCTCAATAGTAGCCTCTTCTGTTATCTCTCCAGCCTTGTTGCCTATTGTGACCTCCCCTGTGTCCACCATAAAAGTCTCTATTTCTGTCATAGTTGCCATGGTGACCCTGTTGATAGCCACCTCGATTTCCATAATGACCTCCACGGTAGCCACCTCCTCTGTTTTGCTGATGGTACTGGCCCTGGTAACCTCCCTGGTTATTATGGTAACCATAGTTCCTGTTGCCATGACGATAGTCTCTGTTGTCATGATAATGATCCCTGTCCCTGTATCGATCTTTATAGTGGTGTGGCTCAGGTCCTCTCCCAGGAGATTTACTGGAACTGCAGGAACAACAATTCTACATTAGACAATACTGAAATCAAAACCTGAGGGAATACCCTACTGAAGATTTAAATAACATTTTTAGTCTATATCTTTGTGTACGAAAGTCTAATGAGTAGGTATCATTCACAGTGCTGTGAAGTTGTTATTGTCTTACCCTCTATCTCCACTGCCCTTATCCCCACTATTCCCTCTGTATCTGTCAGCACTTTGTAAGGAACCCTTCCTTCTCTCTGGGGAGATTAGCTCTTCCTCTCGTTTGCAGTAGTTATCTTTATTTGTGTACTGTAATTGCATGGTATTAAGATAAAAAGAAACAAATTAAAATTTCAGAATTTTAAAATATCCAAATACAACCAAAAAGTGAAAGTGTATTATAGGAAAAAAATGAATCTTGTACATTTTTAATATTCACTAGAATTAACATGAAAGTTGAAAAGATTTAGATTTGGCATTTAAGTTTTTTGACTTAAAATCTGACCTCTTGATCATTCTCCTCCTGTCCAGGAGCAGACTGGTCTTTCTTTGGACTCTGTTCATCTTCCTTTTTGTAAAGGTCTTTGGTTGTTTCCTGGTCCGGGACATCTGTTCTAGTGGCACTAGAGCCTAATGAAGTGCCACTGCTGTCTTTGGAACCTGATGGATCTTCTTTGGCTTCCATGGAAATTTGATTTGATTTGTCTGCATTTTTATTATCATTTTGTTCTGATGCATCATCTTTTGCATTCAATTTTATAGAAACTGTTCCCTTGTCTTTATTCATTTTATCACCTGTATCTTCGGAGCCTGTTATTTTATTTGTGTCTTGCTCCTCAACAGTAGTACCTTCACAAGATGTTTGAGAAGTTCCAGCATCTACTTCATCAAAACTCTGTTGTTGGGATTCAGGAATACTCCCAGAAGTTCCAGTATCAACTTCATCAAAACTTTCCTGTTGCGATTCAGGAAAGTTCCCATCTTTTTCTGCAACAGTGGCAGCTCTTTCAGCCTCTGATCTCTCTTCAGAATCTGCTGTCAGATCTCCTGTCAGCTTGTCTTGGTCAGCAGTGCCACCTATGGCACTATTCTCACACGTCTGCAGCGATTCTTTGTCAACTGAGTTACTTTCAGAGGCCATTTCGACATCTACAGGGGTCATGTCGATATCCTCCAATGCCTTAGTATTTTCTGTCTGGGTGTCTGGTGCATTGTCAACGTCTAGATTTGACCTCATTTCAGCATCTTCATTCTCTTCCAACTCTGAAATTAAACAATATGGAAAGTTCTGTGTGACTCTCTCAATAGCTGGCAAATTTATGTTAATGCAAGGCAAATGCATTACTTGATAAATATTTGCTTTCATTTAGATAAAACAAAATTTTTCAGAAACCCCCAAAACATATGCTTTCAGGTATAATCTATAGGATAGAAACACTTTGAGGGGTGGGGTAATTTCATTCAATGACAACACAGGTGGAAACACACAAAGTGGATGCCAGACAATATCTAGCTGTATATTGCAATTGCAATCTGAAATATGAGCTGATGACACAAGGTAATTAAAATTTTAGCCAAATTAGCCACGTTATAGAAAAAAAAATTCTGAAAATTATAAGGTTTATAGATAACTTGATGTAGAAGTTTCAGGTGTGGAGTTAGAAGACAAAGTGTGTAAAATGTGCTTCTCATTAAATGAAACACATTTGAAGACCAAGTTATCTTTCCATGAGAGCAAAATTTTCTGTGAATTAAGCCACTTATGTGCACATACTTTTTTTTTCAAAATAAATTAATCTGTTCATAGTGTATGTTCCATCCAGTAAATGAACAATGATGAGTACTATCATTTACATATTCAAAGCGCTCAGGGAAAGTCAATCTTTTCGTTTTTGATATCGGTTTTAACAAAGAAGGCAATAAAATCAAAGGTCAATTCTGTGTTTTGTCACTGGTTCACACACAGTTCCAGTCTTACCCTGTGGCTGGGATGCATCATCCACCTCCATATCTTCCTCAGTATTTAATAGTCCAGGTTCTCCATCTATGACATCAAGATCAGCAGCTGTCTTCTCAGAGTGGGGCTTACTTGTATTTTCTCCATGGATTTCTTCACATTTTTTATTTTCACCTGCATTGTTTTCTTCAGCATCAGATTCAGCTTTTATTTCCACTGTACATTCTTTACTTTCATTCTCTATGTCAACTTTTTTACTTTCATTTTCTTCTGCCATGCTTTTACTGTCATTAGTATTGTTTTCTTCCACGTCTGGTTCCACTTGCTCTCTAGTGGCGCTGTCTGCTACATCATTCTCATCTTTCTGAGAAACCTTTACACCCTCATCATTTTCTTTGGCAGCCATATTATCCTTTGTTTCTTCTTCCAAGGAATCCTGGTACATAAAATGAATGAAAATGAATTTTAAATGAATTTAAAAAAAAACTTGAAACAGCAGAGAAACTAAATTGACTGAATCAAAACAATGTAAGAAGACTGTTACTCTAAATAGGTGTTACTCTTTAGAATCTAATTTTCATATCATTTAGTAAATAATAATTTGAAAATAATACACATATTCTGAGGTCAATACCTTGCTGTCATCTTCATTTTCACCAAGAAAAATAGAAGATCTGGTGGGCGTGTTTCTATCAGAAATTTTCACAGTCTCCCATTTTTTCTTGCCTGTTAGTTCAGGAGGAATTTCCTCAGAGTCTGTGGACTTTGCAACTGGGGCAGCAACATCTGGACTGGTATCTGGATATACAGTTAATGTATGTAAATATACTGAGATATGAAGAACATCTATAAAAATTTATCCAAAACCATCACTTTTATGCAAATTTATGTGTTAAAATAATTTGACATATTCAAAGAAATACACAAACAAAACCAACAAATTTTAAATATCAGAAATTTATAAGCTAAACCTGAGAATGTATCCATCTCTTAAATTCTAATTCTGCTAAATCTCATTTTGTTATTAATTCAAGCAGAGAAAAGCAAGAAATGCAAAATAGGGCGAGCTTTCTAAGGAATAATTGGGCTATCAGGCATCTCCCACAACCAAGCAGGTAACAAAGCAGGTAACAAGACACTGATGAATGAGATACATCTGCTAATTTGATGTTAACAACAACCATCATTATCTAAGAGATCTAAGAAAAAACAAATTTAAGGTGCTTCCCACTCTCCTAAGAAGCCACAGTGAAGAATCAATAATGATGTATGACAAACTGAAACATTTTTTGCTGAGTTTTTACACATTGATTCAAACGATTGATTCAAGGGTAAATCACAAAACCAAAAAAGGACCAACAGAATCATGCTATTGGACTGAAAAAGTACATTTTCACTTAACATGATCCAAACTAATTTCTCTGTCATACACACAATTAAGGGAACTTAAATAAATGCTAATACCTGTACAAAGGAAGTTTACAATCAAAGCAACACTACAATGAAATGCATAAAAGCTTAGTGCTAGCTGGTAAATACATAAGCAAAGATGTACTAGCATCTAGCAGGAATAAGATACAGCATGTGCTTGTACTAACAAGATGTATGTCTAATCCAGGCAGTCACATGAATCTCAACACAAAGACAACCACAAAAGAATACTGAGAAATTAAGGCAGAGGAATTTTAAAAGATAAGTGAAATGTGTTGATGAACAGCTAATGTACCCACACCCACACATCAAGCCCTCAATATGGAACTGATATATGCAGGGGTAGTACCTTTACACTGGAAGATATTAGAGTCAACATTCTCCAAAAGACTGCTCATAAACTCCTCTGCAGCTGCTTGAGCAGGGAACACATGATCTAATATATCCTCCATTATTTCAGAACAAATATCTTCTGTAGAGGGAACTGCCTTATTGTCAGTCACCAACTGAATTTCTTCTTTGTTGTATGAAATAAATAGGAGTTAGTCATAAGTGAGGTGTAAGGTATATCTGAATGTAAGAATGTTTGCTTTGGAAAAGAAATTCCATCCTTTCAACACTGCTAATAAAATAGGCATTTTTGTGGAAAAAATCCTCTAATAAAAGCTGATGAAGGTCTGTGGATTTACTTGACTCAATAAATTTCATTGGAGGGGGGGGGAATAAAACTGCCTTTATTACACAAACTAGCAGGTGACTAAATATTTTCTATCTTTAACACAAGCACATACTGTGTTTCTTCTAATAAGTGTATTCTTCTCACAGTGTGTGTGTGTGTGTGCGCGTGTGTGTGTGTGTGTGTGTCAAGCACACCCGTTGTATACAGTGGACTATTCTCTGCTGCATTTTTCAAAAAGAACATTAAAACCTTTGTTGCAAACAAGTGACACTAACAACATCAACCAATCCTTCCAATGACTGCAAGGCAGAGCCCCATATTTATGATATAACATTTATAAGCTTAAAAGCCATGTATCAAAGCAATGCTGGTACACACCTTGTATCTGCTTGCTGACTTTCTGCTGACATGGCTGTTTCTTAACCAGTCCTAAGGCATCGAATATCGATGCAGGCTCAGGTTTTCTCTTAGTTTTAGCCACATCTACCAGCTCCTCCTCTTCATCTTCATGGGGCTCATAATCTAATGAAACACACAAATGCTGTATAAAGTGCACATTCTACACTTTTAATTCAATAAAGATTAGTTTTAAGAACAAATCACACAACACAACACATATCCATGAAATAAATCACCCACTGACAATGGGTAATCTAATTTTTTACAATATTCAATTCATCACTAGTGTTATGTATTATGTAAAAGTACATAACGACAGAAATATGACAAACATAAAAATTAAATAATTTTTTTTTAATTTGCCAGCATGATCCCTAACCAGTGCTTTTCACTAATCTTTTCCACATTGCTTTGCAGAGAGATGATGCTGCGCTGTGGCTCACTTACCTGACTCCTCATCTACATCATTCAATTCGAGGAACTTGGTCTCTGGTTTCTGTACATAACTAGTCCTCTTGCTGCAGAAGACTAGATGATTTGCTGCAACAGACAGTAAAAGGTGTAAATATCTAAATCCTTTTATTCAAGTCTATAATACCAATAAAATAAATAAATCACAAATAACAAAAATAAATCACTTGTAATGTAAAAAAATACATTTGGATTTGCAACTATTTAAACCTAGTCTCAATCATATGTAATACTTAACTGAAGTAGATTGTATTGTGTCAAACTAAAAATATTCACAGAATGCACTGAATCATGTATACCAAGGGTACCATTACTTATAAATATGCAGGTTTTCACATTATATCCACACTCTCCTCTTAGACTTCAATAAAAACTTGCAAAAAGAACTAATATCCCATGAAACCCCCCATTCAGTTATCTGTTCGCTATTATTTCCCCATGTCTAGATGCACAAAAGCACAAGCTTACTCACCAATTGAATTTCCATATGTACTGGAGTATCCACACTGACAGTAAAGCCTCCGTCCCATCTTCCTCTCCACGCTAATGCTGATGTACAGGGCAGGGTTGGTAGCACCAGAATGGAACGCCTTCATGTGACTAGCATACGACTGACTGCAGCAGGTGGCAAAACGGCACATAGAGCACTCAACATACTTCCTGAAATAAACATTCATACATACCTTCATCACAAACTTCAGTTTCCATAACGATTTCCATGCTAAATAAGCGCATTTCAGCTTGGGATTATTTGCTAGGTTGCTTTTATGTGTTCAAAAAAGAAACCAGTACAAAGAAATACTGTTTATATGCTTCTCTGCCTTGTCACCCATTCCTAATAATTACAATTCAAATTTGGCCTAATTTTACAAAGACAAAATGCTTGTAATTTTGGACTAATCAACTTACTTGTAATGGTCAGGTCTATTCATGTAATCCCGACACTCATAGCATCTCATGTAATCCTGAATGTCGCGGAAACGGATGGAGCGGAACTCTCTGGACTTGGCGACAGCAGGCGCATTAAGTGACTTTGGTGTCCGTTCCCCCTTGGCCCCTGAGGCTGGGTTGGGCACCTGGATCATCACTTGGTTACGACTGGATGCAGACTGTGATGATTTACCACTCATGGTGCCTGAAACACAAACAAACAGTTTATAATCATAGAGGATACTTTTTATTTCCTAGAGTGAAAAAGAACTGATGGGTACTTTTCATTTCCTAGAGTGGAAAAGAACTGACGGGTAACAGATATCTTTGAGATAGGCAAGGATGAAAATCTAATTTAAAATACTGACAGCATATCTTAAATAATAAAATAATAATAATAATAATAATAAAAATGAATGAATGAAAAAGAATGCCTTTACCAAGGATATTTTTGTGATTGGGCAAATGATCTCTCATCTTGTGTGCCTTGGCATCCATCTTGTTCAAGAAAGTGAGCTTGCAGGACATGCATTTTTTCACAGTGTTTCTCAGCTGATGCTTCTGTAAGTGCTGGTAGAAGTTCTGTGTCAGGCCCCAGCCATTCTGCTTGGACATGCTGATTTTAAACACCTTCAGGCAGTAGAGGCACATCACACTAGCAGAACTGTCATGGCGCTTAAATGGGAAAAACGAAACATGTGAAACAATTCCAAAGCACCAACAAACAAATGATTTTATACATTTATAGTTTAAGTTTTGCATCAGATAGTTCTGTGGTATTAACGTGACATTTTAACATAAATTAAAATTAAATGCTTGGAGAACAAATACAACCAAAGCTTTATATCTTTGCTAAAAGCAAAGACACCGATTCATGAAACATGACATTACTTTTCTAAAGCATCAAATAAATATGAACATGGTACACAAACATAAATCATCATATGTAAAATTGTAACATTATTAAAAGCAAACTCTACATACCTTTTTAAAATGATCAACAACATCATTGAAAATGGAGGAACGGAAATTGCACAACTGGCAAATATATGGCATTTCACATGCGACGTGATGTGAGCGCATATGGTTTGTCAGCGCACCTTGACTGTCATGGTCCTTCTCACAAATCCTGCACACTAGTACACTTGTGTTGCTCTGATGAACCTGAAAATTATTTTGTCACATAACAAGGAACAGATAATCTTATTCACAATACTAATATGTAACAGGCTAAAACAAGAATCTGTACTGAATTTTGGCCATCCATGAATTCTGTAAATTTGAGTCATTCTAACACATGAACAAAAAAAAAAAAAAAAAAAATTCACCATCTGAATCTATTCTCTATTTTTTACCATTATTTGAAATAATCTCAAATATTTCTGTCCTTTTAATGACATAAATAAATCTGAAAATTCTATAAACCACCTTTCTTACATTAAAAAAACAATTATTATAAGTGAATTCTACACAGGAATAAATTTACTTAAATAGCGTTCATGACACTTAAACTATTCATACTTTTTCAATGTGACACTGGAGGTCAAAGGGTGTGTCAAACTGTTTGTAGCAATGTTTGCATTGTGTCAGGTCTGCCAGGTCCAAGTTTTGTTGCTTCTCAGAGTCTATGTGACCCTTAAGGTGAATCATCATCTTCACGTTGTTGTACAACATTTTATGACAGTACCAACACTGAAACAATAATTACGATACACATATTTTATCCATAAACCCGTATATAAAATGGTAATCCTGTTGTTCAAAAGTTCTAAAAATTTTTATGTATTTTTCATTGTGAAAATATGAGACATCATACAAATAATAAGGAAACTGATAAATGCATCCACATATTACATAATAAAAGATCCAAACTAATATTTACCCTATTCGTCTAATATTTTTACCTGTAGTCCAGCCAAGAAAGTTTAAAGGTTGTAGAATTAATTTTCTTCTTCTCAATCTTACAACAATTTTCAAACTGAGGCCTGCTGCAAGTTCTACCAGGTCAAATTCTGAACTATCAAGGAACAAAAATATACCTTAAACCTGAATTCTCCTTTCTCCTCTCTGTATGATGGATCTCCCTCCTTTTTACTATAATAATACTCATCTAATGGCACCCAGTTACCTGAAAGTGAAATGACCAAAATTGTTTCAAGGTATGAAGAGTACATTTTTGGTGTTTTCAAAGTGCTATTAATAACAAATTGCTCTATTTCTGATCACCCCACAACACAGATATTTCTGTGAGAAATTGTCTTTTTTATTTTTTAAATGTACTTTTTCTTAATACAACTAATAATGCATGACACTGTTTTCGGCTATTTTATATAGTATATTGAGTATACCTTTAGAGTCCTTTTCACGTGGTCTTCCTCTTGAAACTAGTTCCTTCTTGTCATCATAGCCGGCGGGATGTTTGATCCCCAACCCAAATGTTCCTGCAACTATCTGCTGGGATGACACAACTGAAAAGGGAAAGTTTTTATTTTGTTTTGAATGTTCTAACAGATAAACATTGAGGATAACACTTCATCTAGCAATTGGAGTTATAGGACAACTAGAGGTTCAGAGAGGCGATACCGCCTCCGAATATTGTACCACCAGCTGGAGCAAGCGTATTCGTATAGACCCCCACATATACAAAATAAGGAACACAGCCACCAGTTTTGTGNCCAGCGCCTACGCTGGTGGTACAATAATGCATCAATATTTTACAAAAAAAGTATGTTTAAAAACACCTTTCAAATGCCATAAAAAGATTCACTATGATATCATATATGAAATAAAGCGACTTATCAGTTTTAGCAATTAACAAGGCAAATATTTTTTCTAAAAAAAATTCCTTTCATCATCCTTCACTTGGTTACAACACAGTGATAGATTTGGCCATACAGGTTAACAATTTTCTATGTAGAAAAAAATTACTTAATTTACATCTATTATATTAGGTCCCAGAACTTAGGCAAACACCCATCTAAAGTGTCACTGGCCATGGGGTAGTAACAAAGTTTAGATTTGATACATTTGATACAACACCAGTCCACTTTTAGACCCCGACTTCCTGAAGGGCTAGAAGCCTAAATAGTTTTTTTGGCACAAACTACAAGTATGCCCTAAAACAAACAATTTACCTGGTGGTGACTGCAGTCGATTCAGTACTTCACTTGTCCTTGGAGATGCCTTGGTTTGTGAGGGTGGGGTGCTCTGTATTTGTGACACCTGAATCAAAATTTAAAAAGAAAAAAGACATGGAAATACAATCTAAGGTAAGAAAAAAATAAACTACTAAAGCAAGTAACATTATCAAATCATTAGAAATGCTAATATTGCTTGTTTTCATAAATCAAGAAAGAGGTTTTATAATCAACACAATGTTTGTTAAAAAGGCAGTAAGGACTTCTCCACACATACTCAAGTATACAGTGGTCACTATTTATGTAAAAGCAAGGGTTAACATATTAACATTGGCTAGACAACAATTCCCCCCTTACCTAAAATATTCTCAAATTGTTGGAGTCTTAGTACAAACTTTGGCTTTAGTTTGGAACAGTCATTGACCTCCTCAGATATTCTGGACTTCTCCAATTGTGTTGACCTTTTGCCTCACTAATGACAATGACGAGATACAAAACAAAGCACAATCCGTGTGCAATGCTGCTGTGACAGGTTATGAGAGATCATCACAGGGGAGGTTAAATATTGCTAGCATTTACTTTTTTGATGAAGGAAGTCATCTTACAAGTTTGGAAAAGGTTAATGCACTGTGTTTCTAAGTAAAACAGTGTAATGTTGGGTAAAATGCCCCTTTCATGCTGGTAGGTGTGCTAATTTCATTATTATACATGACACAATTGTAGGATTCATCTGTTCAAACATTGTAACATTATATCCTTTTTGTTTGTAATAATTTTGCACACAATTCTTTTGTCTTCCACAGCGAAAACATGACCTGAAAAGTTATTTAATACAATATTAAAGGGATAACAAATTTATTTTTGCCCAAAATGGATTTTCTGGAGTTTAGGACAATATTCCAATAATGACCAATGGTTAATAATTCCGTTTTGACATTTTTTACTAAAAAGTTTAATAGGTAGCTATGCATGTAGGTCGCATGGTCCAATGGCAAGCACAGATTCCCGAATAAATGTGATAACCACTGTTTTGATGGTAAAATAAAATTCATTATATTTCTATAAGCTGTTTACAATGTACTTATTGTGAAATATGGATCTCGTATCTAGGATAGAAGAAAAAATATAAAGAATTATGAAAGGTTGTTATCCCTCAAGGCTTAAATCAACAATGTATCATTTGGATCATATCAAACTAGGAACTTCATTGTACCAAGAATCTCAAATAACTATATAATGATAATTGATAAAAATTCATAAAGTAAAATATTGGTTAAGTAAGTTCACTTAAAATCTTGAAACTCTAGTTAATGTGAGAATTGAAAATGGTGAAGGCATATTAAATAATAAAAATAATTTTTTATTACTTTAACTTTTGTGTTGTTAACAGTCAAGATTAGAAGCTGCTGCACCTTCAGAATTTTGATCAGATTGATCATTCATGATAATTTTCATCTGTGGGAAACTAATTTCTAATGTACTCATGGGCTGTATGATTGAAAAAGAAAGTTTATTACACAAATTGCTTTGGGAAATTAAATGGGGCCAACATGATTGATGATCAGTTTTAGTGCATGTACAGCCTGGTTGTTCTGCACCTATTACTCTTGATAAGTAAAAATTATTATGTATTAAGTATCATCAAATCATACACATTAAAAACTTTAACAACATGAATTATTTCAGAAAGCAAGTTTGCTGCTTTCTTCCCCATTGAATTATACAATATTTCATGGTCATACATATTTTTGGGAAAACAATGATTGGAGCTAGAAAAAGTGTGAACAATGAGCAAATTGCCAAAGATCCCATTGAATGAACCAGCCAAGTTTAATGGGATAGACAAGACAAAATTGTGGTAATCAATGGTTTTATTTACAGCCCTTTCAACGTGAAACCTCAGACAGGCTACCTCCTGGAATTGCAGTGCCTCCTTTTTGGTACGGGGTTTCCTAGGTGGTATAGAGTGTGTAATGTCCTTCCAGCAATCAAAGATAGTTGGCACTGACCCAGGCAGTAGGTAGCGCCTTCCACAATATACTACATACTCAAAGTCCTCTTCTTTAAAGTGCAAGGAGCAAACCTTGGTGTAGGCTTTGATCTAAACAATATTGAAAATGGCATGTTTTATAACCAATTTCTGTTAAAATCTAGGAAAAGTACAATGGTTCATGTTACCATCCAATACTTTTTTAATCAAGCAAAAGCATAATCTATGTCTTTTCTTGTCATATTTAATCAAACTCTCTTTATAACTACAGTATGATTATCTAAATCCAATAAATTTCCTTGTAGCAGCAGTTGTATTAAGTATTAGGTTATTAAAGAAAATGTGATTTTAATAAAGAGACGCACACTGTTGCAACACAGGGTTAATGGACCACACCTGGAATGATTCTCCCTCCTCTCTTTTAATATTGGCTAACCACTGTTTGCGAAGTGCTTTGTCCTTTGGAAATTTGTGATATGTAATCTTTCTACCATCCTCTGTTGGACCAAAACCAATGCTCTTGCAATACACTACACAGCAGCACTGGCGAGTCTTAAACAAAAATGCTTCTTAAGATTAATACAGGACCAATGTCAATAGATAACAGTGAATTTTTAGTGGGTGTACATGACTGATGTAAAGTAAAACAAATTTTGATTCTCTAATTTCAGTACCTTCACTCAACTTGGCAAAACAGAAGATACACATAAAATACCACGATGCAGATTTTGATTTTAAAAACTGATGTGTTAAATGAGCCAAATGGCTTGAAATGACAAACCGTCACTGTCTTATTTGGTCTCTGATGACAGGCTATGAGATCAAGAAATGCACAACAACAGAATAATTGTAAGAATGTCCAAGGCACACGTACATGTCTGTGTGTGCGCCCACATGCATGCGTGTGTATGAGCATACATATGTGTCACATATAAAGTCACACAAAAATGAACAACATATATTCATTTAACTGTGAAGTTCTTGATTTTATACATGAATCAAGAACAAAGCACACCCGAAGGCATGTATTAAATGACACTTGCGGCTATATAGCCTCAGTTTGTGAACTTTTAGATGTAATAGTACTGCACATTTACTAAATAATGAGCAATGACAAAGTCTGATAATGCTGCACAACAATTCCAATTTTTCACAGTGGTTGACTGTTCTTCTTACTAAAATATGAGCACATTATGAACTTTAGTAACCTCCTAAAGCAAAACTGTATTTTCACCCATATAACATACAGTCAAAGTGCCTTCAACTTTTCAGAATGCATAAATTGTTACAAAAAAAAAGTAAGTGCTTACCATATTTTACCTTGTGTTTCTATTTTCTCATCACGTCACAGCAGAAATAAACGCTTTTCTTTCTATCCCAGGTTGACATCAATGTTGAGGGACAAGGTCAACAGAATCAGAGAAGTCCAGAATGTCCAAGAGGTCTATTAGAGGGCTCCTTATGTTTATAGACAGGATTTCAATCACCATAATGCTAATGCCACTGCATTTTTCAGAGCACTCAGGCAGAGCAAAGCATATTTCTCAGAGCTTTTATTAGGAGACTGATAGGCTCAATGGTCCAAGGGTTTATATATAAACTTAAGACAGAAAATGGTGGTCACCAAATCACCACATTGGAATTGATGTAAAAACTCACATCTGGTTACCACCTACAGCTATCTAATAACCTAATGGACACATATCAAAGTCAAGAATAAACTCAAGCCATGACGATGATCTGAATATATCACCAGCTTACCTTAGTATATATTGGTTGCCCAGCTCCGTGTGAACCTCCACTAGCCTGACTGTACACCAGCTGAATTGTTTGCCCTGGCGCCACACCCAGCTGACTTAGGTTGGCGCCGGATATAATATACGTCCCTGGCTGAGATGCATTTACAGGACTCCCTCTTATTATCATGGGCTGGACAGTTTTGGCAGTATTAAGAATTGACTTCAAATTTGACTGTGCTAATTGTAGGGGCTGCTGCACTGGAGTTGCCGGGGACTTTGTTGTTTGCTTTGCTGCATTTTGCTTGGCTGATGTTTGGCTAGAGGATCTGGTTCTCAGGTTTCTTGGAGGGGTATCATCCAACACAATGATATCTGGGTCACTGGGAACATCTTAGTGAAAAATACAGTTTTGAAAAATCAAAATATGATTACTGAATTAAAATCATCAGTGCTTTGATGTCCAATAGATTTAATGTTTGATGGAAATATAAATATAATTCTTCTATACAAATCAAGATCAAATGTTGGATCCTATGTAAGTTCTGAATAGAACAAGCCATATTTAAGTTTGATTCCTGCCTCTGAAAAACATGGAAAATAAACTTTTGCTATCTAATACTAAGTAGTTAGCCATCCAGTGGTGTTTAACATAAATTAAGTTTTTTAATCTACTGCTGGACTTACAATTTAATCTAATTGACAAAAGCTGGTCTACTGAGAACAAAGGTGGCACTATTCTCAGTCTTGTTATATTTTGTCTTCTGTAATTAACCGAACTGAGGTCTCAAAGCAGGTGACGCAACATCATGAATACAGCTAAACTGTATTAATTTTTCATGTAATTCAATAGCAACTTTTAACTGTATTGACCTACTTTGTTGATTTGATTTTTTACTTCCCGCTGTTCCGTTGAGAGTGGCTGGTGCTGGAAGCTCAGAGACTATGGACTGATTGGCCTGGGCTGCTTTGATTTCTTTCATGGCATTCTGATACTCTTCTTCTGCCTGTCTGCATGCTTTCTTCTGGGCAGGAGTGAGTTCCTCATCTACACACTCCATCAGCAAGTCTATGCCTGAGGCAAGCGCTGCTGCCCGACGCTTTCGATGATTAGACATCTAGATGCATAGAAGAATTTTGATAAGGTGCATATTTAAAATAAATTGTGTACATACCGTTTTATATTCCTGAAATTTAATTGAATTAATGACCATATTGCTCATGAATTGTGACAAATGTTGGGACCATCTGAGGTTTTCATGTCCTGAACATGAATTTTTAATATAAATAAAATCAGTATAATGTAATATTTTCCAAAAAATAAAACATTTCAGGAGTAAGAAAATGTAAAATATATGTAACTTGTGAATTAATGATTTTATAGAGCATTTAACTTTATGAAAATTGCATTATATTGATTATTTTCTGAAAATATTTTGCCTGTACTACTCAAAGAATTAATTAGCAATCTTTAAACAAAGACATGAAGTAGTATACAAGCCATATTTCAAAAACAAGCATAACTTATACATTTTCTTTCATGTCCTACTCATACCTGTTCTATTTAAACCAAATTAAATTAATTTAAAACTTCAATCTCTAACTCTCTCTTTATTCAGAATTTTGAAGGACCAAAAAGAGAGAGAGAGAGAGAGAGGATTGAGATTTTTATAAAAATGCTATAAACATTATTTGTCCTTCTTTATTGCCATCTAGAAATTTTTGTAATTTCCAATTCCTTAGAGGGAAAGGAGCTATTGGTAAAGCTATACCATTTATACTTTTAATAAAATGAATTTTTTCTCTGTGAAAACCTGGGTAATGATAACTAAAACTCTTTTTTATTAATCAGCAAAGCTGACAAATGAACAAACAGATAAAACAGTTATGGATCAGATAAAATATTATGGATCATTTGAAAGAGCAAAACTTTGGAAATTGGCAACTAGGTGTATGTAAGACAGGGCAGCAAAGCTGTCAAATGTACATACAAAAAGCAGACAATAATGACGCACAAACTAGACTACTGTCAATGCTGATGCGATAATTATAATACATTATCCTTAACAGCAAAGTCAACACCAAATTTTTATGCACAACAGGTAATCATGGAACCTCAAAGTCACACCTTGAAAATGTCAAAATGTAAACAAGAGATAACTACACTGAAATGAGTTTTTTTCCACTTTCAAAACTTATTTACAGAATACAAAATAACCAATTAACTATCCTTTTTATATGATTAACTATGAAGTTGTTGAGATGGGAAAAATATCATTAGAACAACTTTAAATGTGTAATTTGCTCCATTCTGAGATTCTGAACAAAGTGAAGGATTGAATCTGACAAACTGCAATGATATGAGTTTATTTCCATTTTTGACACTTTATTACACAATGCATGTTACAGATTTACCATCATTTTTATATAATGAACTAACATCATACATTAGTAACAATGTTGTATAGATGCAGAAAATGTCAAAAGAACACTTTTACATATGCATAAATTTTGGAAAAGTTTGCAGACAAAAAGTAAAATGTTTTTCCACTTATCATGTTATCACTGAAAGTGCACAGCGAGTAAGTGTGCGAAGAGTGCGATCTCACTCATTCTGATTGGTCCCTTAGTTAGAACTAAAATTTACAATGAAATGTGTAATTTACCCTCCTATAAAAGCTGTGTTGTTATTAATATTATGATTTTTATCAAAATCCCCAGATCAGAAATGAAATACGAGAGAGCCTTCTTTAATGAGCCTCCTTTCATTTGGAATCTTCATTTTCATTCTTGTGGATAATGATATATATATATATATATATATATATATATTGGTCTTTAAATGACTATTTCTGGTTCCACTGAAGTGGGTCTATTGCTGTCCATTTCTGGTACCACAGAAATGGGCCTAACACTTTATTTTTGGTCCCACTGAAGTGAGCCTATCACCATCTATTTCTGGTCTTACTGAAGAGGGTCTATCACTGAATACAGCTTATTTTCTCACTGCTAATCTCCTTCTCTTTACCTTCCATTCAACACTACCTTTTTTCTGTGTAACATCTGAAAATAAAGCACTTGTTATTAGTATATTAAGTGTTGCAAATTACTTCAAATAAAACATTAAAAACCATATTCTAAAAACAAGGCAACAAAGCTGTCAAATGTACAGACAACAAGAAAAAAATCCAATCAATCTAGTTTGCCAATTTGAGCTGTATATCAATCATTCTTATAAGGGTTTTCATTTTATTTGTATAATGGTGGACATAATATGCTGGAAAAAAAAACAGTGTAACTTTAAAAAAAAACTGTGCAATCAGGTTGATTTTTGAACTTGACTTGTATTTTATGAATATTCATCAGTTCTGCAAGTTTCAATACAAAAGGTAAAGTGGTTTTCATCTTATTTGTATAATACTGAAAGTGCACGTCGACTGCGCTGCCTCCGTCGCAGTTGACGACAGACACAGGTGATGGCTACATGTACAGACACATCTGCGTCTGTATGTAAAAAAAAAAGTTTCACATTTTATTGTTTTATTTATTGATTTTATATAAATAAAAAAGGTAAAAATGTAGTTTGAGATATGCATACACGGTGGTGCTGTGATTAATTTGAGAAATAGAGGCTATTGAAGGATATAGGTTTGAGCTAGAGGGCAATGTGGCAATGTTTTTTGTGAATTCCATGAGGAAATTAAAGATTCTAAGGCAGATGGCCAATTGAACTGGTGTGAATATGGACAATGTATTACCATGTTCTCCTTATGGAGTCAGTTGCTGCAGTGAAAACACTGTTGTTACTGAAAAGTTATATCACAGGCCTGGAAACTTGTAGAAATGCTTGTTTGTAGATTTCTTAGACCTTACAGGAAGGTTGATAATAACCATATATATATATATATATATATATATATATATATATATATATATATATATATATATATATCAGTTTGGCAGTTTTCAAAACTGTAGAACTTACCTTCGCCTTATAGGCAAATAACAAAAAAACAAATATACATTCAGTTACGTCCAAACAACATGTTTTCTTCCATCTCATAGGTAGGCCTTAATGTACATCGATAGAGACATTAATGATGGGTGGTATGATTGTATAACTGATTAAAAAATTACAGAATGGAGAGCAAAATTTTCAATCCAGTTACAACTATAAATCAAGTTTTCATAAATACATCTTATAATTCAAGAACATTATCAACTTACATCTGGTATAAACTGTTTTTGACCTCTTAAGTTTACTGTTTTCTTTCTCTTGGTGTTCACTTCATGCAGACTTCTTCCTGTCAGGACTTTCATTGGTGGTGCTCTGGCATTAACTGTCGTATTTTTATACTCCAAGGTCAAACATACTCGGAACAGCATAATCTCCGAGTTTCCTTGTTGTTTTTCAACCACACAATTGGATTACAGATCATACACAAAAAATTCAGGCTTGCAATGGTTGCCACAGATTCATATTTCATTCTATTTCAGTACACTTTGGATTTTTAATTCTGAAGAGTTGCTCCAAATCTGATGTTTCGCAGTCTCCATAGGTATGGTAAAATAAGTGAAGTCTTTTCATTTATCATTTTTTATTTTATTATGGCACCTGGATGCCACACTGTGAAACAATTTTGCTATGTTTTGTTCTGTCACCTCACTTTTTGGTCAACTGTCCATATGTTATCATTACAACATGGCAGTCAAAAGGTGCAAATATCTTCATATTACGTAACTAGAAACTAACCAATCACAATTTTTTCATTAATATGCCCTTTCTTCTGGCTATCAAAATTAAGGAAAATTCTCTTGCATTTATAGTACTATACTATATTGTAATTATACAGTATTGTACTATAAATAAATTTAGTAAATATTTTATTTATTTTGAGTGTATGAAAACTCAAAGCCTTCATATGTGTGCCCACAAGCACTAATCTAAGTTTCTCATTTTTAACCCATTGGAATGGGCTTTTTAGAAGGTAGGTGAAGAATACACCTCCCATCTTTTGTTTATCTGGGTATCTTGTGTAGTTTACACCATACTGGTGTTGTATCAGTTTTTAAAAAAACAGGAACACATCCCGACATGGTAAACTACATTTTTATCCGAGGCATCAGCAATCCAGAAGCTCAATCCTGGACAGTTTGATTACTTGCTTCCAGTTATACCGAGAACATACGGGGACACACCATTTATTGAGTACATAGTGCTTGCAAAGTGGCTCAAATAATCGCAAGTATGGCCGAAAGCATCCGTCATGGCCGACATTTCTGGCAAGACATTTTCTTTTCATCCGTTCAGGCAATTGCAGTCAAGAATTATCTTAGATATCGAGCATTATTGTTCCTTTTTACTGAACTTAAAATCATACAATGAAAAAACTTACCTTTATATTTTTAGTGGCAGTTGATTTTATGTTCTTTTTGGTAACGTGACCCACACGGTGCCGCGATTAAGGGTCACGTGACCTGGGATTTAAAGGCCGTACCATTTGTCATGACCTTTAAGCCTGCAAAATTGCCATTTTAAGTTTCTAAAAATCAAAGCAACAAATTCTGTTGAATAGGGTATTAAGTATGTTATCTTGCGAAATGTTCTAGAGCTTTTGGTGCACGGATAGATTTAAAATCAATTAGAAGTCTTTGTTTGGTACACACTTGCCTAGAAAATACATATCTGAACTATTGGGTAGTCATGCAAGGGAGTGCCAATTTTAACCAATAAGAGTGATATTCCACTCCCATGTGCAGGGTAGTCTTACAAAAATTTCGACAAATCGACAATGAAGCAGTGAAAGATTGTCTGATTTTCTGCGTTGGAGACACATCTCCTTTTTAAACAGGTAAGGTTTTTATTTGAAAAATATCCTCCATCACTGGGAGAAGTTTGATAAACCTCGCTTCCATGATAGGAATGTTGTGGCTGCTTTCACGGAGGGGCACCTGCTGTTTTATATGGCGGAGTTTGTTATTATCGAGTTGCCTGCAACTCCTGTAGATATTTTAATAGACTTAAAAATTATGTTAGCTTTTGTTTGCCTTTTTATTCACAAATTATTATGTGTATGCCGATACTTAAAGATGATTTTGTCATTTATTGGTAATTTGTTGGGATGACTCCTGTAAACAAGTTGATCCTCTATACTAAATTAAACACATTGGTCGTTGGCTTTATGATTCTGAATACGAGACTGCAAACAGTGAAAAGCCCAGACTTGTAATTGCACATATTTGTATAGTTTTTAATAAGTCACGGACATGTACGCTGTTATCACTTCCTTTGTACACAATTATGCACAGGAGTTTTCTGGCAATCAAACACCTTGTGTCACATGACCAGCTTCACGCATTCAGAGGTGTTTATGGCAGTCTTCACTATGTACTATCTGATTGTGGTTTTGTTTAGGTATGTTTAACCACACCACAAAAATTGACCACATGAAAATAGACACTGCTGTTTACATTTTCTGAAATGTGCTATTTGTGTTAAGGCAGGAAAAATATATGAACATAACTGTAAAATGGCGATCAACTAGCACATCCACTGTAATGTGGAGACTCTCAAATCTTATGCCAACCACTCACCTCAAGTCACACTTTTGAAAACCCAACCATCTTTGCCATTCTGTGAATAAGGTAAGATTCTTCTGCTTAGATACCAGTTATGCCACTGTGGTATTTTACATCCGTTTGAAGACTGACATAAACAGACCTCTGAATGCGGGAAGTTGGTCAAGTGACACAAGGTGTTTCATTGCCAGGAAATAAACTGTGCATTAATTGTGTGCAATGGAAGTTGCTTGCCTCGTGTGAACATGGGAGTGTTTGTTTCAGACAGAGAAAAACCATAACATGCTTATCATTTAGCCAATGTCTATGACAATTTCATTTGCATGTAGCTAAGCATACCACACTTTCGTCAATAGCATCTTTTCTTTTTAGCCTTTCAATAAATATTTTAATTGTTACAGAAAATGTTGACAAGATTATTAGAAAATTCAAAAAATGCTATAGCTCTGACTGTCTCACTTATCTCTTTCACCTTACCAAGCTTTAACTTGTATTATAATACCTCTTTTTAGCTGTGCACTTACTATTTAATTGATTTATTTGAAGATGCTGTTCATTGAAAGTCAGTCATTGAAAAGAACTTTTCATATGATTTGCCTGTCAAAATGGATTCTCCTTGGGTACTAGTATTCGACAATTTTCTCTTCACTAATCATTGCTTTGACCCTTTCCTGCATTTAGATTCAAATGTTTTATTCCATTTTCTATTCATAATTTAGTGTTAAATGGCTGGCCAGTCAATTAGAAAAACATGGCCTTTCTGACCTTCACCTTAATGGCCTCATTTTCACACAAGGAAATAGTTCATTTTTTTGTATCACGGCCCTGTGAGAACCATAGTTGACTAGTTAGTCTGCGGATCGACTGGTTGTGAATGCTCCCTAGGTATGCCTAAGATAAATTTTATTTAACATGATTTAATGGGCTTAATTGTCTTTAAGGTCTGAATTGGGAAATATAAGAAGCTTTGAAAGATATAAATTTGACTGTGGCGAATTTGTAAACACATGGTGACTGCCCAAAAGTCCCTTTTAAAATTTAAAAAGCATTGTTATTTAAAGTCCCCTTTTTATGTCTCCCTTGTACTTTGATGCAAGATTATTGTGAATAATACGGCCATGCATATTTTTATTTGGTATAGGTCCAAAAGGAATATAAACAGTTTATTGTGAGTGATGATATTATCAGCACTGTCATTGGCTCACAATTTTAGACTATTTTGAATAATTCAGTATGATGACAATTTACTTTTCTGTATATATGACTATATAATATTTCTGTTTGTAAACCAAGCTTATTGGTTTAGGTGCTGGTCCAAGTGCATATATAAATATCACCTGACAAACCTACTCAAGTGTAGGGTGGAGGTATCATTAAGTGTGATCAGCAGATGATCTTTTAAAAAGTATATTAGGAAAATAGCATTGTTCTAATTTAAAACTAAATAGAAAATTAAAATTGGTGCAGCTTGGAAGTGTGAGCAGTAATTTCTTGATGTACATCATGAGGTAATTTACTAAATGTGATATTTTTCAATCAAATTACATCAGTTAGAAAATTTGATCAGAGCAGTAAAGAATATAAATTTAAGTCAATGGATATTATAAGAAAGAGGTACTCTAACAAAAGTTGTAATTGTTTTAGTAATAATATTTTATAATCAGGATGAAAGTGGTGACAGAGAAATACTAGTATATTTATTCCCACTTTTTCCTTTTAATGAATTTGCAATATGTAGCAAAACAACATTAACATTTATAAAACATTTGACTTATTCATATGAGATGTGCATGTTGCATGTATGTATGTAGGTACACTGTACTACTATAAAAGAAATATGTGCCTGATATCTTACAGATTCTATGTTTGACCACACCTTAACATTTCTCGTGTCATTCTTTCCCTTATGAATAAGTGTTTGAATCATGTAAGGGCATATTCGATAACTAGTCTGGAAAACGCTGTTCATTACACCCATTTTGAACGAGAAAGGTTGAATATATTAAAATGTACTTGCTAATTTTTCTACAGTATTATATATATATATGCACATGTCTGAATTTGTGTGTATACTGAAGTTAGAAGGTGCCCTTGAAGGTAAAGGAGGAATGAATCAAGTATCAAGAAGAAAAATGGAAAACAAATTGCTAGTGTTGCAGCATGAAGGTGATTTAGATTTCTAAAAACTGCATATATATGCAGTTGGTCTTGGCCTTACTGCTACAGCATTGATCAGGTCTACATAATGCTCAATATGAATGAGGGAGCTTGTACTTGGAGCAAGGGTGTTTTATATACCATCATGTTATTTGCTAAGCCATATATTTCAGTGGTCTGCAGGTTGATGTTATGTGAAATCAAGAACTTCATGTTCTGTCAGATCAACAGTTAGAGCTTGATATTATAATATGTATCACCAAGCAGCATTAGGGCATTAAGGCTGATGACCAGACCAATGATAATTATTTTATCCAAGACATGACCATGACACAAATGGGTATCTGATGCTCTTTCCAATGTCTGCTATATTATACATAATAAAGTATCACTTATTAAGTACTTAGAATAAGTCAGCTAAATTTTAATATTTCCACAAATTTTGATTGTATGACTCACACTGCAGATAATCAAAATATCTGCCAGTGGATGGTAAAATATTAATAAAAGGTAACTTTTTGTTTATTAACCCATGCTCACAATACCACAAAGCCATATTTGGTTGGTGGGATGAAGTCTCTATGCATTCAGGGCTGTTGATGGTGGAGAATGCCAAAATGATATTGATATTTGTTATTCTGTTTGCAGCGGAGAAGTTATGGACCCAGAGCCCTCCCGTTGGCAAATAGAGACAAGACTTAGGCCTGAGGTAATAATAAAGTAGTATACAGGGTTGAAAAAAAGAAATTTGCTGATTATATTGTCTTTTATTTAAGATTTTTATATCTAAAAGTGCAAATGGCATGGTAGATAAAGTGACAGCCCTGTGAAGTAGTGCTCTTAGTGGACTGGAAATTAACTTTTTTTAAGCCATGATAATAACTCACAAACAGAACAAACAGACATAGTTGGCCATGTACACATTATAAGCAATCCTTAAATCCAAATCCAGACAGTTCTTAAATCTGTCTTGGCAAGATTGAATTTTTTAAAAAATGTAATTGTTGTTCTAGTGATAACAACTTTTGGTATATAACAATGGTAGAAAGTAATATTAGCCAGCCGGCCCAAGGTCAGTGATAACTTATCAAGCCGGATAAATTTGATTTTAACTTGCCCGATGACATGTAATTGATTTTGCCAACTGGTACTGGTAAATATGACGTATGACTCAAGTTAGCTAAAGAATACCGATGGTGTGTGATTTTTAAATATATATCTAGACAATCTTCTTCTGACAGGAGGAGGTACTTGTTTTTGTACAAATTTAATATTTTCTATTAGGAAATAGTAAGACACCTGAGAAAAAATTAAATTAAAATTGTGAATGTAAGAATTCAGAGGATCTAAAATTTGATCATGATGTAAGTAAACTACAGCAAATAAATTTTTATTTTCTAACATCATGATGATAAATATCTGGGCACAGATAACTAAGGGACCATTCCAGACCCTATCAAACTAACTGTGGACCGATCTATTTCATAGGGGATTCTCGCTAAATTGCAATCAATTTAAGCGGCTTGGATGTCTGTCACACCTACTAAAGCTGCTAGGGGGTAATTAATTATCATTTAGCAGCATCAGTAGGTGTGCCAGACATCTAAGCCACTTAAGCTGAAAGCAATTTGGAGAGAAACCCCTCCCCTGCTTCTAGATTTCACCGCCATTCTGGTTTATTTCCAGTAATGGAGAATATTCAACATATTCTGGATAACATTAATATATTTGAGTATTTGAGGGAAGTGATTCTCAAAAACATATCATTCTGTTCAAAAGTACCCATAATTGAGAATGTAACATGCAAAGTTAAATTAAGTAGTTAATCATATAGAGATCAGCAGAAAGGAAAAGAAAAAGGAAAGGAAACAATTAACATTTTAAGGATAGGAGAGATGGGTGTGTATTGATGAAACTCCCTTTGTAATTATAAAATAGTGTTTGACTTTGATTATGATGTGTGAGATATTGCTCTTATATTAAAAAAGTAGAAGCAGTAGAGTCTGGCATGTAGCTGAATGATCAAGTAAAGGTAATTAAATAGACAAATGAAATAATTATCAAAAATGATGTATTGAAAAAAGCCAAATGGACAGCGATTATAATTGCTTGTGTATGATTTGATTGTTTTTGCAGTAAAAGTATATAAAGATACAAAAGCAAAAAGTCAATCAAGAATTGTTAATAGATGGCAAATATGTAGGGATTTAATAAAAGGAATTTATTGAATTTAGGGATGAATATTTATTAACTCATTGCAAATTGTATTTTTTTACTCATTCTAAGTACATTGTGTTATAGGATGAGGGCTCAAAATTGGCAGGTGAAGCAGGTTCTAGTGCTGAGCCACNAAAATTTGATCATGATGTAAGTAAACTACAGCAAATAAATTTTTATTTTCTAACATCATGATGATAAATATCTGGGCACAGATAACTAAGGGACCATTCCAGACCCTATCAAACTAACTGTGGACCGATCTATTTCATAGGGGATTCTCGCTAAATTGCAATCAATTTAAGCGGCTTGGATGTCTGTCACACCTACTAAAGCTGCTAGGGGGTAATTAATTATCATTTAGCAGCATCAGTAGGTGTGCCAGACATCTAAGCCACTTAAGCTGAAAGCAGTTTGGAGAGAAACCCCTCCCCTGCTTCTAGATTTCACCGCCATTCTGGTTTATTTCCAGTAATGGAGAATATTCAACATATTCTGGATAACATTAATATATTTGAGTATTTGAGGGAAGTGATTCTCAAAAACATATCATTCTGTTCAAAAGTACCCATAATTGAGAATGTAACATGCAAAGTTAAATTAAGTAGTTAATCATATAGAGATCAGCAGAAAGGAAAAGAAAAAGGAAAGGAAACAATTAACATTTTAAGGATAGGAGAGATGGGTGTGTATTGATGAAACTCCCTTTGTAATTATAAAATAGTGTTTGACTTTGATTATGATGTGTGAGATATTGCTCTTATATTAAAAAAGTAGAAGCAGTAGAGTCTGGCATGTAGCTGAATGATCAAGTAAAGGTAATTAAATAGACAAATGAAATAATTATCAAAAATGATGTATTGAAAAAAGCCAAATGGACAGCGATTATAATTGCTTGTGTATGATTTGATTGTTTTTGCAGTAAAAGTATATAAAGATACAAAAGCAAAAAGTCAATCAAGAATTGTTAATAGATGGCAAATATGTAGGGATTTAATAAAAGGAATTTATTGAATTTAGGGATGAATATTTATTAACTCATTGCAAATTGTATTTTTTTACTCATTCTAAGTACATTGTGTTATAGGATGAGGGCTCAAAATTGGCAGGTGAAGCAGGTTCTAGTGCTGAGCCACATAAAACTAAAAGTGGAATCAGGGCCTACAGAGTGCAAGCAACCAGACTTGGTAAGTGAAGGAAAGATGTAGAACATCTTTTTTTAAGTAACAACACTGATTGTAGGATCCACACAAATTTTTTTCGGTTAAATAGGCACTTGAAATTACCAACAGATAAAAATATAATTGAGAATCAATAAACCATTTAATTTTTTTAGCTACTTTGAAAAATTAGTCAAAAGTTGCCCACTTGATTTTCACCCCTTAATAGTGACATAGGAAGTGGAAATTTGTTACATAATTAGTAAAGGAGATAGGCCTAAACACTGTTTACAATTTGATTCTAGCAATTTCTCAAGCACAGTTATGTACATGTGAAGTGGGTCAAAGTGAAAGAATTTTTGAGCTACGTATGCTTGCAATATGGGAAATGTAAATGTCCTTGTTCACAATGAGCAAAAATAAAATGTGTGATACTCTGCACTCTGTGGTGGAGTGCTGACAAAGTGAGAAACTGTCAACTGCACTATCTCGTGTCCCAAAGCACTCTATTGCTACGAAGTATATGTAAAATCTAAATTAGAGGGAAGTCATGAAAGGTTTCGGCATGATGACTCACCAAAGTCTTGAAAATTATTTTGGGTTTGATGGGTTTATGTTGAAGTCTTAGCAACCACTTCACAGCTTAGTTTAACTTTAAGGTCATGATATAATTACTAGTATATGAGCAAATATAGGAAGTGACATAGCGGTCGTAATGAAGGCTATTGTAGCATTTGCAAGTGCTTTCCATGTATTGACTGAATGGCCCTGTGATTAGAGTATCTGTCCCAAAGTGAAAGGACATGGATTCAACCTTGTTCGATCCTTTATAAATAGAGAGGTTAAAGTAGGGGTAAAGTTTATTATTTTGTACTTCATGCCTCACTGTATATTTGTTTTTACTGTCTTATCTATGAATGGTTTTCTTTACTAAAGAGTTAGAAGGGGCTGCTATGTGGACTGACCAGGAAGAAGATATAGATGTGGTGTCTCTGGATGCAGTGGGACCTCCATTACATGGAGCTTGGGCAGCTCATTCAGGTACCAGAAGCAGCTTCCAAGCACAAATTCTAGTTTGCATTATAATTGATAATTTTGTTTAATGTACACATCTTTCACTGATATTATTGCTTATTCGTTGGTCGCGGTCTTTGTGCGAAATTATTTGCCCAAAGTTGTTGGTATTAAACAAATGTTTATATATTTCATTCTTTATTTTCTTATTTGATCATTTTGCCTTCTCAGATTCCCCATGTTCCAATGCAGCAACAGTAGGAGAAGACACCCTTTCAGCTTACAGTAATCACACTGGGAGCAGTGGACGTACCACTGACCTGCCACCGCCACCAGAGTTTATATGTACAGATGGAGGCTTTGGTAACTATGAGACAGAGGCTGGACTTGAAAGCCATCTGCCTCCTCATCCTTTTACCATGGTGAATCCTAATGATATTCTAAGCAGTAGGAGAGAGAGGAGAGGACAAGTTCTTGGGCATAGAGTGTCTAGAAACTCTTCAAATTCTGAGACTGTTGAATCAGGAAGGAGCCCACCTGTAGAAAGGAGAAGTGACCATGACTATGATTACACATTTTCCTGGGATGACGGTCTCCCTACTTTGAACAACAATAGTAAGTTCAGGTTTGACCGACCACCATTAGACTTTGCTCAGAGCACTGGAGGCCAAAGTTCAAGTCGATGGAATGAGAAATACCCTCAGAGTTGCCTTGATGAGGCCAGCATGTATAGGTATGGCAGTAGCTTGCAACGAAAGAGACGTAATTCTAGCACTGGTACTGCGGAAGAACAGACTAAGAAATTCCCAGTGTCTGGTTTCATGATGCGTGATAATTGGACAGGTGGCATGGGTGCCTCTCACCGTAGCACTGATGAGTCGGGCCCAAGTACTTCAACTCACAGGTCCCCAGACTCTTTAACCCCTGTGCAATCTAGAAATAACATAGACATGATGTCTGAATCGGAAGACAGTGATTTAGATGTGGATGTTCTTGGACCTTCCCCTCGAGAGCAGAGAAGTATCGATGCCAGTTTTAATACTTACTACCCTCATGCTGATGCAGCATTGGAAATGGAAGCAACAGAAGTCTTGGCCAACATTGGGAAATATATAAGAAAAAATCAGAAAAATAAATCTAGACAATCTCTCAAACCAGGCCAGGATCATAATTATTCTCAGCAAAGAATGGATGCAATGGCGGATTATTTTGCTGCCCAGGCTAACACAACAAACTTACCTTCAACTTCACAAGATGGGGATGTCCATCGTATGTTTGATACTAACAGTGAATCTGGACTTAGAGAGAGGGAGGAGGCTATAGATGTTGAGTGCAATGATGTGGAAGTGCTGTCTTGCCTCAGAGACACTGATAATGCCTTAGGTACATTACCAGGGGCAGCACCACAGTATAGGGGACCCCCGAGAACAAATCGTGGGCATGCTCTAGGACATTCCATTGCCAGAATTATGGAGCGTGGGAACCCTAGGAGGGACTGCTCTGGGACGAGCTATATTAAAAGGGAGACAGATGATATACAGATTACCTCAGATTCTGATAGTGATGTGGAAGTTGTGGACATAAAAATGTAAGTTATATGGAAGCTATGTTGTTCACTGTTAACATAAGTGCCAAGATGGAAAGATGGCATGTTTGCCCTAAAATATTTTGCTCTAGATTCTGGTGACATTTGTGCTGTAAGAACCTTTTTATTATAATTATTATTATTATTATACAGCTTCCTTACTAATCTTTTACTTGTGATAAAGCTCCATAATATAAAAAAATTGGTAAAAGGAATGGCATCTATTAAAATGGTATGATCCATTTTGTCATGATAACATTTTTTGACAAATAATTTTCAAAAATAGATTAATTAATCAATTTATTTTGTCAACTCTTGAAGGTCCACACCTAAAAGAGAGAGCAAGACCAACAACAGGGCAGCCACAGTGGTGGTTGATCTGACGGAGTCTGATGATGGTGAGTCCTCAACAAATGATATGAAGAACTAGAGCCAACAGTGCTACACGTGATGTTTTAACATGAATACAGGCCCTGGAAATTAAAATGCACCATTGATATTGTTTAATATGTGCCCACAGTGCATAATTGTGATTGCAACTCTGCTAGGTTTTTACGTATGCAAAAAGTAGTGAGCCTTTTTTTGGTAACATTTATAATAAATGTCCATGAAAATAACTTAGTTAATCTTTCTTGTAACAGAACTCAGTGAGCCTAGCAGCAGCAGCAGTGCTAGTGGACGGTGTCTACCACCCCCATACCAGCAACAACAACAACAACAACAGCAGATAAGTCCACCACCACCAACAGCAACAGCAGCACCCCAGCAGGCAGCAGCTCAAAGCACTAGCAGTAGTAGCAGCAGTGCATCCCAGTCATCATCCTCAGGAGCACCTGCTTTAAGTGGACAACCATCTGTCCCCATTGCCAGCAGAGCCAGCCCAGTTAACCCATTTCGCTTGCGCCACCAGGGAGGGGAGTATCACCACCACCATCACCACCACAATCCCAGGAGGGTTGATCACCACCATCACCAGTATCCTCAGCCCCCACCAGCTCACCTGCAGAGTTGTCGCTATGAGCACTGTGCAGAGACAGGGGAGGCATGTAATTGGGTGAGTGAGACAAATGTAAGGTCTTTCTTTTAAACAATCAGTTTGATTTTTGTTAAGCCATATGCGGTGGATATCAGACAGTGATTTCTTTTTGCCCACTACCTACCCCCCTCTCCCACATACACACTCACACACAATAAAAATTGCATCTGAGCCTACCAGTCTTACATAAGCACAGAGTAACTTTTCCCTAATACTGAAATATTTTGGCTAATGCATAAATATTTGGTCACTTTTGCCCAGCTTTCAATGCAGCAAAGAATTCATAAGCTGCATCATGAATTCAAAGTTACATTATGAGACACATTCATTGAATGTAGCAACAGATGTTATTGTAACCTATGCCTGAGTTGCACAGCCTGAAGGTGGTGTCCTATATGAAACACTGAAATAGTGAAGCACAAAAAAAAAACTGCTAAGCTGTTGTATAAAAAACTATTATTGTAACTCTATTTATATTTTTTTTTGTTGCGGAAATGCTTATCTAATGGACGCTAGAGTGAGCCCAGATTTGTTTTTTATTGGCATTATTAGAATGATCTGTTACAAATACTTTGTATACGAGTCCTTTGTGTATTTTACTACAGCTGGAGTCAGGGGGAGCCACACAGAGACCACCATGTGTCCTGCAGAACCAACATGCTCACAGATATAATCAAAACTTTGGACACAATGCTCAGGCTTGCTTAGGTGGGTAATTTTCAGACCCTAAGCATTTGCTGTCCAAAGTAGTAATGAAAAATAGAAGTGATCCAGGAGAAAACTTTGACAGTATCTGCTTGCTGGAAGGGTGATGTTATATTTCAAAGAGCACTCCCCAAGATTTTGGTATTTTGATATTCTCTGCATTTAAGTTCATAAATTATTTCTTATTTTATTCAGCAATTTGACTTAATTGTTTACATACAGGATTAAAATATATCTCTGCTGATATTTTTATACAGTAGCTATTAACTTGCAAACTTGTTTTTTCAGACTGCCCCATAACTGGTCGTTACCATCACCATCCCCCTCCACGTGCTCACCACCACCCTCACTTCCACCCCCTTCACCCTCAATGTTTCACTCCCTTCAGTGCACCCCAACCCTCAGCCACCCCTCAGCCCCCACCCACCCTGGTGGCACCCACCCCCTTACACCAGCGCTCCCTCCTGGAGCAACATGCACAGCGGATACGACAGATGCAGTCTGGCAGCCACTTGTTTTATATGAGTAACAATCAACAAGATGCTAGCAGCAACAATAACAGCACAAACCCCATACCTCAGTATTTACCAGAGAATCCAGCTGCAGACCCAGGTGTTCCTGCTGGAGTGCCTTCCAGGCCACCCCCTCCTTACCCCTACCCCCCAGGCTACCAGTCGCCTACCACCCAGCCTCTAGACTACTCTCAGGGCAGAGTGCCCTTGCCTATGGCTGAGGTGGTGATCAGGACATCACCCATGTGAGTATTCACTAACTTACAGGTGCTGTGATAATATTCTGATTTGACAATATATATTTTCCCCACTTTGTGCTGTATGTTATGACTCCTCTGTGAAATCTAATCTACCTTTTTAAGAAGAGCCTAAATTTTGTCAGAATAGGGAGGAAAAGCATTGGAACATGAGATTGAGCTATTGAATAAAGCAGTGTTGTACTCACAATAAAAATGTATTCTATTGGTTTATTTCTTTTTAAAACTATATTGTTTAAAACGAAAATGATTGTGACTGAAAAACAGAATGATGACTTGTTTTTTTCTACACAGGGACAACAATGGAGCTAATGGTGGTGCCACTGTCCAGGGGCAGCACCAGCACCTTCACCACCACCTGCATCACTATCACCATGGACCTCCCAGGCTGCACCACATCAGTGTCGCCCCTGGGATGCACATTAGCATAGGGGCTCCCATGGTATGTTGAAATAAGCATGCTGTGAACAGTTGGTGATTTATAAACCTTGATTAAAACAGGGATAAAATTTTTCTGACTTTCAGTGGATTTCTGACTTTTGGGGAGCCAAAAAAAAAACCTTGGCGAAGGCGCCCCCCCTGGACCTCACACCATTTTTTCTGACTTTTCCACTAAGTGGCAGTCTCATCCCTATTTTAAAAAAATTCTTGTGATTTTCCATACAGGTTTTTTAATAAAGAATGAATGATTCCTGTATTCTTGATATTAGTATGAATTGTGTATGAAATTATTTCTAAGCACCAAAGTGCAGAAAGGAACAGTCATTTTGGTGATGTTTTCTTCATTTTTTCTAAGGGTGTCAAGTGTAATTGCCATGCCTTTGGTAAATAATATGAAAAATGTAGTGTTAACATAAGTTATTGAAAATTACATTCAGATTTTTGTTCTTTATGGCTCACAACATGTTTATTTCAGGATAGAAGAATTTCAGACGATGTGATAAGGAGTCTTAAAAGTAATGCATTAATGGTAAATTCTATGTGATTAATAAATCCATTATCTCATAATTTTCAGTACCCACCCTTGCCTGACCAGTTCTATCAGTTTTTCCCTCCAAGATCTGTGCAAGTATCCATGAACAGATACAGATTTGAGGTAAGCCACAGGGATGTCGTAACATGTACAGGTGTTCTCTTGAATTGCAGTTGAATTCGACTGATTTAAGTGACAAAGATGACACCAGCATCATGGAACAGGTTCTGCATTGCAGTCACTGATAAAATGTTGTTTTTATTGAAATTTGTCCAGCTAATTAACTGAAACCAGTTAGTAAGCAGGCCATTGTGTATAATTAACTGAAAGGGACATGTAGAATATTTCTATTAAAGGGATAATAACTCTTCGTATGAGATCTATATTTCACAATAAAAACACTGTGAATAACTCATAGAAATATAATATATTCTGTTTTACCACAAAAACGGCAGTTATAACTATTATTCTGGTATCTGAGCTTGTCTTTAGACCACGTAACCTCCATTGATGGCTATACTCTGTTAAAAGCTCTTAAGAGATTTTAACAAAAAACCAAACTTTTTAGATAAAAAACCAAGGACTAACTTTGAATGTAAAAATGGATTCATTAACCATTGGTAAGTATGGGAAAATTATTGTTTACTCCAGGAAAATTCATTTTTTGGCCGAAACGAAGAGTTATTATCCCTTAAATATAAATTTATATCCAAGGACAATGCTAAAACTGTTCAAATCCTCCTATTTTAGGACCTGATCCACCTGGATGACAGGAATGGCCCTATACCTCGTGGAGCCTCCAGGATGGTGATAGAACGGAACACGTTCCCCCACAAGTATCACCGAGTGAAGAGGTGTGAGGAGGACTCTGGGGACGATAGCAACCACATGGAGAAGTGTACCATATGCCTCAGTGAGCTGGAAGAGGATGAGGATGTCAGGTAAAGTGTAGACAACCTACTGAGTCGAAGAAATTAAAATTTTCATTTGTTTAGGTAGTCCAGTTAGTTACCAGCAAATTGGTTAGATTGATTTTTTAATTATTATTGTTTTTTTTTCCTTAAAAGTCTAGACTAAAAGGGCATATTAGAAAATAAACCATGCAATTTTGAAATTTGTGTAGAAAAAATAGAGAAGATACTGCCAATGTAAGTGGACACCCCCAACCCCCAGCCCCATGTAGATAATTATTGTAGTTTTAGAAAAAATGTGTTGAAATTAAACTGCATGTTATCGCTATTCTGTTCTTCAGGCGTCTTCCCTGTATGCACCTGTTCCACATAGAGTGCGTGGATCAGTGGCTGGTCACCAACAAGAGGTGCCCAATATGCAGAGTGGACATTGAAGCAGGGTCTAAAGATGAGCTGGAGGTTTTGGAGTGAAATGGGCGTTTATGCCTCCTTGACATTCTAAAAGGATATTAGAAGAAATGGATTAGTATAAAGATAAAGAGCATTGACCATGTAGCAATTGCTTTCATTCCCAGTACTTATTGTAAACTGGGATATAGATATTTTGACAGTTCACCCTGCCTCAGCTGATACTAAGGCTTACACTGCAGCAGTAAAATTAAATATTCAGTTAACCCCCAGCCCACTCCTAGTTTATTCTGCATTTGTGGTTCATTCAGGAGACCTTTGAGTGCTTGGGGTACTCCCCAGTCTACTTTCCATGACAGAAAATTCAGGGAGTATAAATCCATGGGAAAAGACATTTGATTAAAGATCAGTGACAAATTAAATAGCATGTATGATAGATACAGATGTACAGGTTTTATACATTGTAAACATTTGATACTCATTGTGAAAAAATGTGTTTGTGGACGGTAGTCTTAAGTGCACAAGTTCTGGGTCAAACATATCATGCTGTAGATAATCAGTGGTAGGAACAATAATCATGACTGTGCTTAGCTGTAATGGCTCCCATTTATGCTCTCATTGATGCTATATGTAAGTTCTTCACTGTTGTAATTGTATGTGCTATATTAGTTTAAAAGTGGAAAGGAGCTGTAGATACTGTGATGTAAAAGGACTTGTAAAGACAGGCTTCTGTAGAAATAGATGTCTAATTGTGGATTGTAATTATTATGCCATTGATGTTGGAATTATTGAGTTGAATGCCATTTTATACAGGACCAATGAACCAGCGCACGCGTTCGAAATATAATTATGGCTGACCTATATAAGGTGTAATGCACCCTTGAGCCTATCAGAAATTTCTCTTTATCTGGTTTCCAGGAAACTGGTGTCTTCTTAACTATATAAAACAGATATTACTTAAGTATAAAACTTGCATGTTTCTAACTTTAGACTAGTTAAGTTTTTTTTTTCTCCTAGTAATTTAATATAACTTGCGTTTTCAAAACGTGTCCAAAGTTGAGGGTGTCAGTTGGGATCAGCAAAAGTATCTTGCTGCTCGACTTCCAAATATAGTTAAAATGAAGACCACTGGTCTTCATTATTTATCATCATATTTAAAAAATCTAAGATTTTTAGTATATATCGTTAGTAAATTGATTTGAACAGTGTGAGCTTCATTTATTTACTTACAATTTTGGAATTTAGAATATTTCTTTAGAAACGAGTGATTATACCAAACTTTGTGATATTTTAGTCGAATGGCTAGGACATGTACCTCATGTTTTTCACTGAACAGGAATGATATAATCTCAGTTAATACATCTGCTTTTGTGGCATAAGTATAATAATTAATATGTGTGAAAGCTTTGGCAATACAGACTACAATGCTAGCATGTAGTAAAATATGCACATACAGGTAGGAGTTTATTCCTCATGTATTAGTTAAAAAGACTGGCTTATGATCATTTTGCCTTGTGTTGTAAAATTTGAGTTCACATCATTAGTGATAGGTTTCATAGCATTTCATATGTTTGGTTATGTTTTGTTTTATATATATATATATCTGATATCTTTCAAGTTGCTGTACAGAAACTGCTCCATTAGTAAAGTAATACATTTTATAATGAACAGGATGTGGTACGTTGTAATGTCAGTAATTTTTTTTTCCAAATGCCTCTCTTTCTTGTCAATTCTTTTTGGAATGTTTATGCAAGATGGGTTTGGATTCCATCCCCTATCCACATCTGATCTCATATATATAATATATTAGATCAGCATAAGGAAATGGTACTTTTTTTTCAGATTACTCAATTAGAATCTTTTGCACTGTATATTGAGATGTATGTATGTAATTGTAAAGCCATACAGCATCTTCATGTACCTCCTTTGGCATATTGGTCTAGATATAATAATTCTGATGACACCTTGAAATGTTTTAAAAAAAGAACAATTGAATGTACATTTTGGCCTGTAAATTTCTTCATGGTGTTAATCTGCACAGGGAAGAGTATGTGTCTATTTACAACTGAATTTAAAAAACTTGTATTGTCAAGCTGCAGTAAACTTGGTGAATTGTGTGGCATTTCTACGCTATTCATTTGTTAAATCTGGGTAAATTTAACTAAAAGTTCGGTAGTCGGTGTGTGAAAATGTCCAAAGCACCGGTTGTTTCTGTAGTTCTAAAAGTCGTGCCACTTTCAGGAATTGAGGTGGTAGAATTTTTTTTTATCTCTTTGGAATCGAGGTTGTTTATGAAGTTCATAGGTCATAGTGAGTCTATTGTCAAGTCTGTGCAATGTACTTGCTCTCGTTTTCTGTTATTATTTGGCAAAGTATGTTAAATAAAACGTATTGATAAATTGAGATTGTTTTTGTCTGTTGTTACTCCCGTATTATAGGGAGATTAAGTTTGGGATATAACTGACCAGGAATTATTAATTATATAACTTTTATCCTAAGTTAGAAACTTGCCGCTATGGATCGAGGCATCCTTCGTCTACACAATAAAAACCTATCTGAAATTAGACTGCATTTACGTTTTATTATAAATTAAGATAGATTGCCGTACAATTATATATAACATACAAACATTATTTTATCGCATAACTCATCTCAACAACAGCAAATGTATTTCTATAATCTACGTGTTTGAGCAAAACTGTCATGGTATGCTGGGCTACAAGTCGATCAAGCACCAAGTGATATTAATAGCTAAAATATTGTAGTTGTTTGGTTAGTACAGTCTACTTGAATGCTGATTCTGGTTGAACAAGGGTATTATCAGAAAAAACAAGACAGCAGGGTTGTGTTGACGAAACTATAGACGTAAAATACCACAACAGGTCCACAACATATACATACGGTCCTCTAAAGGAAAGTTTGGCGTAGTCAAACGACATTTTATGGCGACAACAATCTCCAGAGCTTATTTATGCACGTGGGCATTCTGCACATGCTCAATTGTGCCCTAGAGGGGTAATCTCCTTTGAGGCACATGTTGCTACTTATACCATGGGGCATCACTGCCTGGCCTCATTTTGCTTGATTCATTCTGTTCACGAGTATGATACAATCAAGCTATAAGTTATCTCAAATCTGCAACTGAAATCTTCAGTTCAAACAATTTCATTTTACCTCTATGAGAACTTTCCAGCAGTTCACTCGATCTGTTGAAGCGTACAGTGACAGATTCTGCACAACTTCAAGCAAGGATCAACAGTACAATTGCTGACTGTTACATGTATGCGGTAAGTTTTAGTTTCTCTAGCTATTTAGCAGTTGCAGTTGACAAAACGTTCTTTATTCAGGTGTTGCTTGTTTACTCGGATAGCGGTCACTGCGACTGCACAAAGAAATTAAGGGTCCTTGCGTGTAAAATCTCCAGTCACCCGAAGACATAGGCGGACACAACGTCCCAAAATTTATTGGATATCACATGGGCACATGCTTTGCCGATTAAGTTACCTACTTTTAGTTTGTAATTCATTTACTTACTCATTTTCCTTTTACTAATTGCCATTATTTTTGTGCAAGTTCATTGTTCTCCAAACTGCATTGGATTACTTCATTCTTTCCTTTGTGGGGTTTTCCTTGCCCAGTGCATTTGCACCAGNGTTGTTTGGTCTTAACAAAAACCTTATTACTGTATTTTCACTAAAATAAACAATGTTCCGTGTTAATAGAAAAGGACGTCGTTAAGAACCACATCGCGTCTAATTTTCATGTATCAATAGCTTAGCTATAAAATCAGATGAAAGTTATCGTCCAATACATCTGCTAATTCAGACTTGCTCATCGACGACCTACAATAGTGGTATATGAACAGTACAGGGTTTGTCTTTAAAGATGTATAACCATTAAACTTGTTCTACACTACTTAATCATATCTTAGAATCGTCTCGAGAGCCCATTCTTTATAGTTTACGATTTATGAAAATAAGAGCACTAATAGGTAGGATGGTAAATCAATACAAAGACATAACCTTAGCCAATGGCTCTGCATCAAATGACTTAAAATTGTCCACGAAAGGGAAGCCCAAAATGCGCATAAGGGTTAATTAGACATATAATCGAAGATCAATTAAAAAAAATATGCAAATAGCCAGTAACCGTTGATCTTTCCATCAAAATTCACAAAAACATATTCAAATACTGACTGGAGACTGTATCCCATGTAAGTTTTCAAAAGTCAAACACCCTTAACGCAGTCTTGTATCCAGTAAGTGCCTCGAGTGTCCTAGGTAAACTTTTAATGTTTCCAGCGCTGAGCTAAATCGATTAAAAGACTTTTGGAATACTGGTTTAATTCGACTTCAAGTTGTTTCTAATGTGGTCGCCAAGCAAAACATTTAATAATGTCACCAAAGGTCGGACATATCGGCTTCCTTATGGTATTGTCGTTAATTATATACGTCTTTGTAATAAGGATTATGAGGATAACAAAATCAATGCGCACTGAATAATATTGGAAATCGAATTCACTTTGAGCCCGGAAGATCGAGTTTTGTAGCACAATCTCAGTTGATGTTTTTCGTGCAAAAATTAAGAAGAGAAATGGAATGGCTACATTTGCGATATTCACTCGTAATAAAGTCCGTAAATCATGGCGACAGCAAATAGAGAACCGTTGGCAAATTTAACATTCGCAAAACTGTCCGTGCCCTTGTTCCACAGACACCTGCTGCCGAACTGCATCCCCGGCCTTTCTTTTAGACTGCCGATGCTGACTACGACGACAAACTTGTAGCGTTTAAACGCAAAAAGTTTGACTCTTTCCATGATTATCCCTGCCAATTCCTGACTCAGGTGCTTGCAGGTGGCAGGATCGTACTTCATATCTTTCAGCCTCTCCGTGAGGACATCCTCCGCTTCTTTCTCCACACACCCAGCCATAAAACGGACGTCAGGCTCCATTTTGTACGTATTTTCATATTGAAGGTTTCTCCTGTAAATTCCTTCACTCCTGTCCGCCATGGAAATGACATCGTAATTCGTTTCTGTCTCTAGATTCTGTCCATGACTCCGCATTGACGGGGCACCCATACCTGGCGCCTGAGTCCTCTTCAAGGCAGCTCCTACACTTGGAGCTATGCTTTGGCGCTTGTGATCAGTGCCTCTCACTGCGGGTTTAACCTGTGCCATTTTTCAGTTATTTTATATCTCAAAATTATCCTAATGGAAAATTTGACACAACTTGAATGTTGGAAGGTTGACAATCGGACCAGCCGAAGCTTGTTAAGTGATGTGATATCTGACCGTGTATAACCGAATCGTCTCCAAAGCTGTCAGAACGTGTTTGTCCCCGTAGCTTCAAATCACAGTATTTACATGAAAGACGCACTGCACTTTTAAGTTCCACTAGTTTATAATGCAATTTGAAGTTCTATCCACTGTAACACGCCAAACCTCTTTGGAAAAGAAGCACGTTCAAAAACGTCGATAACGTGACAGTTCTGCCAGGTCTTAGGGCGGCTCTATTGAAGGTCGCCTCTGTTTATAGTAGCCTCTTTCTGATTTCCTTTAGTAACTAGCCGGTCTGTTACGTGAGCATATCAGGGTAAGGATCAAGCAGATAAAAAAAAATCACAGCAACAATTGAATTCGACACTCTGCGTGGGGGACGTTCCAAGTCCGTGTGGTTATTTGATAAACTAATTCCAAAAACTTGACACGAAATACACGGAGTGTGTGTCTCTAATGAAGATTAAACATGGAAATTCTACACTTGCCACCCCTCACTTTACCCGTTTGACCCTTCAGAGCGCGAGCTTGCCTTTTATATTGTTGCGCTTCAGGTAAATTGCATTTATATAGCAAAATTCTAAACAACATCGGTAGAGACAAATAAACAGTTTCTATTTAATTTTACATACTCGGGTGCGCGCTAGACGAATAATGGAATTGGGTTTGAATGCCACAATAGTATTACGTTTACTATACCGGTGCTCACTGAATTTCATTAACATACAGGAATTGAAGTTAGCCAGTGAGGGGTAAAAATAAACAGTAATAAAAGGGACAGGTTTGATTAACACTCATGCTCAAGGTTTTGTCAAGATACTATGATACGACAAGCGTTGACAGCAAAAATAACGCGCCATTACACGGGAAATATTCGTGGCACGATGAAAAGAAAATTTGATACTATTTATACACATGTACAATATCATGTGGTTTGTATCTTAAGTTAATCTGTTAGATTTTTTTCGCAAAAGCTGGTTGATATTCAAATATCCTTTTATTACTCATTTCAAGTATTTGTTCATTCTTCTTCTTTTCAATTTTTTATTAATATATATTTTTGTGTGTAAAATATGATGTCAGGTCGTCACAAATTGTTTTACACACAACCAAACGTCAGTATGTTAAATGTTTTAAACATTTTTATCTGCATTAATCATCAAAAAGCCGTGGATATCTACCCAAGATGATTTACGTTTTGATAAGCACAAAACCTTGCAAATATCCGTGCTGACTAGCTACTTTACTGTAATCACCAAGCGTTGCCAGGATCTCCTCGACCAGACCTGACATGTGTCTGAACCACAGCATCTCAGCCATCTGATTTATTTGTTGTAATTTCAACTCGATGTTTGGACTAGGTGGCCAAGATATTACAGGTGCGACTGGGCACCTAAGGTTATTGCGTTAGATGGGAAATATCGATTGCGTTAAGGTAAGAAATTGCACAGGAACTAATTCCTATACCGACTTGCATTCAGAGCATTTTCAGGATTTTATACAAGATCTCATGGTGACACCTGATTTATCCTATTTACAGTTAATTTCAGTTTTAACAAAAATTATCTTTTCATTTACGATAAAAGGATAAGGGAAGACAAATAATGAGAAAAAGTTCCAGTATTCACTGGAATTTGTTGAACGGAATTTTTAAAAACTCAACGTTTAAAATGAAATAAATCAATGTAGGAACTGTGTAATTGCAGTATAAAAAGTTACCTTTATTGTGTATAATAATAATAAGGAGTTACAAATAAATATATTTGACACAGAGTTCACAAAAAGAAAGGACCCTGAAAGTGAAGTTTTTAGATAATTTACATAAATAGATAAAGACAAGTTTAGAAAAGATTGAGATAAAATAAAGATTTGACTCATATTAAACGATCCCTAAAACTGAAGCTGGTGCGACTAGCGAATATAAAACCTCTCAAACTATAAAAGTAATCAATTGCATAAAAAAAATCAAAGATCATTGCTTTGACCCTCCATAAAGATAAAAGGTTTTAAAATTCTGTTCAATCAAAAAAATATACTGTATAAAGCTTATACCATAAACAACTTTGGTCCACAGCTTTTTTATGCATGCAAACATGGCTTCATCTTTCAGTTGGCACTAGATTTCTTAGGTTTTTGATTGTCGATATATGCTAATTTCTGTCTATTCCCATCATTATGATAACTTTTTCTTTTTCAAAGCGAGTCTGTTGACAGTCCCAATGATGCTTATACCTTTGCCGAAATTTGACGTGCTTTGTTTTTCTTCACCAAAAAATCGTGTTCGATGTCTCGCAGTTCCTCGGCCAAATCCCGTCTGCCGCATTTCAAGAACGCAGAACTCAGGATGGAAACCTGCCAACGATATTGAGTGCAAATCATTAAACAATTTTATCCAACAGTGCAGAAGCATATGGTACGTTATTTACAGTTAGTAAATCAAGTGTGTTTTGTATGCTGCTAAACATCTTGTTGAAACTCGTACAGATCATAAAAAATGTTACTGTGTTTTGTTCAAGTGCATTTTTCGATTGCCTTGCTATTGAATCTACAGGCAACTACTTGATAAGTAATAAAAATAATTTTGAAATAAACTAAAGCACTAAGCTTAATTAATTACAAAAAAAAAAAAAAAAACAAGCGCTTATTTTGATTTTGCAATTAGTGAACAGAAATATGAATTGGTGAAAAGACAAGTTGATTAACAAAAATGACTATACCTTATTCATTCCTTTTGGCACCCTTTTCACCCAGGTCATCAGCATATCGTATTTAGCTTGGTCCTCTTTACTCTCGCTACTTTCCAGATCATTGTTTCTCAAGATGGCCTGAACACGCGTGCGCCGAACATTCAAATAGTGCGCCAATCTTTTCCATTCGTCTCCCAGATCCTCAGCGAAACGGCGTAGCAGTTCTTCGGTGACCGGATCGCTGGTATTGATTAACCTAATTGGCGCCTTTTCTATTGGTTTACTTGGGACCACATGCTCCTGTGAATAAAGAGAGACAATTGCTGTAACATAAATACTGATTCATAACCAAAAACTTTCATAAAGAAAGTGTGAATGGTACACAGCTTTCAGTAAAAATATGTCAGATAGCAAGGATTACAAAATTGCCTGAAATGATTGTGATAAGCCCTTCAGTGATAACCTAAAATTTTAGAAAATGCTAGAGAGAAAAGATAATGGTAAATACCTTGGGTAATGTGACCAAAAGTTCACTAACAAGTTCCCAGTCCTCCTCCCACCGTGGCTTCAAATCCTGTGGATTAGGTTCATCGCCGTCACTGTTTTCACTGGGCTGCGGTGTCCGTAATACCATTACCCTCTTGTAGATCTGAGCAAAGCCTTTGAACACTGGGAAGCTTTTTTGAAGATACTGATCCAATTCACAAGCGTAGAAATTAACTGTTGATTTCAAGTGTGAGTTGAAGACTACTCTCAGTCTTTTGTTCTCTTCGGACTTGATGTTTCCGCGGAAGCGCACTTCGAGGACGTCTCCCTCATTAATTATGATGTCTGAACTGGCTCCAGGCCCCTCTTCGTAACCTTCTTCATTTAGTTTTTGCAGGGCTTTGTCACTTTCTTTCGCAGGGACACACGACACAATGATTTCATTAGGATCGTCGGTTCTGAAATTTGCATAATTTATTAATCTCACACTTGTTTCATTTAAAACCATCGACCAGTGGAAAATTGAAAAGCGATAAGCTATATATAATAGTGTACAACTACTTAGAATACTCTAGGTCTATTTGCTGTAATATAAATATTTAATCAGTCTTACTCACTTTTGTTTTAGTATAATCTGTGTGAGTCTGCTTTCCACATAGCTCTCTATTGAGGCAGCCATATGAACAGCCTCGTTAGGACCTATTGTCGTTCGCGTTCTAAGAACCATGAACCTAGAAATCAAAATTGCAAATAGCGATTGTAAATAGATTGCTGGCATTTTATGCAATTATCTCGCTGTTGAAACTTTACAATGCATTTTATAACAAAGAATGGGCTTAATAAAGTCTAAACTATCATATGGGCATACGGAGAGCAAAAAGATATGAATCACTGACTTAAGATGTTGATTAGTGTGCTCAATAACATGTTTTGTATCCTCCTTATTCTGTCCTTGTGATTTTCTTGTTTTCAAACCACAACGCTCTTATGTAATACTAACCTAGTTAATGGCTCTCTCAGTTCGAACTCTAACAAATCAAGTCTTATTTGTGAGAAATGCAAATCGGGAACTGCATGCCATTTCCCCTTCTCATTAGAATATAACAGGAACAGGTTATCGTTTTCATCATCTAAAATGTGAAACGTATCATTGAGTGATTTGATATGACATGGATTATTTGATATGACGTGAAATACCAACTGTATCATAACCAATGCAATATTATTAATGATAAGAGTAAGAAAAAATAAGACTAAGAATTACAACAAAACAGCCAAGCGCTTTTTTTTTTCGGCAATTGATAATTTGCCAAGCATTATAAAATCGCACACGGATTTGTCAAAATATTTTACTGGTAATTCAGTCATTTCTCAAAGCATGACAGAAATGATTTAAACGATTCTTATTTCTCAAACCCACAAAAACCTCACCATCGCTTCCTCCGTACTGCCCCATGTACCATCTAGTGGGTTCTTGTCGCTTGAAGTCGGTTTCTTCGTCAGGGGGCGCCTCTGCCTGTGCTTGGGTTTGCTGAGTCGGCTTTTTCTCCGGTTTTTTCTTTTCTGGTTCTTTCTTGGGCGCAGCATCAAAAATGTTCACGGCGACCTTCCGTTCCGGTTGCTTCATCTTCGCCTCTTTTTCTGCCTTGATTGCCGCAGCTTTCCTTGCTTTTACTGGATTGGGTGGACAGGGAAGAGTCATCTAGAAATAAATGTGAATGTTCATATATTCCTAGTTTCACACTGCAATCTTTTGTTTCATTATTGCAGCCAAATGTCAATTCTCGTTAAAACCGGTTCGTTCAGATATAATTCATATTATTATGAGGAAGGAAAGCTATTGTAAATAGTTTCCATTTAGGGAGGAACTGGTACCCGTAACGAGTCAATAGCAAAAACATTGTCATATGAATACAAGTACACTCTCTATCCATTAAGGTTAACGATCCCACTACAAGGTAGATAAACGTGTTATTGTTGTCATTATTTCAACATGCATTATGATGAAACAGACAACACAGGCAATGCAGCAAAAAGGATGTTCACTTATGCACATATGAACATTTATCAAATCGTGGACACTTACTATTATCTGTTTGCCAAACGCTTCACTGTCCCACTTCATATTGATGATGGCACTCGAAGTCAGAAGTCCTCGGCAATGCTTAAATCTCAACTTGATGTCTGCTACAGACGCTGAGTCGACGGGCTGTACCTACACCATTAAAGTAATATTTATGACTGAGAACCAACGATAAGCCGTCAAAACTTTCTGTGTTAGACGAAATAAACTGAAGGCGTTCAAGTTGATATAAAAAGATAAAGGACAACTCTGAATTACAACTCTGAATGACATTGACAAAACAGGCAAGCGTATTACACCCCATCTCCCTTCCGAAGAGGAGAACAGACAAACACTAACAGAAGTAGCCTATATGGCTTGTTCCCAGTGCTGCAAAACAAATGCCCCAAATTGCATCATATTTTTCCTTTAGAAATTAGCAGATTGGAGAAAAATTTAAAAAATCCCACCTCTTTTATGTTCTCGCTCTTACAGTTAACCCCTTTCATTTACGAGCATCCCTCTTAGTCCTTAATTATGGATTGTCTTAGTTTAGGCGGATTATTCCATACCAGAACATAGACATAGCACCTTTTCAACAATACCATGTACGAAGTGCTGATGTTAACATATTAGTCAATGGTATTAAATGGTCAATTCAAAGTATTATGTGCTGTCTTGCCAACAAAAATCAACGTCCATTGACTTATACTTTAAACCCTTTTCATTAAAATAATGTTTGAAATAAGATCAATAAAAGTAGCTACCTGGCATTGAATGTTCTCTTTTCGGCTGAAAGTCTGTGGTTCCACGTTGAAGGTAATACGAGGGTCAACAGAGGAGATAATTTTACCTCCTTTCTTCCCCACGTGAAGATGGTCTTTCTTAAAGCGTGTTACTACCGCCAAACACGCTGGGCTGTGTAATTTGGTTTGGACAAACTTGACATCCTGAAAATTTATAGATATAAACAATAACCGTAAGACTGAAGCTGCCAACTCGCTTCCAGCAAGGAGTTATAACTCCTTGCTTCCATTTAGCACGTACGTTATTGTCACCGAAAACAGAAAATTCTAATGAGAAAAAAAACTCATACATGTATGGGTGTTCACTCATTTGTGCGACTGATACACGCAAATATATGCTCAAGAGAATTCTACACATAATAATGAAATATACATGTACCTTATAGTGTTCAAAATGCATGTCATATGACGGTATCTCTTTCCATTTCCCCTTCACCTCCGCCTTCACAACGGGTTCACGGGACAGCGCGCTGGTGCGTGACATGCAATGGGGGATAGCCACATAGATGGGCTCCTAAAATGAAGTTTGGGATAAATCATAATAACGATATTCTTAATAATGTAATTGTGACTTAAGATTTGAGGAAATTTTAACCGATTATGATGACGGTTTAGGTACTGCAACAACCGCAGTGCAGGATACTAACACCGAAAACCTACCTACATTTATATCACGTAGTAAGAAACAAAGTGAAAACAAACGATTCCTAACACACTGGCTAGACAATTAAGGGCTAGTTTAAGAAAATTATATATAATTATTATTATCATTATTATTTTATTTTATTTTTATTATTATTTTTTTTTGGGGGGGGGGGTGGGGGGGGGGTGTTTTGCTCTTTTCAAAGAACTACATACCGGTAAATTTGTATTGATATGTGCCTTGTATTACATAGGTAAAAATACAGAAAACTAATGGTTACACAGGGGCAACAATTGACGACATGTAAAATGTCCATTCGAAGTTACATGATCTAAATATACAGTAAATTCAACGCCTCAAAAGCTAATTACAGGCGACTTTGAGTATAGGTAAGACACGCTTCAATCCTACGACTAATCTGTCAACAAAAACCATAGCTACTTGGTATTACACGTCATAGTTAGTAAATATACACTGCCAAATCATCACCAAGTGCAAACAGCCTGGGTCAAGTCTTTAAAAGGGACCCGTTTGTTCAACGGTGTTTATCTCAAGACCACTCCATAATCCAGTTAAAAGGAAAGAGTTCTCTCGTGTATTCTGTAGCGGTGTTAAAATAAAACGCTTGTCCTTTTTAGCTAACAGAACTCAGTTTAACTTCCTTGTATAAAGAGTAAAACATATCCCGTTCATCTAGTTTCCTTTCTAATGCACAATATACTTAAGTAGGTCTAAAAAATTTCGACTTCCAAAACAGTGAAGTGATATAATGTGTACACCAACCGACATATGTAAACTATCTCTTGACGTTACCAGGGAGACACACTTGGTTTTGGGTAAACTATACCAATCAAACCGTCAGTTCTGTCTAACCTACATATTCACCTTCTCAGCCCATTTATCTAAATATTACTGTATATTTTATATTATGTTTTAATTCATTTTAAAAGAAATGCTGTAAACTAAATCGACATGACTTTGGAAGTTTAGCGTTGAGGGTAGAATGTAAGTGTGGTAAGTTGTGGTTATTGAACTTACCTTCCACTTACAGTCCTCTGCTGCTGTGACATTTATAATGTTACTGACCAACTCTTCATTGTCTTCGTAAGGGAAGCTGGATTCCAAAGGATTGATCACTTGAACCTGGACCGAGTTTTCTCTCACTTTCTCACCATCGGTTCGAATCAAAGATGCTATGCCTTGATCAAAAGACCCACCTTCAGTTCGAAAACTGTGAAAAACAAAACTATACTACTGCAATCTGGAAATTATTCAATGGTAGCACTGTCACTGAGAGGTGAAATTGTAACATTTATTTTTGACATCGGGTATTAAATAAAAAATAAATAAAAAGTTTTTTGTTTGATATGTTAATAAAAGTACAAAAAAGTATATGTGAAAACTTACGTAAAGAGAGGCCAATCTTCCCAAGGTAATTTTTCTTCAGGCTTTTTACTTTCTTTGTCGTGTTTCCTCTTTTCTTCCAGAAGTCTCATTTTCTCTGCTTCTTCTTCAGCTCGGCGCTCCTCTTCTTCGGCTTTCCTTTTCTCTTCGGCCACCTTCCGCGCTATTTCAAGCTGCTTGCGCTCTTCCTCCAGCCGCTGGTTTTCTTCCATCTCTGCCTTGATTCGTTCGGCCTCCTGAACAGCATGTTCTGCGACCAGAGAAGCATCGATGGCCGTTTTTTCAGTCTCTGCCGAGAATTTAGCGGTCTTGGCCAACTCCACCCCCGTCTCAGCGATATCAGCGTGTAACCTGGCCAACTTGGCTTCCAGTGCCTTCCTGGCAACCATGTCGCTATCATCATCTTGAGCCGCGGCTATGAAAAGAGAATATTTTGAAAATCGATTGGTAGATTTATTAACTACACAATTATAACACTTATTACACAGATTTAAGTGTTTGTTTTGGTTGAAACATAATTTGGCACTTTACTTTCAAGGAACTAACTTAAGGCATGGAAAAACAAACGCACGGAAAACATTTTTGCAATGTGAACTAGATTTATGAGAACTGGGTTACATTATAAGTAAATAATTTTAGCTTGATTGGATTATTTTTTTTTTCAACTTTTTCTGTGTCCAGTGTTATTAATTTTTATCTAAACCAGTTCCGAAGGGTTATCTGGCAATAATCTAGAATGTCTATTGGGATATTATCTTAAGCTATCATTCTTTTTGTGTTGATACGATTCCTCAGTAGCACAGCATCGAGAGAACGCTGAATCAATTACTCCATATCTGTACGTGTTGAGTTTTGATATTTACCAGAAATCTATTTGCCCGGGATTTAGACTTGTTTTTAACGTCGCAAGTCAAGGATCACAATTCAAAAATCCACCTTATCTTTGCCCAATCATATTGCTATTGATCAGAATTTGATGGCGATTACGTATGTCAGGATTAAATGTCCCCATACCAACGCCATGTTATCTGGGAACTAGGGTCACAGTAAGCTAGACCCCATTTCTCACATAAACATAAAATTTATGTGGAAAGTTGGTCTAAACTTTTAGACCGAGCATTTTAGCCCGCTTTGGTTCAAGATAAAGGTGTGGCAGGTCACTTGAATGAGGATATTTGACTTGTTTCACAAAAAGTAAGAAAGGGTTACCGTTATGACCGATATCTGGATACTATTGAGCTATCCTAGATTGAAGTTGACTAAACCTTTTGGTCTTAAGTTAAAACCAGCGTTTAACTTCAACTTTTCTGAAAAACTAGGCACTGAACTAAAGTGTAATATTTTTCTTTGTTATTTACGAGAGAGAACTAACTTGACTTTGCTGAGATTAAGTTTACATCTGTTCTAAGTGACCTCAAGATGTTTAATGCTAAACACTGCATTTACTAGTTCTTTAGAACTGAAACCATAATTATATTCATTTCACATGCACATGCACATGCAATAAGACAGTTCTCCGATTCGCTGTTTTATCATTACATCGTATCGTTCTCGCAATCAATTTGACGTGAGATATAGATAACAAAATTGACAAACAACCTAGTTAGACTCAGTGATAAATCACTGGGAGTGATAACTCAAGGAGAAATATCTAATACAAAGGTTAGCTTAATACGACATAATGACTATCGTTACAATAAATTAATTTAAACCATTGTTTTGAAAAGAAAATATACCAACGTGTAGGATTAAATAGAAAAATCGTCTAAAGCAAACGTATTTTGCAGAGATGACGAGGGAGGCGTGTGTGTCGTGTTCATTCTAATATTAGAAGGCATTTCAATTTTCTTTCATTTTAAAAGATACTGGGCGATAATTTTCAGGGTAAAGGAAGTTGCGTAATCTTTTGGCATGATTGTATGGACTACAAAATTAAAACATTGAAGTTCGAGATCTCTCAAAAAATTCCTATAAATGAGGGGCGTGCCAAAGAATTTTGTATGTATGGAATGAAATGATTAAAAAAGATTATATGCCAAGCACATCTGAATATTTACAACGTTTTTAATGAATAAAACATTAGCCATTGGGAGAAAAATATTGAAACCCTGGTTTGTTTTCATGTAATGAAAGGTACAGTAATCTATGTCCCAATGCCTTTAACAAAACTATTATCATTTTTGTTCTATGTCATCCAGTAAAATGGGCTCGATGTTATGCAGGAGCACATATTTGACATTTTGAAACTTAATACCACCATTAAGATTCAACTAACCTGCATTGGTATCCGCTGTGTGAAGCTGCTCTGTTACATTCTCTTTGACCTCGGTGATTTTGTTTCTCAACTCTTCCAGCTGACTCTGGGAATACAGGGTATAATTTCTGAATTCTAATAGTGCAGACGATATCTTTGCAGTCAGATTTTGCAGATCGTTCGCCGGAAAGTCTAGTGTAACACGAGCGAACGAATCTGATTGCATACGATCAATAAAGCTTTGGATGTTCCCAGTGAATGCTTTACTGTCAAAATTCGCAGCAGACGAACTCAGTTTCTTAGGGTCGAACTCCTCTTCGAATTTTCTAATATTTTCTTCATCATCCGCCACCGCTTGTCTGCTTAGTCTACTGTCATCAACTTCCTGGTCATCACTACTATCCACACTGGACCTCTCCATGGTTACACTTCCCTCTTCCGTTTTAATTTTTTCTTCGCCGTCTTGCACGTAGACTGCATCGTCCCCCATTGCCTCACCGTTCGGTTCCGTACCGTGCATGTCTGGGTTGTTTTGATCGTGAGCGTCGACACTTTCAGTGAGTTTCAGACTTTGTTCCAAATTGTCGGCCACTGAATCCACAACTCCACCGCTGTCGTCTGGGGTCAAGCCATTACTGATGACGTTCGCGTTGTCATCTCTGGTTGTATGACTTGTATCCTTTACCTCAGTGGAGCTTGCGCCTTTCGTCCGAGTTTTACTTGTTTTTGGTCTCTTTGGTCTTTCCTTCTGGCTGTTTCTATTGTCTCTGTCTGTACCATGTCCAAGATACGGCTTGCTGGATCCACCCGGACCACTGTCCAAGGATTGGTGTTTATTACTATTAGATTTACAGCGCCCCTCCATATCTATGGTTGTTAGGTGCGATAACGGTATTTGTCTTGCCCGATTTCTACCTTCGATATTCCTATATAAATACCAGGATTATCCTTACCAAAGTTTACGGTACTTCTTACAAACAAGGAGGACCGGACGACACCGTAGTTGGTTTGTGTTGTAACTAAAAATTGTTCCAGCTTACCGCGGTCTCTGCACCAGTTCTGAGCCTGTAATTCAATACCCTTCAGTAATTAGAATGTCGCTCAGTGTTCGCGACGACAAATACGCTGGTTATTGAATGAGCGAGATAAAAAATGCCCTTGAGGTCGTATGCTAGTTGTATGAATTGCGCATTCAAAAAAATACGACCGTGAGGGCATCCCCGCCGGTTAGAGCTCCAGACACAATCTGTGTTGTTCTCTGTCAGCCTCTGTCTCGTAAATCTGGTCTCCGTTTCTATTGATTGCAAATTCACTTAATAGAGAAACACTTCACGTCATTGACTGAAAAACAAACAGCCGAAACAGAGCTCATGAATGCCAAAATAGCCGTGCATACACCGAAAGTAAATATAAGCACGTCAACTGACTACGTATTAAATATGGTGAAATAATAGAACGCTTGAATAGAACGCGAAAGAATAGCATGCTCATGGTAAAGAATTTGGCCACCAGGGCTTGTGTGTTAAAATCATAATTTCGTTTACTCAACCAATTTGATTTGAATAGGACAAAATGCATTAAATGGTATTACTATGCATAATGCGTATTGTGCGATTGGAGCTTTTAGTTTCTCTAACCTTTTAGTATTTACAAAACTTCCATTTATTACATCGAGATGCTAGTTTAATGACGCACGAAATCCGTTCTGTCAATAAGAATATGCCCACATCTGGAAAAAATATTTTTACTATCATAACAACAATTAACACATCAAAGAATACGGTTTGGTTTGTAAAATACTAAATTTGACTTATTTCGCTGGAGTGTTTGCCATGCTCTATTACTTGTTTGTCGGTCAAAATAATGTTGCAACAGCTTGGGAAGACAATATCAGAAATATTCTCATGGTAGTCGGCCTTTGGTAAAAAAAATAATTAAATAAAATAATTTAAAAAAATAACATTGTCTTGTTATAGACAATTTTATTTTTGTGTGGTGTTCAATTCTTACAAGAGAATAAAAAATGTACAACTGCACCAGTTAGAAGATTCATAAGTTTCCTTGTGTCTGGGCTTTCTTGCGTTTTAGGTCCTGAGTAGAAATACACAACAGATTATTCTGTCGGAATTTCTTGTACCTTGGATCATGAGAACAAAATTTCAATACCGGATTTGCTTATATATTCAACGCTCTAAGACTATCAAACCCTCTACTTTTACCTGTGAACGCCTGTTCCACCGTTAATTCATCCACATGTGCAGTGTGGACTCAATCCCAGTGCGGTAGCGGAGATGACCACATCCTCAAGACTGATCGTTTGATATTAGCAGTTATTTCCAAATAGACTCAAACAATTTTAAAACATTTGGATTTGCAGACTTGAAAATTAACGATTTTTTCTGTTGGTGTTGTTAACCTTCTTGTTATTTATATTTCCTTTATATTTCTTAAATATTTCGTTGCCTTTCTCCCCATATCACGATAAGTAAAGTCATCTCGTTATTTTTAAAAGAATCATGCACAGTTCATTAAAGGGATAACAACTCTTCGTATAAGATCTATATTTCACAATAAAACATTGTAAACAACTCATAGAAATACATGTATAGAAATACATGTTATAGCTATTATTCTGACCTCCATAGATGGCTATACTCTGTAATAATCTCTTAAGAAAAAAAAATAAATAAAAAAGGGACTACCATTGAAAGAAGAAATGAATTCGTTAACCATTAGTAAGTATGGGAAAATTGTTGTTTACTCCGGGAAAATTCATTTTTTGGCCAAAACGAACATTTATTATCCCTTTAATCAAATAGCTATTATTATTATTATTGCACCCAATACTTAAGTATTTGAGGTTCCATTTGACAAATTGATTTAATGTCTTATTTTTTAAATATATTTTGTTTTAGACTGAGATTTGAATTGTTTTTCAACATTCTAAATGTTCACAGAAATTACAGAAATGTGTGTCAAGATGTACGACAATGAATATTTCACAATGGCTGGTATCACAGAAACAGCAGAAACAACAGCGTTTATGGCCCCCAGCCAGGGCGAGCCGAACCCCACAGACGCTACAGCAGTGGCGAATTTAGAGGGGTGTCATAAGGGTCCTGACCCCCCCCCCCCTTCGGTTTATGAAAATTATATCGCATCAATTTTCCCCTCTTGAAATTAGAATTTTGACTATAACTAAATTATAGTTCTAAACTCTACAAAAGGGCACTGTTTGCTCTCCAAAACACCGGGAAATTCGGGGTACTTCAGCTAACAGTTATTAAAACATAGGTAACGTATGTATCGATGGATATCAAAATCGGTATGACAATGTAACAAAGAGGAATGTGCAACGTAGAAACAAACGCGCCTGCATGCATGACGCCACATGCACTCATATAGTTGCGCCGACGGACAACTAACAATGTAAACAACAACAACAACAACAATCTACACGCAATCTGGTAACGCAAGTATCGGTAACTTATGTATCGATACGACTCAAGTCCGTATGTTAAAGCTGTGGATACTAACAGGTGGTCATTAGAGAGCCTTAGTTTAGGGTTACTAAGGGCCGTTGAAAATTAGTAGTTTAACGGAGCGTTAACCATGTATGAACATTGATTTAGTTGAACCATATTCTTATTTCTTCTATGGGTGTTTAAAACACGCTAAGGCTAGCAATTTTTTTCACAATCATGATTAAAGGTTATGCATTCAGTTGCGTAATTTATTCTAAAATTATAGTGAAATAAATACTATAATTTTTAGAATATCGATAAATAGAAAAAAATTTTAATTTACACACAGACAAATAATCGCAGTTACTTTTCTTTTCCTGTCATCGACTAGTATAATTTTCAATTTATGCAAATAATTTTCAAGTTCCCGATAATATAATCAACTTATTTCATAGCGTGGCCTTCACGTCTGACATATGGTACCTTCCACGAAGATGAGCCTTATTTTAAGGTATAAATGGCTTATGCCTTGTCAGTTTTAATAAAGAAAGGATAGCCATGGCAAGATTTGAAATCTGGCTTGTGGTGGCGTTCATTCCATCGTTAGTTGCGGGGTACAATTCCCTGTCAACGAAACAAGTGTCGGAAGCAAAAACTCGCCTCCGCACCGTTCTTAAAAACTACAAAGCGGTCTTAACCACCCCGGGCGGTGGGAACGGGGGCCTGACCACACCTTTGCTCGCGACAGCAGTGCGTCTTAACTTCCACGACTGCGTCGGTGGTTGCGATGGCTGCATCAACTTTGCTAACGAGGATAACAAAGGTTTAGAGCCCATCGTCAAGGTTTTGGGAGATGTGTACGACAAGGAAGGATTCTCAGCAGTCATGTCAAGGGCCGATTTTTGGGCACTGGCTGGAATAGCAGCTCTTGAGCTGGCGGCTGAAAACCAACGCTGTCGCGGTCGTTTTTGCTCGGTGCCGAAGCCAAGCGTGACCTTTAAATGGGGTCGCAAGGATTGCGCCAGTTCACCAACAACCAAAGATATGAGAGAACTCCCCAATAACCATGGTGATTTAGCACATGTTAAAAAATATTTTAGAGAGGAATTTGGACTTAACACTCGTGAAGTGGTAGCTCTGATGGGGGCCCACACTTTGGGGGCGGCACATCGTAACCAGTCTGGTTTCGCCGGCAGATGGGTTCCACGCCGCGATGAACTAAGCAACCAGTTCTATCAAATCTTGGTAAACCCTAATTTCAACTGGACACAGAGCGGTTTTGTGCGACCACAAAGGCCACTTCGTCCTTTTAGACCTTTTAGACCTAACAGACCCACCCCACCCCCACGCACGCCAAAATATCAATGGGACGGCAATCCAGTGGGCTTCATGCTTAACACCGACGTCTGTCTTTACAAAAATCTGAAACTCGAAGCTGATGGGAAGAGCAAGTGTACCTTCAACACATGTGGAGCCTCTGAAACAGCATCTATTGTTTCAGAATATGCCGCCAATAATGCTCTTTGGATGAAAGAGTTCTCCAAGGTGTATGAGAAAATGATAAGCAATGGCTACGACGACTTAAAATTGCCGGGATAAACATACCGAAGGAAGTATTCTCCAATGGAATGGAATTCAAATTCACTTTTTGAAAATTGTACACAATATAAAATTAATATTATGGTGATAAATTTCAATTGAGAATTATTTTACCACCCAATTTTGTAGTAAGAAATCAATTTCCGTTACATGTTTTTCTGAAAGCGAGAATAATATAACATGATCAAAAATTCTACATTGGTTTTAGTGTTTTTTATTTGCTTAGAAGACGGACAGAATGAGAGAGAGAGTGAGTTATTTGTATTTTGAATTTCTATTTCAGATCAACAAAGAAGCAAAATTTACACAGCAAAGTAACTGTTTAGACAATAGGAATTACCGTTGTAATGGGAAACCTTATTGAAAATTCAAAACAGACCTTTTAAGTGATTCACTGGGGTGATCTAAAATGCACAATACAATTAAAGTTCAAGAACGATCGTTAAAAATTATCCTGTCGTGGCCTTAGTTTGGCACCGCCAAGTTATCGTATCCGTAGGAAATCATCTTTTCAAAAGCTGCTGAAAATTCTTTCATCCAGAGGGCGTTGTTGGCAGCATATTCTTCCATGATGCTCGCCGTCTCTGACGCTCCACAAGTTGCGGCTGTTGGACAACTGCTGCGGCCTTGAGAGTCAACCTTTATGTCCTTGTACAAACTCATGTCAGTGTTCAGCATGAAAATTGTTCCACCTTTGGCTTTGCCGCCCTCGTTGCTCTGCGCGTTCCACTGCCATCTGTCAGATCGCTTACCGACATTTATTTGGGTCCATGGCCTCCTCAGGCTCTTACTGATGAGTTCTTGGTAGTAGAGGTTACTCAGGGTATGTTGGTTCCACACCCATTTACCGTTCCATCCGGATTGGTTTTTCTGGGCTGTTCCAAGCGTATGCGCGCCAAGGAGAGCCACTGTCTCGCGGAGATTTAAACCGAATGTATGGTTGCCGAAAGACTTGACACTGGACAGGTCCCCGTGTCCGTCTGGGAAGCTTCTCACCTGCGACGTGGACGGGGAGGTGGGACAGTCCTTTCGTCCCCAGCGGAAAGTTATCTCTGGGCGGGGCAACCACAGACAAAGAACGGTATGGCACTCTTGGAAACCGGCAGCAATGTCGAGCGCGGTAACACTGGCGAGAGCCCAAAAGTCAGCACGGGACATCAACTTGTTAAAACCTTCGTTGTCGTATACTTTGTTTAGTTCCCTTGCAGTTGTCTGCAGACCGGAGTTGTCGGCGTTGTCGAGGTTCACACAGCCGTCGCAGCCTCCAACACAATCGTGGAAAGCCAGCCGCACGGACCCGGGAATCAGTGGCCTGCTCAATCCAACCTTGTAACCTGTAAGGGCCCCTTTACACTGGACGGCGTCCTTTCTGCGTCCAGCAGTCCGGTCCCATTTGAGAGTTAAAAAATTATAATATTATACATGTCGACAACTGGCCGATCATTGAGCATTCATTCTGATACAAAATTAATGCTCGTGCCTCCTTTTTAAGACCACAGCGATGCCAAATTTCATGGTCACAGAAAGGACGCAGAAAGGACGCCGTCCAGTGTAAAGGGGGTATAAGCAAGCTGGTAAGACGTGTCGTAGTCTGGCGAACTTGTACGTTCGTAAGAGACGTGAACGCATTACATTGTACAAGCAAAACCAGAGCGATACAAAATTGACTCAAGTACATCGTAAAGGCCTACTCTCTGAACACAAGGCGCGCCAGTAGTCTGTTACAAAATATTGTATCGCCTATACTTCACTTTTGTATACTATTTTCATGCCAAGTTAAGTCCGTCCGTATTATTTCTTTTATATATTCAGTCCACTGCCTTGAAGGCGTCAACTGGAAATAAGATTAAAAGATAGGCCCACTGCTCCGGGTAGCTCCTTACAGGTGGTCCATTTCCCATAGTACCACTTCACTCGCGAGGACATTTTTTATTTATCTAAAGTAAAAAAGTGTCCGTACATAATAATGGCCAGAATCTAATTAATTAAATAATTCAAAAGATCACTAAATATAAATGGATAGATAAATAAACAAAAATATCAATATATTAATCGATGATAATGTTGATGATGAATGTATGATAAGTAAGATGCGTGAATGAAACATAATAGTGATTTTGATGAGTTGATTATGGTTATACATGTATGTATAACTATACAAGGAAAAATAATTTCTATTTGCGCATTTTCTCTCTCTCTCTCTCTCTCTCTCTCTCTCTCTCTTTTTTTTTTTTTTTT